TCACGACACACCCGGCAGGCCGGCAACGAACGGACAAGCTCGGGCATACAAACGGGATTAATGTGAGGAAATTGTGAGAAAACTAATGAACCTGGACCACCCCCGTCACGCACCCATTCGACCGAGCGAGCTTGACCAGCATGGCAGCATGGTAGCGATTGAGCAATTCACAGATCATAGCAAGTAACGAACAAGAGCAAGATTATATACGTCACTCTAACCAACAACAACAATAGTGAGTCCGCGATGATGTTTTACTAGTAAAAGGTGTGAACCTCATCTCATCCTCTTCCTCCTTTCCTCCATCCTTCTTTCCCCCCCCCCCCCACCCCCTCAACACTCATAGAGTCAAAACGATCACTTCGGCATTAAAGTTCATATTCCGGGGGGTAAGGGGAAAGACTCATATTAAACTTTCTTCCTCTTTATCCCTTTCCTCTCATCTCCCCATCTCATCTATCTCCATGATAGTTAAGTAGTGGGGTGATTGGGGAAAATGGGTCAAGAGGGAATGTTCGAAGAAATAGATCTTTCCTTCGAGTAATGAAAGATTTAGATAAAGGCTTTGATCAATATTCCTCCCCTTCTCTCTCTTTCTTCCACTCTTCGTAGAATTCCGAGTTATGAGGGGGTTCGTGATTTGTCAAAACCATACAATGGTCAGACGGTCGAACGAATCATCCACTCGGAAAGATCCCGGTTCTGGCCATATCCTATTTCTCATAGATTAAGAAGAAAAAGGAGGAACCCTAGATCTACAATATCTTATATGCACCGTAAACAGTTTTCTCCCCTTTTCAATGGTTCGAAAACGAGGATTGGTGCTTATATCGGATTGAGGGGAGGGTGAGATTCAGGTCGGGAACACAATACTTTGAGAGCCTATTGGCCACTGAGCGGATGAAATTATACAAGAGTGAAAATGCTGATACTCTCATTCAGCACACGGTCGACCGCAACGTCAGATTCAATCATTGCTTTCGATATCCAACAATAGGGGTCGACACATTCGACGTTCACGCACCAGACGGCTTGATCTCGGAAAATGACTTTCTCAGACTGGACATACGTGAGATAACACTAGTAACGCACTATGCGGTCGACATTTATGCATGCAAACAACATGCTGATGATCTCATTCTAACCCTCCAAGGAGATTTGTTCCACCTTCTCTACTCTTCCTCCCCTACTGCATCTTCTTCCTCCCCTTCTGCATCCTCTGAAACAGCTCCATTCAATCCGTTTCTCCCATCACTCCCATTCCTGTCCATATCCATCCCACTCTCATTTTTGTCCATATCCGTCCCGTTCTCAGCTGTAGGAGTGAGGGTAGATCCATCCCCATTGTGATACGGTAAACCTGCTTTTTCGGCAGCACGACGAGCTCGTTCTTCTTTCGAAGGGCGTACTGAACGTCAGTCACGAGTTGATGTGCGATGAAAGGGATCACTCACTCCAATTGCCTTTCCCTACACCTGATTGTCTACCTCGTTAGCAACTGCGCAGAACAAGGTGAAATAAGCATAGAGCAAAGTTGAATGCTGATGAAGTATCTGAGAACGAGTGATTCTGTAGCAGACGAGATTGACTGAGGAGAAGAAATTCCTTTAAGAAATCATGTCTGAAAAGGTGTCTTTCTGCGACAAGGGGACAGTAAGAAATGTGAGTACCAGAGGAAGAAAGTGGTATACGTACACTGGCTTTTTCGGTGGTTTCTCCTTTTTCTCTTTCTCCTCCACTACCTTTTTCTTCACAGGAGGTGGATTCTTCACTATGACTTGTCCCAACATGCCAATTTGAGAATGTTGAACGTCGAACCCTTGGTCATCTACCAAACCGATACCACTCTCGATCCGAGTGGCGAAAAAGGCGTGTAATAATCCGGGAAGCTGAATATGCAGTGTGGTAGTAGAAAGTGGTATGAAGGGCGGTGGAGGAGGAAAATCCGGTTGATGAATCTTTGAGCTGGGGCATTAGTTTATCTGAAATCTTTCACCTATTCTTCCATGTTAGATATGTTGTGATCGCACAGTAGAGAGGTTTGTGAGTCTAGGTGACCGGCTCCTGAAATGACCCTGGAGGACACTTTTGTGATACAAATGCTCAACAGGCACCATTCCAGGAGCAAGAGAGACGTGAATGGGGTTGAGAAGACACAGAAGATGGTAAAACTCACCCAAGACCAGAAGCATCCGCATCTCTCTTTCGCCGACCGTAAAACACCGACGACGGTACGGTAAGACTTTGCATCCCGTATTCTTTATCGATTCCGAGATCTCGTAGACCAAGGAAATCTTCACCTAATTCTTCGGCAAAGTTTCCACTGCTGATCAGTCACGGGTCGAAGATAGAGAGGACACCTACTCTAAGAGCATTTCACCATTGTCTGCAAACATCATATCGTCTTCGATAACGGGTGCGGTGGTCTGACATCAGCAAACGTTACAGCCACTCACCAAATGTCACGTCCCACACTTGAATAGGACAGTCCGGAAGGTAAACGGAAAAGTGCACGCAGCGAGTTCAGGGGTAGAATGGGCATTGAGTGACAGAGAAGAGATTTCCACCACGAGAGGAGATACGCACCACTTCTTTATACGCTTGCCTGAGCTTTCGAGCCATTTCGATGACCTTGACTCGGTCTCGCTCAATGTCATCTTTGATATGAGCCTCCAAATCTGAAGTTTCAATCTGACCATTCTCATGCAAAGCATGAAGTATAATCTCCTATATGATATCAGCATGTTTTTATACAATCGAACGATTTGAATGAAGTGAAAACTAACCTCGGAAGACATCTTCTGTGAAAATCCATCGATTAACAATCGGAATGTCCTTCCGACGTTACTCAAATGATTGATAGCGACTCTGGTGAAAAGATCTAGAGCACCTTCATTCGCTCCTAGACTGTCAGCTTGTTCCGCATACTCGAGCGGGATCCAGCCGACCTTCGAAACCCGCGTGAGCCAGCATCCGCGCGGAGACACTTCTCATGCCCAGAACAGCTTCCTTCTCCCCAACCTCGCCACCAAGCCTTCTTCGCTTTTTCGCTTCGATACGCTCCTCATGCATCTTTTGTTTCCTTTCCAATCTATCCCGACGTCGTTGATTTCTCTCTATGCCATCGTCAAATCTCAGTCGTGGCGGTATGACCCCCTCCAGCTCCATCCTCTGAAATTCGCTAACAGCATTGACAATCTTCCTACTCTCAAATAACTTGTCCACTCTTTGTTGTATCAGATTCTCAAGTTTGACGGATTTACTAGGTACTAGCGATGGAGGTCGATCGGGAGATGTATCCATTCCCATTGGTGTGTTCCGTTTTCGTTTAGATCGGCTTGGTATACATCTGGTCGGGGGAGCTTGAGAAGGAGCCATGAATGGCACAGCGGGTAAGGTAGAGACGTAACATTCATCTCGACCTGCCAATCCCCACCACGAACCCTGGAGTTTGAGATCATCACCTTCCACCGGCGGGTACCAAGAAGGAGCAGGAGTGGTGTTGAGTAATTCCCTCATCTTCCCTTTTTCGAGATAAGATGAGGGACCAGCGGCGGGCTGTTGGACAAGTGAGTGAAAGGGATAACTCATCTGCGGCGTGCGGATGAGCGCGGGCGTAGTGTTGAGGCTGGTCGAGAGGTTGATTCGATATGGCGGCGGCTGATTGTCAATTATTGGTAGTATCGAGAGAGAAGTAGACTTACATTCTGGAAAGACGTTCCGAGGAACGCTCCATTCGTCCTTCGGTCTGGGACACCTCCAACTGACGCATTACTTGTTCCTCTTCCATCTCCACTGTCACCTCGTCCCGGTCCTGATCCATCAGTGTTGTCAGGATGGGAGAGAAATGAGATGGATTCACCGGTGAGATGGACTCCATTGATTGCGCTCTTCGACGGGGCCGCCCCCTCCGATCGAAACGACTGATCTCCTTCACCCCCTCCGTCGTGCTCACCATTGACCTCTTTGGTGACACCAGGTCCATTTAGGATATTTTGTTGAGGAGATGGGGGCACGGCATAAGGAGCCGAGGAGCCTGCGTTTCTCAGAGAGGGCCGACTGGAAGATGGACCGGCAGAGGGCACAGGTAGTACTTGGGCAGATCGGTCGTTCTTGTCGGCAACAAATTGCAACAGATGATCAGTCTTTTGACGCATGAACCTTGCCGCTGCTCTCAAGGGGTGGGACTGACAGTCAGCTATGAGGTCCCGAGCACTTCGATCAGCTTACCTCTGTTGTATTATAGGTTAAACAATTCTCCCATATGAGATCTAGGTCGGTAGCAAAATCTGCCTTGTTCTTGTACTTGTGAGTCTTGATATTGCGCAGGACAGTTGTGAGATCCATTGGACGTTTGATGACTGTGATGAGCAGATATCATCCGAGAGCAAGTGACTTACTTTCATAATAATCCGGAGCATCTCGTTTTGAGACGGGTTTTTGAAAGGCGAAAGATTGTTGCTGCAGAAGTCGTGAGCTGAAGTCTTAAATGTCTAAGTAGCGGTGTAAGAGCGAATGAGGAGAATGCACTCACGGCGCTTTTGAGCTCGTTGACTGCCTTTTCGAGTCCTTCATAGAAAGCATCCGCGCTCTTGGTTTGAGACTATTGGTTTGATGGGCGAGATGAGATGTGATAGGTCAAGAGTTGTGAGTATAGTCGTGAAAGCGTAATGTGAGCAAAGTAAAGCCAGGCGCCAACTGCCCTCTATGAGGGGGGAAAGGGACTCACCTTGCCAGCCTGAACATCCACGAGAAGTTGCTGAAAGTCGGGATCTTGCAAGTCGGGGGCATCGGGTAGGGTACCTAGGTAGTCGATAAGGTACTGTAAGGGCGGATTCGCCCCGTATCAGCCATGTACACTGGATAGAAGAGAGGGGGTATAAGAAACTCACCTTCATTCTGAGCGATATTTCTGAGCTCGATGGGAGGCGATTTGGGGGGCCCTATGTAGATGATGTTGATACCATTGGATAGCCCCGTGTCAGGAGAGTAAGAAATAAACAGTCAAATGAGTGGATGGATGGATTGTGAGGAGAAGTAGGCTTATAAAAGGAGAAGATGAGCTGAAAATGGGACGAGGGACGAGTGGATGAAGTGGGGTAACCAAGACGGAAAAAAAGACGAAAGAAACAAGATAACCACTTTGAATTTTGATCATTCTCTCTTACAACTTCAAACCTCACTTTCATTACTCACACTATCATTTCGGAGGGAAGTGAGCTTTGCTGAGTCTCTCCAGACGTACAAGATCTACCAGACAATATGGGTGATAGTCCATCTTCTTCCCTGTTCGCCCAGATACATCCCGTTGCCCCTTCTCACTCTGCCCCCTCCCGCCATCTGCCTCAACAGGCCTTTGCTTCAATCGAATATCCTGGTCCTGTCTCTCACCCTTCTGCTATTCTCAATCTCGTATCTCAGGATGATATAAACGAATGCTTCAACGCTCCGATCACAGAGGGAAACATTCTAGAAATGAGCTATCGGCCAGGGGACAGATCTTGTGTTCCCGTCAGAGGGAACAAGGTACCCAGTCAAAAGCTTCTATTGAAGATCGTTAAACGGCACAGGAGAAAAGAAGAGGAAGGTCATGTATCGAGGAGAAGGGGTAAGGAGAGGGAAGGTGCTGAGGAAGGTGTTTTTACAGCTGAAATAGTGGGGCCGGTCAATCAGACCGTTCGGTTTAGATGTAAGTCACAGACAATCGTGATATTGGCTTCAGCTCAACCATCAGCTATGGCAGACTGGCATTATACACCCGATCCGAATGGCCGTGTCTCTCAGGTCTACGATATCCTCAGGGATCTTAACTGTAGGTCTAATCGTGCACTTCACCCTCCCGAACTCACTCCGTAGATGATGCCATACTGGATTACAAGATCCCTCCGTTGGATGAGACCTACCTTGAGCTGGTAGAGCCCGCAGGAGGATCCTCATCGTCTATGCCAACTTACCGTTCTTTGTTGGATCTTCAACCCCCTCCGACGTTCAGCGAACGTCGGCTGCCACCAGCTTTTGGGTGAGTTTTCCCTATATAGATCTCGATTTGCTGACGCCCGAAGCTTCAAACAACCTCCTCAAGTCGGTGTCGAGGATTGGGAGGACGAAAAGACCGGTCAGATCAGAAAACGATACGTGAACAAAGCACGTTACGTGGCGCTGGGTACAGAAAGTATAAGTCATGTGCACAAGCCGGAGGAAGTACCTACCGGACCGCCGGCCAAGGTGAAGACTCGAATGGCCAAGTTGGACCTACAAGTCCTCAAGAAATTGAAGGAAGTGAGTCTTCCACATTATATGAAGTATGTTCTGACATACCAGTTGTTCGACGAACGACCGGTCTGGACACGTGCAGCTCTTTTGGCTCAGCTCAATATTGAGGAAACGACCAAGGTAAATCGGTGCGTTGTATACTTTTTACGAGGAGAGTTTATGTTGATTTTTAGGGAAAAGGCATATCTGTCTTCTGTAGCTTATACATTCGGCACTGGACCTTACTGGAAATGCTTAGTGCGTTATGGCTATGATCCGGTAGCCATACCCGAAGCGCGCATGTGAGTTTTGTGAACATTACACATCTTCGGTCCTAATATTCAGGTACCAGAGGATATGGTTTTACGTGTCTCCAGCTCGATCACGGGGAATGCATCGAGACGAGGCAGAAGAAGAGGCAGAAGGACAAGTGGGAGCGCAGACCAAACAAGAATGGGAAGCGGAACAACTGGAGTTGATCGAGCAGGGAAAACGTCCACCCATTGATAGAACGTAAGTGATGTGAAATCCATTCGAGTGGTCATTGATCTTCAGTCGTCCGCACATATTCGACGGTCAAGTACTCAACCGTCATAGACCAGATTATCAGCTATGCGACATTGAAGATCCCTTAATCAGACGATATATCAATAAACAATCAGCTTGGATGGACAAATGTGATGTGAGTTTGCTTGATCGAGGTTCGAGATCACTCGCATGACATATGATGAATGAAGATGGGCAAACTGATAAGTAGCCTAGGGATGGTTGGTACGCCACGCAAACGATGGACATCATCAAAGCTCTCGTCAGGCACAAATTTATCCGAATCCGCAAGACCGGACTTTCGCCCAGTGCTGCCGAATGTGCAGAGATCATTGTCAAGATAGAAACGAGCGGAACGAAAGAACTATAAGCGAATGCATCAAGCATTTACCACAAGAAAACTTAGAAACCGAGTGCCCAGAAACCTGTATCCAATCCAATCCCCTTTCTCTAACTTCTCTTCTTCCTATCCCGTCATCCTAATATTCCGTCATTCGAATCCATCCGGAAGTGGGCGATCGGGAGTCAATGTTCGTAGGAATGGAAGTATTATCGAAGGAAAGTTCACTGACCCGAAGTCGGGGCACGAATAGGAATGGGTCTGAACTCGCGACGAGGAAGAGACTTGGGTGGGGCACGAAAGGGAATGGGTCTGTACTCGCAACGAGCAAGAGGCTGGGTTGGGGCACGAATGGGGATGGGTTTACGAACTCGACAAGGCGTAAACAAGAATGGAACGAGAACTTGGAAAGGTTGTAGACAGGGAGGAAGAACTGGTTCCGAGTATACCGAGACGGCTCGAGTGTTGGATACAGTTACCGAGCGAGTGGGTACAGTCACCGGGCGAGTGGGTACAGTTACCGGGCGAGTGGGTACAGCTACCTGACGAGTAGTCACAGCTAGAGAGGGAGTGGGAACGAAAGGACGAGCCGCGGGGTTGATACCCTTCTTGATGACGGTGACAGTGGCAGGGGTAGGAAGGGGGACTCTGGACTCGGTCTCTACTCCTAGAGCGATCATGTAAAAGGCGTGTTTGTTGAGGGGATCTTTGAGTCTAAACACCGTCCCGCGGGGTAGATCATTCAAGTAACGTGCATTGTTGTTCCAAGGACCAGGTTTTACGGCTTCGTCATAAGTGGGAAGATGCTGGGGAGTTTGTCCTTCTTCAATTTCGTTTGCCGGATTTCCAAAGATAGGCGATAGGATTTCGAAACCATCTTTGTCCAAACCGATGAAGTTATCGCGAGAGGGTCGAAGTTCCAACCACTCGGAAGGGATGGAAGGGAGTTCAGATTCCGATACGATTTGACACCAAGGAAGTATGGCTGGCATATTGTCTGAAGAGGTGTCAGCGAATGTCGAAAGGATTGGGATGGGATGTGGGAAAAGACTCACTATGATTGGAAGGTTGTTCGAGGTTGGTTTAAAAAGTTTAAGAAATGGGGTTTGTTAGACGAAGGCTGTTCGTTGGTTTGTTAGGTAGGTTCAAAGTTCGTATTGAAAGTTGATGGATGGTAGTGTGAGGGATTGCTGAATGGATGAATGATAGGGTTCTGACTTCTAAGGTTAAGAATATATATCTATCAGACTACGCGTGATGGTTGTATCTGTCACTCTCAGACGTGACCTGTGACATGTTGGTAAACTTCCCATTTTGGAGTTATCAATAGGAAAGAAAAAAAAAACCCGTGTTATCGTGACTTTGTTCTTAATCTCGGGAAGGAATGTAATCGTTAAAATACCACAAAGAGCATTCAAGAACGCGGGAACTTTCATCGTAGTATGGGTTTTTCTTTTACTTACTCTTTTCATCCATCGTCGATCGTTTATACGTAAATTTTACATGATCAATTTCGACGCGTGACTTTAGTATTCCCCATTGGGAATGAACATCTTTGGTTACATTCCGTTCTACACGAGTACGAGTACGAGTACGAGTACTTCTCTTACATACTGTACAGTACAGTACAGTGTACACACAGGTCATATGATGGGGATTGAAGAGTTATACCATATGAGTACGAGTACCTACGAGTATTCTAAACAAATCGAATTCCTTTCAACCTTTTACGTCCATGAATATTCTCTATCATCTCATCACCAAATAAACTGATAGCAAATCGGATTGTCATATATTGTAATCTTCTCAATCTTCTCTCACTTTTTTCACTTTCTTCCTTTTGAAAACATCCCTCCATATCTATTCTCAACAAATCTGCGGAACCTGAATCGATCGTTTGTTCTTGAAGTGACGAAATTGACAAACATGAACATTCCCTTGAAGTTGAAAGATAAGATGAATCATAAACTTCTAAAATCCCAACATCATCTTCAGACTTACTGATACCTCTCATCAAAACAACTAAAGTCATACTTAAATCCTTTTCTATCGTCTTACTTTCACTCATCACCAATTCTAATCTCACAATCTTAGCTCGAGAGATATTTCGAGCTATGAGAGATAAGATTTCCCAATCTAATGTCCAAACTCGAACGTTGAGATGATCTATCCGGTTATTTTTTGGACAAAGGGGTGAGAGGAGAAGTGTCATTCTTTGATTTGATTGAGATGATATGTTGGTAGGAATGATAGGCTGATTTGGATTATGAATGTTGTTTTGTCCTACCTCAACAATGGTCTGTTCCTCATTATTGTGTCCTTCCTCGTTTTCATGTTGTGGTGTGGAGACTTGTGATTGAGACGGAGCATTTTCATCGGATCTGATGACTGATGTTGAAGGTTGATCAGTCAAGTGTGAAGCTTGCTCTCGACGATTGAGGTTTACAATAGGATCGTTGACATTTGACGTGGCCGTGGGATTAGAAGAAGGATCAACCAATTGTGAGTGTGTCTCTTGAGATTGAGCTTGAGCAATCTCGTTCGTTGTTGAGGTAATGGAGGATGAAGACGAAGAGATATATGGATTAGGTTGAGAGATACAAACCCTTGTTGGATTCAGACGCCACATGAAAGCTTCAAAACCCCAAAGACCAGGTCGTGTAAGCCAATGATCCGTTCCGTCATTCAACAAACTAGCACCTTCTACAGCTGCAGAAGATATACATAATCGTTGGAGATTAGGAAGGGGACGATCAAGGAAAGTGGAAATAGCCAGACTTGTTCTTGCTATTGATACTTCCAAGTCAGGAGGGGGGATGACGAAACCTATTGTTAATGAACGAGTGTTGTAAAGAGAACGTTGGAGTCTAATGAGGAGATAAGGATGCCAGTGTGAGGTATTCGTTTGGATTTCAATTTGGTCAGGTGAGGTTTGATAATTGACTTTGTCATGTTGGAATACTGGTGGAATAGTGAGATCATGATAATCTTCGGGTTTGGTGTAATCGCGTTGATCTTGGTGGATGGGTTTGTTATCGTCATAATGGACCTCGGTATTAGTAGGATCAGGAGGGGTGTCAAAGTCATCATTTGTTGAAGCCGTTTGATTGAGAACAGGTAGAGACGGTTGACAAAGAGGGATGATAGGTAAAGAAACAGTCACCACGGGAGATGCGAGAGAAGCGGAAAGGTTTTCTTGCCATCTTTTTAAAGCGGATTGACCATCGGGAGTTTTGAGATGATTGATCAACGCTTGGTCATTTATCTCATAACTTTTATTGAGTAGATCAAGGGACTCTGTAAGATAGTCGATAGCAACAGAAGATGATGATGGACAGGTCAGGTTGTAAAGTGCAATACCGAATGTTAAGAGGGGTTGAAAGAGTCGAAGGTGATGTGACAGTAAATACGTGGAGTGACAACTCGATAAGCTTCTTGTGAGACTCGTTGGAGGGAGAGAAGAGTGTAGATATCGTTGGCCACAGCGAGATGGGCAGCTATATCGACGAGAAGTTCCGTGTTGAACGCTGCGGCGGGAGAAGAAGGGGACATGTTGTGAAAGTGAGGAGTGAGGTAGAGAGACGAAGGGATCCAAGGACAGGGGATGGGAATGGAAGTCAAGATGGAAGCGTTGACAGACTAGAGTGGGCCTGAGCTGGTGTCAGTGATGGTGAGATTTGAGGTGAATTCTGAAGAGGTCAAATGAGAGATAATTCAAACAATAAGGGTTTGCAAGGATTTCGAGGAGTGGATGGGTGGGAAAGTCTGTTCATGAGGAAGAAAGGAGGTTCAAATCGAAGATCAAAATTCTTTCAAAGTGACCAAAAGTGGTAATTCTCATCTTCTTAGTCCAACTCCCCCCGCAATCCGCCTGAAAATTCCAACATGTCCAAACCTGAGATGAGCAATCATGGGTCTATCCAATCAGCCGATGTGTGATGTGTCAACTGAGAACAAATCACTCACTTTGACACGCTACACATGGCCCACGACTTTTCAACAAAAATTCAACGTTTCGCAATCGTTGTGCACCATTGACAATCTCGAAAACATAGGTATTAGGTGTAGTTTGTATATATTCCGATAATCGACCAAGAGTAGTATTCAAACGTTCATTATCTTCAATCTCTATTGTCGATTCCGAATCTTGTATCTCCAAAATACTTTCCAAAGGTTTATTCATCACCGCCACTCCTAAATGTAACATATCCGCTTCCCCAATAGTCCTACAAGTCCTAAAAGGGAAGATCACCCTTACTTTCTCGACACATCGAGTTGCCGTTTGAATGATATACGAAACATCATCATCCATTTTCCAAGAGTGAATAGTGAAAGTTTTCAAATGATTAGGTTCGTTCATCAACATAGGAGTGAAATCTAATATCCTTCCATCTATTATACCTTCTTGTGTTGATATAGAACCATCAGGATTGAGAAAAGCTAAATGTGGAGTAGGATCATAATCTTGTGGAGAAGCTTGAGATATACAAATATGTTTCGGACGAAGTCGCCATAAGAATTCTGCTAAATCTGACCAACCGGAAGCGCGTGGACCTACTAAACGAGTTTTTTGTCCATTTGTATAAAGTGGAATACTTTGTAATGCTTTTTGAGTTATCTCCATTCGATCAAGATTTGGGAAAAGTGGTACGAAAAAGGTCGTTATAGACCATTGAGACCATTTGAATGGTAAGATTAAATCATTTGGAATATTTAGGAATTCTAGGGTTATGGATTTTATATGAGAGAAAGAACGTAAAATACGTCGATAACGTGAATCTACCCATTCAAGAGGGAAGTCTGTTTCTAACGGGTTGGTTATTACGGGGATTTGAGATGATGTGTATCCTGGGGTTCCGGTTGATGGTCTGGATGATAATAATCGAGTGAGTCGTTCGACGTCCGGTTCAAGAGAAGGGTCAAAGGGTTCGAATAATGGTGAACCTAGAAAAGTGATTGATTCGGTAGGTGGAAGAGTATATGAAGAGAATAGAATTGGAAGATATTGAATGACAGGTTTAAACATTTTAATGAATTTTTCAGGTTTATCGAAATGAACATTATCGTAAAATAATCGAGTTGTAACTTTATATCCTTCTTTGGAAACTCTTTGAAGGGAGAGAAGGGTAGAAATATCTTTATCAGCATTGAGAGATAGAGCGAGGTTGATGATTAATTGAACAGGAAAAGAAGGTCGAGTAGGATCGAAAGATGTGGAATGATGAGATGTTGTAGATGGAATCATTTCGAGTTGGTCCGAGGAGAGGTCGTTATGAGCCGTTGAGTGGGATTCTGGTAAAATGCGACGTTTCTTGGGAATGGGAGTTGAAGACATCAAGATTGTGGTGGGAGGACCGTTGTGACATTCCGTGGGTCAGTGGATTTTAGGCGGTCAGTACTCGTACTGATACAGTGGACACGTAAGCGGAGGATAAGCAAGTCAGGGTCAGGGAACAAGAAGGACAGGGATCTATTGATTGTGTGGCTTATGGTGGAGAAACATGGAGCCCCAGACCCAGAGAGTCACATCATTGATGGAAGATTGACTTTTGACAGAAAAGAAGGTGACAATCTAATCCGGTAAATCAAGTCTAACTTTCTACCTGACCCCCTTCCCGTATAAATACTCGTAATCACTCATGATACATACTCAAATGAGATTACATACAGTACTTTCAACTCTCATGAGTGTTTGTCGGACTTAAGCACCGTCGGAGAAAAACAAACCCGATTATTAGTCCCTCTAAGGTACGCCGTGCGTCTCTCCCAAAAGTCATTGATCCATTGAAATTTGATACATGACACAATCATACTCCTATGTCATTTTAGTCATAGACTCATAAAGTCAATCCGAACTCCGAGGGCTTATTCGGTTTGAATATTCGGTACGAGTGTACCTATAACGAGTTGCTCCGTATCTGTTTGATTCTTCAAACCTACGACTACTGACACTCTAACAACTCGAGATTGATATTTACAGGTCTTGCTTGAAATCATCATCAACTTCAAACATCTTAAACGAGTCTTCCCGAATTTCTAACCATTATGAGATTTGTCTCTTTTGTCTTTCTTAGCATCTTCATCACCTTATCAACCGTTTCTGCGTCTTCAACTTCAGAAATTACCGACTTGACGACCAAATCATTGACCAACTCTGAACGGTTCAAAAGGGGATTACCACCCAATGTCCCTATGAGAAGATATAATGCGACTACTACGAGAAGTGAGTTCCGAGTTTCGTCTGAAGTACCTTTCTTTCATTCTTTCTTTCTTCCTTTAATAGACATTCCTTGAAGGTATCAAATAAAGATGTGTTTTTTAGATGATGAGGGAAGTTACGTGCTGTAGAATGGAGTAGGGGATCAAGGGTAATGAATGGAATTGATGATTGATACCTCAGACCATCTTGCAAGAAGATCAGCACAAACCACTCCGGTGTATTTACGAGCTACTCCATTAGCACCGCCCATAAGTAACCGTAGGACAGTAAAGGTATCAGAAATGGAGAGGGATGATACTCCGGTGACTGGGATAAGTTGGGTTCAATTCGATTCTTCGATATATAGATTTATTTTGGTACGTCTTCTCAACAAGTTCACTCCACATGCCCATAGTTCTATCATACATACTTGATATCAGACGTTTGTTTCTCTTTCTTTCACCGTTGATGAATATCGAGAAAGCCCGATCGCGGTTGAAGGCAAGGGAAAAATGGAACAATCATACTTGACCAGTAATGTGGCAGATCTGATACGATAGACATCCGATGAAGCTCTAGCATGTCCATTTCAGATATATACATACCGATGGGACCAACCAACAAGTTACTTTCTTCCCTGAGGACGGGACGACTTCTTACATCTGTGCGGCTACCGCTTCTAGTACTTATGGATCTATGGATACTTCTCCTTTCACGTGAGTCATACGAACGCGATATTTCACCGTCGAAAATCTTCGTTAGCTTCAATGTCTTCCAATCTTGTTGTCTCACTCACACGGGTAGATGAAAGTCGCAGATGAAAGTAGGACTTCCATCCGTTGTTGATCTAGACCATCGAGGTTGATTTGGGATTGGCCGCTGAAGAAAGGAAGACATATATATGAAGGTGACATAAATGGGGTGATTAGATATCGATAGTGCGTGTCAGCTAATTTCAGTGCCGTCGTATTCGGTGCATGCGGTTCTCAAACTCTCGACGAGGCCTACGGAGCATATCAACAAGTTCCCATTTGGACGACACCTGCCACCTTCCCTGCATCCGCCGGTATCACATACCACAACGCCGATCATGGCGATACGTTGAACCCTTCCTTTTGGATCTTCAGCAATGGTTTCGCCAACTATTAACTCGGGGCTGCGATATCGTACACCGATTACGACTTGCCATTTGGAAATACGGGGTACCAACGGATGGCTCTTCAGTGGGTGACGGAAGTGACGGACGGGTGTAGGGAGCGGAGGGGGATCGGTTCTTGGGTTGCAGAGATCGTACGAGATGAAAGAGTGTCGGGAACGAGGTCTCGGGTGACGGGCAGGAGGTTTCCGGGTAATGGAATGATCGGACTTCTTTCACGTTTACACCAATGTCCTTGCATCTATTCGTCGTCTGGTGTATGCAGATGTCAGGGGCTGTCATGATTACCACCTCGCTGTTGTAAGTCAGCGGCTGCTGCAGGAGACCCGATACACAACTGAACTCACTGTTCGAACATGTCGGGCATTCACCTGCCTTCTGTGGAGGAAGAAACTTGACTCGGGCAAAGTGCCATTTTCCATCCTTCTTCTCCATACCCTCAGAAACCCCATCAGCCCTCGCCGTCCGAACCATACCTTCCTCCAATCTCTCCAAGGCAGCTTGCTTTTCCTTCTCTGAATGACTACACCATATCCTATGGTCACATATTTCTAATATGTGTCCCTCGGGAACCATCAATGCAGCAACGGCGAGAGCCCTCAGGCCCTCAACGGGGAAGTAGCCCTCCTCTATGAGCATAACCAGTCGCACTTGGATCACGCGTCTTAGGGCCAAACTTAGGGCAAAAGTAAGACTTTGTGTTATTTCATGGGAATGGATGGTGAGGCTTTCGATTGGCGTTTCCGTAGAAGTTACCAAGCCGACCAGGGCCTCGAGACGGCCGTCGGACTCGTAGTCGTCGCCATCATCTTGAAAATACACCATCTCAGGCCAACAGTCATATCCCTCACATCCGGAAGCTTGAGCAATACAAACGTGTTTCGGCTTGATGCAGCTGAAAATGTGACTCAACGTCCGGCAGTAATAACCGTTTTTCTCGCCGATTTTGACGGGACTAATGCCGTGGAGACATGTCTGCGATACTTCGATTCGCTCGAGGGTGGGAAAGGGACAACCTGTCAAGAAGCTCATGACGACCGCTAGCTTGTGTTGTACTTCTTCTGTCCTTGGTAAGAAAGAGAAATCCAGTTGAATGTACTTGACAAGTGACAGAGCTCGCACGATGCGTCTTCTGCGATTGTGAATCCAGTCAAATGGGTACAGGAGCTCTTCGGATGTGATATTGAGCGGCAAGAAAGGAAAGGCGTTGGCGGGGATCTCAAGCTCTGAGATTGATGAGATTGATGAAGTAAGAGATTGATAGAGATCTTCGAGCTCTATCGACATCTCCGCGTCCATATCTGCGTGTACGTCGATTCTGAAAGGCGGTTTTGGATCGGCCAACATCTGTATTAAGGTCGGAGCGAGGTCGATGAGAGGTTGGAACATGCGAAAGAGTCGTTCAGGCGTATCAAGCACGACATGTCGATAGATGAGAGGAGTGGAAACTTTGTATCCCTCTTTCGATACTCTTTGCAGCGCTAGCAGAGTCTTGGTATCTTTGTCAGCGGCGAGACATTGAGCGAGGTCGAGAATGAGCTGGACAGGGAGTGATGGTCGTGATGGGTCGTAAGAAGAGGAGAGGGAGGAGGTGGGCGTTGAGTCAGTGATGGTGGGAGTGGACAGGTCATTGTAGGGATCAAGTTGGACGGCACAACGTTGCTCGTTGGGAGGAGGGGAAGACATTGTTGACGATGAGGTGAAAAAGTGAAGAAAGAAAGCGAACAGAGAGAAAAACTTTTTGATGGGGCATGGGGGAGGAGGTCCGAGCGCCGGTTGCCAGGTGACCGGTACAGTAATTCAGTAAGTAGCCCGCCTGTCTTAGGGGACTGATGGGAAGCATCATCGTTGATGGGGCAAGGGACAGCTGGCAGTTGACGGCGACAGGGGTACGGCGGGCAGGGAGAGGCAGCTACTAACTACTCACATCCTTAGAGGGGGGAGGAAGAGAGGGGGTTAGGTGAGAGGAGGTGGCCCTTCCCATTCCCACTCGCCCTTTTGGTTCTTGGAGCCCCGCATGACCAAGTCACTTTGCATAATCTAGCTCCTCTACTCGGTCAATTCTCTTCGTTATTCACTCATGCTCACCATCACCCGGCAGCGTATACATCTTGTGCGGCACAAACTACCTGATATCACAGGAGAGAAAGGTGGTAAACCTGTTAAGGTCAGTCTCCCTTCAATCGAGCGCCTTCAATGGGGTCCGAAGCCTGAACAGGAGATCGCTATGTTGGGGGTGGAAAGAATCAATCGAATCTCGTGGTTGACGAATAGGTCGGTGTAGCAGTGACCGATATCCTCACTGGACATTATGCTCAATCTGGTATATTGGCCGCATTGCTCAAACGACATAAGACGGGTAAAGGAAGTCTAGTGGAATGTTCTTTATTTGAGAGTCAAGTGAGTGATATGTGTCTCTGATTATCTTCTTCTTCTTCTCCGATTCACTTTACTCACTCTTCAAAGTCTTCTGGCCTGTCCCACTGTCTCATCGTATCATACCAAACCTCTTAACAAGCGGTTGTAAGTCATAGCTGCAGTCAATCAATTTTTTGTCGAACGAGTGAGAAATCTCACCATAGGGAATGGTGGCACGTGCGAGAATATTCGTCAATTGCTAAAGTCAGATCGCATCTTTAGCCAATATCGCTTCAAATCACCTGATATCAGGTCAAGAAGCATCCCGATGGGGTACATCACACCCTTCCATAGTACCCTATCAAGTCTTCCCAACTTCCGATTCTTTTCTCATGATTGCTGCTGGTTCCGACGCACAATTCTCCATTCTATGTCGTGTTCTCGGTATGGGATGGGATACCGAAGATGATTTCACGACGAATGAATTGAGGGTGAAGAATAGGGATAGGTTAATTTCGTTGATCGAGAATGTTTTGAGGGAAGAAACGACGGATGTTTGGTGTGATAAATTGAAAGGAAAGGGAGTACCTTTTGCGTGGGTCATACATATCTTCTTCACATGCTCTATAAACCTTTAATCCTCCGTGCTTATCATATCATTATTCATTACCTTGTGGGAATGGAATGGAATGAAGACACAGAATGGATTAGCGTCAGTGCAGGACGAGGTTTGAAAGTGGAAGATGAGCTGATGGATGAGACCTATAAATAATATAAAGCAGACATTCAATCATCCTCAAGCTATAGCAAGAGGAGTGGTCACCGAAATAGAGGTAAGTCAAATCATTCTCCGGACTCGATAGACATTATTTCTGATCCTCACCAATCATCCTTCAACAACTTCCCATATCTTTTGTTCTAATTGAACAGAATTGTATTCAGTCGTCTCATGATCTGAAACTCCACTCATGTTCGAGCACAGAAGTGTGAAAAAAGAGTGTCATCGAGGACTGAAAATTCTGAAGAAAGAATATACTCGAGGACTGAACTGTGAAGAAAGGGTGTAGTCGTACATTGCTCGATGAAGAAAGAGTATACTCGTATATCAATCAGTGAAGAAGGAGAGAATTTGGAATATAAGTCCACTTACAAGCAGCATCCTAGAGCAGGAAAAATCAAATTAGTTTCTCCTGCCGTATCATACGATTCTCTCAAACTTCCCATCTCTCGACCTCCTCCATATTTAGGACAACACACCGATGAAGTACTTTGTGAATTGGGATATGACGAATTTGATATTTCTCAAATGAGGGACAACGGGGATATTTAAAGCTACAAGTGGGTCACAAATAGTAGTTTTCACAAATGAGGGAAGTGACAGTGGGAGTATTTAGAAATCGAGGTGTTTCTGTAGTTGAACCATGACGGGACATTTCTCGAGTGAGATGATGGGGATATGGGGATATTTACATTTCAAAAGTGCTTTTGAAAATGACACTTTTTAGTATCCCTGTGGGGTTGGAAAATATCTTGAAAGGATCAAGTCTCAAAATCCGTAGATAGGGATGAAGAATCATGTAATTTGACTCCTGTCATTCTAGTCCTTTGATGTTATTCTAGTCCCTGCTTTTATTCTAGTCTTTTCACCCGGAGAAAGTGTCAGTCTAGTCCTTACCTCGAAAATTGGTTCAGATATTGGACGTTTGTCATATGATAGAAGGAAGAGGTATTCAAAGATGGAAATGTTTTTGGGATTGGAGTACTCGTACGGCAAAGTTTCCATGTATCATTTAAAGGGTAAAGCTGGAGGATGCCTAAATAGCCTCTTGGGTTCTCCTTTTTTTGAATATTGTCATTTCAGCACCGTAATTATGCACCTCCCTCTTATCACAGTCGACTTTTTCGAGGAAATCTACGTCGTCTCGTTCTTCACGCTTTTTGAATGTGGTCCCGGTCACTCGGAATGGTTAGTGAGTTGTTTGTCAGTCTTGGTGTCAAAAACATGTGCGATGTGGATGAGCGTGAGCGTGAATGAGAGATGTAGAAAATGTAATGTCATCAGTCAGTAGGTACTCGTAATGTATACAGACGGGATCATACATACTATCAATTCTTACTGCACATTTCATCCACTTAGCTACAATACTGTCCAAATTTTATCATCTCTCATCTCCATTACTTGTATTCTTATTTGAACCTTTCTCTGAATAGTCATCTAATCTGCTCCACTTTTGTTCCACCATCGACATCGTCCAAATGACATGTCTCATCAAGAAATGTGTGGTTTTCCCCATTCCATCGTTCACCCTTTACTCTTCATCTCTTATCCAACCTCACTCGGTTTGTTTCCTCGTAAACCTTCGCATACCGCTTCTCAAGCCATCTCCATTTCAATGGTGTCCCTACAAGTTCATCACTCTTCCTTTCCGATATATTTCAACCGCCTGACGACGATGTCACCAATCACTTCCCAATCTTCTCCCTCATCTTCTTCACCACCGAAGGTTTCCTTTTCACTTCCCCGCTAGCTGCAGATGAAGGACGACCAATGACCAAATCGTCAAATTCCGGCATGACAGGTCCCACCGGTGGTCTAGGAAGTCCTTTTGTCCTATTGACAGTTACGGCTGGTTTCTTTCTCATTCCCACTTGTTTCTGTGTGACTTGATCAGACGGTGTATCTTCAAGGATTTCTTCTTGTTCCATCCCCTCCTGTTTCACTGGGATATAACCCGATCCAGATGTCGCAGCGTTTGGCAGAGGGGGTAGAGCGTTTTGCAGAGAGGGTACGGGGTCTGAAAGAGTTGCGGCATTCGGAAGAGGTGGTGTAGGTCGAGAGGTTTTCATACGAGCTTTATTTGGCGATTCGACCAAAACAAAACCTCCATCCGAAGAAGACGACGCCGAGTTCGGCAAAGAAACAATGCCGACTTCGTCTTTACCTTCCCGTTTTGGAGAAGATTTGGTCGGAGAAATGTTGGGTAAGTTGGATCGGAAAGACTTTTTATTCTTCTGAGGAGTATCGGGGATGTAGGGACGATCGGTATCGATTGGCATAGGGGGCATTTCCGTCGTTGGTGATTGTTTAGGAGATGAAGAACGTTGATTCTCGCGCTGAAACGAGATCAGCCTTTCTCCTTTCTCCCATAATTCCAACAACAATCTTTTTTGATGAATGTCACGAGACTCGATCTTTCGATAACAAAACGTCACAAGCAGTATATCCACGAGAGAAAGAATATCTGCAAGTTGACGAAGAGGAATCAAGATCGAATGTCTAATTATGTCGCCTAGGTTTTCTCCCCTCTGACCTGACTTGTCTTTCAGTACGACCAGTCCATTGTCCCATCTCCCCCGTACCCGTAGGCGTAGGCGTAGCACGAGGACTGGTGAAAATGTCTTCGGCATCCGCATCTGCATACCTTCCATCCATATTATCCGCGAGTTCTTCCTCTACCGCGTCGTCCTCAGCCCAGCCTGGACTGGACGGAGCACGCATTCCGGGATGCATGAGAGGACGATGATTCGGTAATTGGGGACGGAAGTTTGCAGAGTCCTCGATCGAAGAGGCTCGTTGACGCACCATAGTTTTGAGTTTTTGCATCAACGATTTGGTGCGTTTGACACCTCCGGTCGGAGGTCCCCCTGCAGTGTTCGAGTTGGTCCTATACGCTCCAGGGGGCATTTCGGAACTAGGCGACGGCATGTCTTCACGCATCCCCGGAGAACGGGGAGCAGGTGCGTTGCGTAGGCCAGGAGAGCGAAGAGGTTTCGGTTCCACGGCGTATTCGTCAACAGGAACGGCAGGACCAGCACTGAAATCGACTGTCTAGTCAGCTTCTTCGAATTTTGTGCTGCATGAACGGATGTGACTCACATTCTTGCATCTCCCCTGGCGATTGCCCAAAGTCTTCAAACGGCTCAGCTAGTCATCAGCATCAACCCAGGAAGGCGGGAGAACGGACATACGATCTTGTGTGCCCCAAGCCTCTTTCAACGCATTATTCCATCCTTTCCTTGGTTGAGTGTCTTCCATTCCATTCTCCCTCAATACGGGAAAGTAAGCGCCACTGGACGGCATGCTTGTTGAGTATTGGCCAGTCAATCCGCCGCCCGAGATCCGACGCGACTGAGTATGTTTGTCTCGAATTGCAGATTGACCTTTCCTCACCGGTCTTGTCGGCATCTCTGGGACGTCGCCGGTGGGGATCTTGCCTGGGACCGGGGGTGGAGAAGACAGAGAGATGGTGGCCACACCTCGAGGGGGTGAGGTAACGGGCGGACCATGGAACGCCTGCATGGGAGCTTTGGAAGGCGGAAGATTGAGGTTACGTGATGGAGCAGCAGCATCGTATGGTCCGGAGCTTAACGTCAGCTTTGTTGTCCATTCATCCCATGCCTTCCAACAATGCAATTACGCCTCGCGGTCACATAACGTGTGAGTTGCAGCATTGGGGGACGTGTTTGGAAGACATGTATGGTTGGTGTGGACGTCGAAAAAGTTGGACGACCCAATGGGACGACGGCAGATATCTGACTATATGGGATGGGTGTACTCACTGATGCCACACTGTTGCATAGTCAGCTTTGTTCATAGGTATGGGTAGAAACACTCACTCGCACTGCCTAAACCCGTCGGGTCCCAAGTATCTATGACATCCGCGTGTCTACTTGCTTTCTTTTCCTCAGCTGCTGTTTTCTGTCCCGCCGTTAAGGGGGCCGTCCCATCTAGACCATACGTGTCAGTGGATAGCGATCGCCTGGGACGAGCTTTTGTTGGTGAGGTTGTGGTTGTGGAACTGTCAAGTCGGGAATAAGGTGATCTCGATTTGTTTGGTAGATGAGGATGAGGATGAGGGTGAGATGAAAGTGAGAAAGATTTCCGAGGAGGAACAGGAGGAAGTGTCAGCATATCGTCTTTTCTTTCTCTTCTGTTATCTATCTGATAGTTCTTAAAAACTGTCTGATGATACTGAGATCGGTGTTGATGTTGAGAATGATCCTGTTTGAATTTCAATCCAGAAGGGTTCCTTTGGTATTGTGAATCTTTCCGATGTCGACGGAATACACCTAAACAGATGAAAGAAGACAAGAAAGTCTTGAAATGTCTCGTATTCGAGTGGCGATGGTTCATTCACCCGTGTCTGAACTCTGAGATGGAAAGGGGTTTGTTTGGAGAGAAAGGGTATGAATGCAAGGAGAAGATATCCAACTCGTAGGAGAATGAAAGATCCTTTATACCCCCCTTTCTTCCTCGTCTCCCGCCGACCGTCTTGTGTCATACCTTTCGCACGGTGTCGACGAATTAGGCGGGGTGGAGGCGTGTTTGTCCGGCCATGACATTGTTCAATGGGAGATAGATGACATGATGACGCATGTCTCATAACGATGACGATCGACATGGTGAACGATGCAAAGAAAGGGAAGTCAAGAGAATGAGGGGATGGGCTGTATTTGGGGTGTGACACCATAGGGCGGGATATGGAAATCGGGAGATTGGACGTATGTGTGAACCCATAACAAGTAGACATCCCGAAGGATCGGACATGTTTTCCTCGTGTATCAAGCATGAAGGTATGGTTTGGAAGATCTCTCCTTTACGCGTGAGAGTCGAGGGCGAGTTGAATGACATATGGTATATGAAGTTGAAAAGTGTCACACATGTATCTCAAGAGAGGAAACAGACAAAAAACCGTATGGACACGTTCTCAAGGATCAAGGAGACATGATCAAGAAAAAAGACAGAAATATAAAACTCACCCAGTTTGTGCACGGACAGGCTTCATTCTTGTAGGTTGAACAACACCAACAACTTCAGAAGGTGTTATCCCTATTCCTGTTCCACTTCCTACTCCGGTCAATCCGGGCCCACCACCAGAATGAGTATTCTTCAGATTCCCTGGAGGTCGTACACGTCCTGTACCGACAGGTTCGACTTCATCCATTTCGAAAGGGTTGATAGCGGGACGCATGACTTGACTAGGGAGTTGAGGTTGAAAAGCCATTTCTGGTGTGGAACTAGAATGGGCGTGTCCGTATGATTGATCTCTTGTTTGGGGTTGTAATGAAACTCTAGATGATGTCGGATGTGGTTTGGTTGAAATACGAACTGAATCTCTGACCGCTTGTGCGAGTCGATCTGGGTCTAGATGATTGGAAGATTGAGAAGTGGGAAAAGATGAAAAGGGAGAAGGATGAATGGTATCCTTTGGCGGTGGAAGAGGGGGAGAGATGGGAGAAGGACCACGCGACATGATTGGTCGATGGGGAATACCACTAAGACTACTACCACAAAGATTGCCTTTTTCAACGGTCACTCTTATGTTTTGTTGACTCCTTTGTCCTGTCTCACCCGTCGATAAGAGTAGGTGAGGATCGATGTGATGAAAACGGATACGACTAGAAGATGTAAAGATGTATGCCCTAGAGTAGAGTGACTTTGAGTGTAGAGAGGGCGAGTGAGCAAAGGGCAAGAAAGTCAAAAGTGGGTGAACCCTGAATACCCCACATACACCCTTGACTTGGCTCAGTTTACTCCCTATCACTTCGATTCCACACAGCATTTAGTCTGCATAAACGCATAAACTACTCTCCGTACTTCGACTTGGATCGCTATGACGCAGCTTCAGAACTTCATACACTATCAAATATGTACTTACCCCAAAGACATGAGACATTTCCTTTTCCCACAATATCCCCTTTGCTATCAATGAAAGATGACGCACTACTTACCCCCTCTCTCTAGATGTCTAAACATGTTCGGATTATTGATATCCCATTCTCGTCATCCGTTCCTGATTCTTCAAATAAACATCTTCGAATCCGGCGTTTCTCCGAAAACGAAAAAGAATACACCGCCACTGAGTCTGCCAGTGACCTGCGGTCAAATACCTGCATTACTGTACCCGACGGACAAGAAAGCCAAGACAATTCGTACCCTCTAAGCGGTGTCATCTCTAGACACCGTAGTGGGAGTAACCGGAGTAACTTGTTGTTCTGGCATATCTTCCTCTTTAACTAAAGCCAAGCCAAAGACGGTGATGATGGTAAACGCGAAATTGACGATGAACACCACGTGAAGGGCATGTTGATAGGCGTTTACAGCGGCTGTGCGATAAATTTCTGGAAGACTGACGATGGAGGAAGTGGAATGACGGATGGTGTATATGATCTTTCACGTCAGTTCTCGTCTTGACTGAGAATGTGTTGGGATCTATCCTGTCATGGCGGAGTTCGGGGTGTTATGGTGCACGGAGGGAGGAGTACAACAGAGGAACCTAGTGACCAGGGAATAGTCACACATATGTAGGATTGGGATTATCGAATGGCTCACCTCTGAGGCATCTGGACCAGTGATCAATCTTGACAGGTCCTTCTGGAGGATAGATTGGACGATAGCGGCTGATATTGAAACACCTAATACTTGACCTGACGTCCTGAATAGATAACTCACTGAACATCAGCGACTGCTCACATCTCTCATGTTAAACTCACTGCTTGTCGCTACGGCACTGAAATCATCAGCTTTTTGGTCGAGTGAGAAGGAAAGAATATGACTCACATTTCTCCTCTTCCCTGTCTTGTAACCTCCGTCATGAGAGCAATCAAAGAACTTGTGAGGACTCCAGCATAACCGGCACCAGCAGGAGCTACCGAAACCCAAGATAACCAACCGGGACTATTCTCTTTCCAAAAACACATCATTCCCGCGCTGATAACCATGATCAAACCTCCAATGACGGAACACCACCAATATCTACCCGTATGACGTATGATCCATCCCATTCCTACCGACCCCACTGGTCCGACGAGGGAATATGGAAGAAGATGAGCACCAGATATAGAAGCGGGTCGTAGTTTTACAGCGGAGAAGAAAAGTGGGACGTTGTAAAGAAGAGAAAATTGATTGAATACCATTGTGAAAGATGTGAAAGCGACTGAAAAGGGAGTACGACGGGATAAAAGTTGGAATGGTAGAGTTGGTTCGGCCGCCCAACGAGTTTCTACAAGACTGAATAGTGTAAAGAATAAGATGGAATTGAGTAATAAACCGAGAATGAGAGGATCAGACCATGGATAATCCGTTCCGTCATCTTGTAAAGAAGATGTCTTGATGGAAATGGAAACGAGAAGAGAACCAAGTGCGATGACTAAAGTCAATGATCCTAGATAATCGATTCTTCTCAACGTTGCTTTAAACCCAGATTTCGAAGATGACGAGGGTATGTTTGAACTTGAAGATGTTGAGATCGATTGAGGATTGATTAAAGTAGGTTTTATAGGTAAATGTACATGTCGAAGAGTGATGAATATACCAATTGCGCAAATGATCATCAGAGGTAATTGAAAAGTGAAAGAAGCTCTCCATCCTAAAGTATCAGAGATTAAACCTCCAATAGGACCTCCAACAGCTCCTCCTAAACCAAAAGCGATATTAGCATAACCTTGAAATAAACCTCTTTGTCTGAGACTGACAAGATCAGTCATTATGACAACACCAATACTTTGAACACCACCACCTCCCATTCCAGCTACACATCTTGCGAATAGAAATTCCATACTTGGTGCTATAGCACAAAGAATCGTTCCAAGAAAGAAAAGTGATAATGCTCCGACGTAGGTAATACGACGACCAATAAGATCGGAAAGTCTACCATAAATAGGAGTGAAACAACATAAACTGAGAAGATAAGATGTTCCTAGCCATGAAGCTCTATTGGAAGAGTCGAAATATGATCCTATAGGTGTTAAAAGTGTAGCTACTATCGTACCGTCTAAAGAAGCTAAGAAGGCACCGAACCATACGAAGAAACAAACGAGTCGGAATCGAGAGGGGGATAGTCCGGCAAGGTTGTGATGGGGTTTAGGAGAAGGGGGAAGTAAGGGAATTGTTTCGCTGTTCATTTTGTGTGCTATGTGGGAGAGTTCGTTGGGTCATGGATAGAAGGAAGACCAGGGGTGATATCAATATGTATTATATGGGTCTAAGTGATAGGGAAAGAAGACCAAGGGGAGGAAGGGAAAACATCCTTTTTGCCTAAGCCAAGAAAGGATAAAATTCGGTGTTTGAAAAAAATCAATCTCCGAATCTTTCGCCATAATCTCATCTTTGGCCTTCATGCCGATGGATTATGTGATGATGGTGGTGAGGGTGAATGGATTGTTCATCTCATGTTACATGTTACATGACACATGTCATCCAGTTTCATCCGTTATTGTTAATAAACTCAGCTGAGAAGGCGAGAAGGCGAGTAGACGAGAAGGCGATAAACGAGCGAGTCATCTGCCAAGACTACTCTCTGACGCCCTACGCCACTTTCCATACCTCTGGCATTTGACAATACCAGAACTTACCCAACACTCGAGTATGTCTCTGCCTGAGGGATTGAGATGAACCTATCATCTTTAGAATCCCCAATTATGCATAGGAAAAAGCAGTGTTCGGAAGCATACCCCTTAACTTGCAAAATGTTGGCGATTGGTTGACGACCGCTACGTCATTGGCCGTTTCCCCGCCACTAAGAAAACGCAACGCCACCGGCCACCAGGCTGTGCGCTCACTCTTTCTCTCTCTTTTCTTCATCCTTTCATATAAACCCCTTATTCTCTCTTTCACTTCTCCCCCCCTCATCCGTTTGTTACACATAGAGACAGTATCAGTCACAGTCATGTGGTTAATCCTCTCTAGTTTAGCTTTGGCCAGTATGGTAACTGCCGACACATGTTATGATCGTTTTGGTGAGTCCCTCCCCTTTCTTGTCAGTCGGAAGTCAGTCCAGGAGTTTGTCTCACGAAACAGGTTATTCTTATTTTTGTAACAATAATGGACTTTCATATGGGGCCAGAATAGGTATAGGGGTCGGTATAGCTGCTGGTGTCCTTGCTTTGGTTTTGTTATGTTCGTTTTGGCGACGTCGGTGAGTGTTTACATCTTTTACTGTACTTTCAACTTTGAACTTTCTGCTCTTTTGTAAATATTACTCTCCTCCATTACATTCCTCAATACATATGGACTTGTCAGGCTACAGTCGTTATATCTTCAAGTATCAGTTTGGATCAGGTGAAAGGTCATAATGAAACTTAACCCCCAGTCAACTCCAACGACAATGGGCTAAATATCGTCCACCAGCTTTACCAGTAACCAATCAATCAGGACAAACTTCCGGTCCTGGTCAATATACATATGGTCAATCCGCTCCTTATGCCAGTAACCCACCTCCACCAAGTAATTTCCAATATCAACCAAACGGGGTTCAACAACCCGCACAGACTTATCAACCCAGTATGGCCGGACAATACGGGAATAAGAATGGTCCAGGTATGAATACTGGGAACGGGGAGATGGAGCATGAACATGGGTACGAGTGGGATCAGGCGAGAGCGAATGGGAATGTACCTCCTCCGGGTTATGAGGTTTCAAGTGAGTCGACAAGTCTTTTTCCTTCTCGTGTGCATTCCCTTATAGTCTCTGCTAGCTGTTTTACGAAATGGAGAGTAGGGGAGGGAGGGAGTGAATCAATGCTCATGACTAACGTTCAGATCAAGAAAGCTTTGCACCTCCCCCAGGAGCACCTCCAGGGAAACGAACCGAAGGTACTGTTTAGTGAGGATTGATTGAAGGTTGAAGAGGATTGAGGCGATGGAGTATAGGAACTTGAGGATTAGACGGATCTCTTGAAAGTGTACAATACAACTAATGCGATTTTTGTGTGTTCTGCTTACTTAAGTGACAATCAAATCCATCCTCCGTTCTAAACCTGGCTTTTGATTTTTCACCAAGTTTCTTTCCATGGGTTCAAACATGGAGCCAGTAATGTGTATATGTTATGAACTGATTCATCCGAGTGGTGTACTCATAAATTTACATACAGGTTGGTCGAGGTGGTACCTACATTCCTATAACCCTTCCCTAAGCCATCTATTCTTCCTTCTAGGACTCTCCGCTTCAATAGGTAACCAATCATACAACTCATTTTGGTCTACTTCTTCCTGCTTTGGTCTCACACGTGTAGATCTTGACCTTGGTGAATTCCCATTAGTTGATCCGTCACATGTCTGAGCCAAACGTGAACCGTCACTGGAAGAAGAGACAATCCTCATGTCTGAACCTTTCACTAATAAAATCAACAAAAATCCTTGCAGAGTGACGTTTTAACCACGGAAACTCGTACGTCAGAGAATCTGATGGAGCTATGGTCATTATTGGTAGCTATCTCCATCTTGCTCAGGCCCTCGGATGGTGTTTCTTAAAGACAGTGAAGATATTGAGATCAAAGAGAAGAATGTTAAATAAACGATGAAGACTCACCATAATTGAACCAACTCATACTTACCAAATTCACCAATTTATCTTTTGATCCACATACAGCTTTTACCCATTGAAGTTTGTCATCTAAAGTACCTGTATAGGCAGTTTCACCAAGGGCGAATTTGACGTGTGACCAAGATGGGTCTAATATGGTCAGTCATATGACTTTTTGCTCAAGATGAGTGTTTTTTTTTCCTTCTAACATCGGAGAGCTCTGCTGATGACTGTTGAATACTGATGAGTCGTATGGAAGATATCCCTGATTGGAACACGTCACGTTGAACGCAAAATCCTTCAAAATAGACTATGTAATATCATGTTTCCTCTGATAGGTCTCTCTGAACTAAATGAGACTGAAGGAGTTGCATAAGACTTATTGATGGAATGTGAATTTCTTCGAAAAGAGGATAGAAAGGTTAGGTTTTGATACTTGATGATGAAGGTGAAGTGAAGACGAGTGATCGAGAGACAAAGAGAAAGAAAGAAAAAGAAAGAAAAAGTTTGAATGAAGGTGATATATACTGAGACAAAGTTGGAAAACACCCTTTTGTAGAAACTCACCATTGATACCAGTGAAATCATCATGAAACTCTTGCATTTTCCCCGCATAATCATCCGAAGTTAAAGATCCAGAATCGGAAGGATAATAATCCACACCTATATAATCAACGGTTTTAGGATCGGTAGGTATCCAATCTTTGTAAGCTTGGATATTTGCGATATTTGGTGAATAAAACATTTTTATATCAGGTTGACATTCTTCTGCCATTGATTTCCAAGCGGTTTTGTATTCTTCTGGAGTACCGGTATAAGTCCATCCTGCACCTTGAGAGTCGTACCCTGTTTATATCAGCTTTCGTGACTTGACAATCACCAGCTATATACCTGAATGTTATCGTATTGCGGGAGCATCACGTCTGTTCGGAGTATTAAGAGTGTATCGGGTTGTCCAAGGTGTTCGGGGTCGAGAGAGAATGGTACAAAAGTGCGTCTTTGTAGATAGAAAAGATTCAAGTGACGCGAAATATGAAAGAGAAGGAGGAATAGATGGGGAAAGTAACAAAAGGATAGAAATGACAAATGACTCACAATTTACCTACATGTTAGTTACATTCAGGACAATTTAAAGGTAATTAAAAAAAAAGAATACCCACCTCATGTCCATATCTCAACCTCACTTCCGCTACACCAGTCTTCTGTTTGATGGTCTTCAAAACTCCACATACAGCAGGTGCGACACTCCCATCAAACCCCCCTTCTGGCATGACAGCAGCTTCGAAAACTGCCGCTCCACTATCTTTCAATTGTTGGATAGTCTCTGTCAATTGACTACCTTTCCATTCTGTATCACCGGCTTGGACCTGAGCGTACCAACCGAAAGTATAAGCTTTTTTCCCTTGAGTCCATTGGTTGAGTTGATTGATATCTTCTCCTGATCCACCGTCTACACCTTCGTCAGGTAAGAAACCAAATGCTACTCCGTTGAGAGATAGATAGCCGTCTAACGAAGGGAGGGAGGAAGAAGGAGAAGTGGAATTGGGATTTTGAACAGGACATTGTTTGGTTCTTTTTGTCTTGGCTTCTATTTGAACAGTCAGTAAGAGTTGGAATAGAGATATAAGGATCATGCGCCAGCGCATATTGAAGAGGTTAGCTAATAAAGTGAGATGAGGAGAAAGTCAGACGTCGGTATAGAGAAATCAGTAGAATCTCCCTGAATCTGACACACGAATCATGAGCATGGGGTCATAAGCACAAGATACGTATCTCCTTACATGGACGTTACAGTCAACATGTTCCAGGAGTGTGTACAAGCTGAGAAGTTGTCGTCAGCATGGGAAATACAGATGCTTACCTTTCAACTACCTTCTCCACGAGGTGTGACCTTTGTGAATCGGTCCACACGCTTGTAACTCGTTCAGTTGTCACAAAGGATGTCAGCTTGTACGCCTTGTGTTGAACACGTATGGTTGACGACTTCCCTTTGAACAACCAGCGTGACATTTTCACTTGATCCCACCAGCCAGCACTTTTGATAGCAGCTCTTCCATCCTCAATTGACTCGCTCGAACATCTTTCAGTTCAGCCTGTAGGGATTCTACCTCACTTTTGCTCGCCAACGTGTCGGCGATCGATGGTCGAGGGGGTGAAGGGTTACGCGTGCCAAACAACTTGGCGAGAGGAGAGTCGAATGCCATACCTCGAGATTGACGTCGAAAATCGGGGAGAAATTCTTCGACAGCATCAGAAGATACGACGCTGCGAGATCTGGGAGGTGTGACAGGTTCGTCGGCAAGGGGTTCAACCTGGAACACAGACTCGATAAGGACTTCTGAGCCCCCACCGATTATAGAGCTGGACGATCAATATCCATACCATACTTTGGGATGGAAGACTTACTCGAAAAGACCGGTGCGCTGCAGACTGTCGAATGTCGAGCCGCGGAGATGAACTGGTTTGTGTATGGAGCGATACTTCCAACGCTCATATGCGGATATAGCGATCAAAATGGGAAAGTTCTAGGTTATCAGCAACGCTTTCAAAGACACAGAAGACGACTTACGGTCACACGGATGGCAAATACATTGATGCGGTGTAATGTCCTAGGCGAACACGTCCAGCTCAAGGGAACGAGGAAGAAGAATGCGAGGAGGTTGACGGGAGGATAATACGAGAATACAGCATCACTTTTGACACCTTCGACAGTGGTGACCACTCGTTGGAAGAGATGCTGAGGCATTAGCTCCTGTATGATCTGACGGCACTCACTTCTTCCTGAGCGTTGCCATGTATCTCGGCAAATTTGTTGGACAGGATGGCAATGAGGATAGTTATTAGTAGAACATTGCACAATGCACTTCAGATTAGCAAAGACCTGTTACCCTCTTATGGATCTAGAAACTCACGCGTAACCGATGAGCACTATAGGACCAAATATGGGATGGAACGATTCGGATGATGAGAAACCTGTCAAGTCAACAAGGTCTAAAGAGCACTCAGCGATCAGACTGACCTAGATAAGATGATCCAAACTGGGATGATTAGCTCGATGGCTTGGTTTGTGCTGCTCCTCAACTCACCCAAATTTGTCCGAACGTCAGCTCAAATCCAGCGAACACAACGAGAGCTTACAGCATGAGCCATATGATCTGTCGGACAGACCAAGTACCTCGGGCCAAGGTCCAAAGGCAAAAGCCAATGCCAGTGAAAGCCAGGACTTTGTCCCTCAGCTCGGTAAGAATATGCGCTTTAAGCGAGCTTACTGGTCAAACCCATGAAGCTGAGAAACCGACTGATCATCGCTCGGAGCTGGGAAGTTAGCCTGGCAGCAACCTGGAAGAAAATTATCAACCCACAGCGAGGATAACAACATTGTCTTTGATCAAGAAGAAAACCAGACGAGGGAAAAGGATACAAGCGCCGATAGCAAGAATATCGAATGCTAAATCCGAAGTGTTGGGAGATCGAGAAGCCAAGGCAACAATGCGGATCACAAAGTATACGAAAAATATGGCTATCTGAGTCTCTCAGTACCTTTCTCTCGACATTGCATTCACTCACAAAGGTCATGTCGAACGCGTTCCAAGCCTATAGCGGAATTAGCTTTGGTTCTGGATTGTACAAATGGATTATCCTACTCACGTTAGCCGCATAGACTGCGATATAAGCTAACGACTGTGTTATAGAGCAGCACAACTCACCTGTCCAGCCATGCTCTTTGGACGTTGCGAATTCGTCTAGAGCGAACCCCAAAGCAAAGACCATGAACATGACCTCCGCCACTCCTAATTTCGACATGTCTTTCACTGAGTAATGAGCATAAGACTTGCTTCACATGAGTCACGCTCTCAAGGGGAGAGAGCCTAGAAATGACCATCGAAAAGAGGCTGTTGAGAAGCCAATACAGTCTAGGGATTGAGGTTGGTTGGAATCCATGAGGAAGTATCTTCCTTCGCGGTCGTAAAATTCAAGAATTTTTTGCACAACCTGATGACTTACGAGATAAAGTAGTCACGAACAACACGAGCAACACAACAAAGCTTCCAAATTCCAACCACCACCTCCACTTTGGTACTCTCAACCTCTGGTGGTCTAGCCAACCAGCCGTAAAAGGGTCATAGACATAAACTTCTGCTAAATCTTCCTTCTCAGGCGGACCGTTGCACACACGAGAGAGAGTGGAATGGGGCTGTCGTAGTTGACGAGTGCGTTCGGAGACGTACATATCGGAAATGAGCGCACGCGATGCGAGGGGGGAGTAAACCAGATGACCTAGGTAGATTTCGTTGATCAGATGTTGAATGAGAGGTAGGGAGAGAAAGTGTTTGGAGGTGGACACTATGGCGAGCTGTGTGTCAACTTTCATTTCTGCTGCAGTGCTACATCTATCATTCCGTTCGTTCCCTCTCCCTCTGTGTCTCGGTCAAGTGTAAACGGCAGGATATGATACTTGAGTCCGTGGGAAGCGGAATTATGGAGAAGAACCTTGGAACTCTCAGAGAGAGGTAAGTGTGGAAAATGATTTGATGAAAGCTAGGTCTGGGAAGCTGAGTTCGCTCACCTCAAGAGCACTCCCGGTGGTCTCTTTGACATCATCCGCTTCCGAACCCATGGAAGCCCAAACTTCCTCTGGCGCTCCATCAAAAGGACACCAACCTCTGACCAACTCTCCAACTAATTCAGCTTCGTCTTCTTTATGGGAAACTGTCCTGAGGAGTTTCACTGTTGAGTTAGGTCAATCCAGAAAGGACGTAAGCACGAGAAATTGGCCGAGGCAGGAGTGTGGAGAGGGCCAGGAGAGTGTTGAGGAGAGACTCAGGAAGAGGAATAAAGAGTTTAGTCACAGGGAGACAACATGACGAGAAAAACGAAAGGAGATACCTGTTAGATATAGAGGGTTGAGAAAGAGACCACTCGTACTCACTAGCCAGTAATTCACAGAACGCAGCTCTGGAACATTGTAGAGGTGCCCAACTTAGATCTTGTCTTGCGAGGGACATGAATCGTATTCTTTATATCAGTTTCTTCTTCGCAACCGACATATCATCCTTTCCCAGTCTATTTCAGTCTCCAACCGGCGGAATGTCTCAGCCCACTAGATGTGAGCCGAATGGAAAGAATACTCGAGTGTGATTCACAAAGCTTGATATTATGCTGCGTCCATTCTGATATCCGAAATCCAAGGAACAAGATAGACACCATGGAAGGGGTTATGGTGAAGGCAGTCTTGAATATGAATCGAAGTGAGAAATGTTCAAATGGTGAAGAAGAAGTAGATGAATATGTATGTACTGACCTATTGACCATCAAAGCATATAACAAACCTCCCAATCCCACTCCCTCTTCTATCCCACCTTCATTCCTCGACACATGTCCCGTTTCACCTCGATCACCGCTAGTTGTATAATCTCTCCTCCCTTCTCCCAATTTTGACTTCGATTCACTCGAACCAGACCCCCTCTGCTCCTTATCCCCAAATCGGAACCGCTCGACGATAGGTCGGACGAGAGAGTAATCCACAGGTGGGGAGTTCAGAGTATCCCATGAGAGACTACTATCGATGGCTGTTGTGATAGTCTTGTGAAGATCATGTATGAGATCGAAGATCGTCAGAGGGGTGGATGAGGTTTTAGGGTTTGGCATAGTGATTGGTGCGTCATAGGAGGTGTGGTGAGGTGGAATGAGGAATGATGTGTGAGGTATTAACTTAGTAAATCAAACTCTGCGGGTAAGCGATCCGGGTGTCTCCACCTTGAGGGACGAAAGACCTGTAAGCTCAAGATAGTTGGATGCCTCACACAAGGTAGACTGGCTGGCGGTACTTAACTCAGGAGACTACACAGCTAGCTAGATGACCACTGAACATACATGGGAAATATGAGCAAGATGCTATCTAGATTATCTACCGACGGTATAAAGTAATAGCACTGCACACTGCACGCTGCACCATTCCCTCCACCCCTCTCTCCATCTCAGTCTCAAATCAGCATCTTTGATATGTCTAGATCCCAAACTTCCAATTGTCTAACCAATGAATGTTACTATAAACTCCTGCCCTGTCATGATGATCGAATCACCCTGTCTGACCGGCCATCCATCCACCCATTCATCCCAACTATACCCCATCGACGATAGGCGCCGGCCCCAAGATACGTTCATTCTCAATCCTCTCACGTTCCTTCACACCCTTTTTCTTCGGCTTGGCATCACGGATCGACACGGCGCCGCTCTCCTCGAGCACGCTACGGAACTTTCCGCTATCCCGCAGCTCGAGGATCTCGTGATATGATCCGAGAGTCTTGCCCTGCAAGACCAATTGGGGGAGTTCGTTGGTTCCGAGCAACCGGGCGAGAAGCGGGACAAAGAGGAGATGATCGCGACGTTGGTCAACATCGACTATAAGAGGAGCGGGGGTGATTTTAAATTCCGAGAGCATCTTTTTGATCTCACGATGCCAAGGATCACGCATTTTTCCAAAAAGAACGATAGGATAAATGGCGTTGATCTCGTTGACCAGCAATTCGAGATCTTCCTTTGCCTGAGGGTGCAATGGATCAAAGTCAAGAACGACGGACGGATCGAGAGGTACCGAAGGGTCAAGAGGGGGCAGAGCGTTGGCAGTGGTGGAAGTAACAAAGCCGATGAGGGAAAGGAGTTCTTCACGTTCGTCACTGAACTTGAGAGGTTCACCGGAAGACGTATACCTGGTGCTGGTTTGCTCTTCGAATACGATCTGCTTGCCAGATTGGTTGATGTCTATCAGACCGTCGTCGGCAAAACGTCGAGTGAGAGCCATTTTTTGCTGCTGAATGAACAGATCCATACGGGAAGCTTCGGACATGGCACGAGTAAGGTAGACTAGCGCAAAGGTGAGGAAACAGAATCCAAGGATCAATGCTGGACGCAATCGACGAGGTACTCGAAGCATGTAGGATAGGGTGGTAGTGTATGACTGTTTACCGTAGGGATTAGTGATAGGATAGTATTTCTGATCGGTGTTAGCGAGCTGTTCTGTGCATGGTGAATATAGGTAAACTCACTTTGGAGGTAAAGGAAGAAGAGAAAGCGTTGATAGCGTTTAGTCCAGTGAGGGGGTTATTGATGGGATGCCCCTTTGGGGTATGAGGAGGACTCGGCCCTTCGGTCTCATACGCCGCATACATCTTCTTACGAAGAGGATGATGAGGGGGTAGAAGAGGGAAAGAAGGACGCATGAACTCGTCGGATGTACTCTCTGGGGTGGGCAATTGAGCCATGGATGACAAGACCGAGTGATCTGACTTTGGAGCTTGAAGGATGAGATGAAATGGAGGAGGACTAGTGGTGGGCGTCTGAACCGCAGCGCTGCTAGCGGGAGAATCTTCCTCGTCTTCATCGTCGGATGCGGAGAGTGGGGGTAGGGCGAGAGGTGACGAGGGAGTGACGGGTGAGTTACCAGCTGAAGAGCCAGACCAACGTCTATGCGACTCGGTATTGATGGTGAGTTGATTCGACATGTTGCCGGACACCTTGGTAGGAGAGAGATTGGGCGAGGTAAACCAAGGAGGAGTATTTGTACCCGTCGGGGGAGGTGTGGTGGGCGGTGTAAGAGGAAAAGTGACGATAGGATAAGATGAAGTTCGACGTTCAAATTTAGGGAGGGTAGGATGATGTTCTTTATTGAAATAAGACTGTAGGAAAAAAGTCAGCTAATGCTGCGTCGTAGTGCAAGAAAGTAATGATAAGCCAAAGTGAAACGGGTAGATGATCTAGATGACAATTAGGAAGGAAAAGAGTCAAAGATTAGATGGTATGGTAGTGGGAAACGAAGAAGCGATTGACGGTCAGGGGTTCGGAAGTGAAGCGAAGGTGAAAATCTATCTCACACCACACGATCACCAATCGGGTCAAGGCTGGGCGTAGAAAAATGGGAAGGTATCGAGGATTAGGGTGTGTGGACCATCAAGTTTCACCCTGGTAAAAAAGTGAAAAAACGGGTAGGACACGGGTGACGATGAGGCGGACGAAAGGGGGGAGTGACCGGGTGCCCGGGTGTGATGGATTGATGAATTGATGGTGAATCACAACCAAAAACAATACTAACACCGAACCATTGAAGAAGGGGATACGACGACTAGCGTTGTAGAAAATTGAAATGAATGAACGCTACCAGCAGTTGCGACGGTCTGAATGGATAATGGCTGTGGAAATGGCACTGGGCACTGGGCGTTGAAGCATGAAGTATGAACCCACCATGGTTCACCCAAGGCTTTTTGAAAGTTGGCGGTTTTCGTCTCGTTCCTGGTCCGGAATTCGCCGGAGTTGGGGTGACTTTGCAATCTGCTCGCGTCAGAACCGAACGAACCAAAACGCCAATCTCGTAATTTTGGACAAAAACCGGTGGAGCCTGAGACCGAACGTGGCGGTTTAACGCTGGTACGCTGGAATCGTGCATGACAGAAAGGTCTAAGGTGGGAAAAGTTAGACTAGAGAAAACTTGAGCTACTTACGAGATAAAAGTGGAGAAAGCTGGCTACACTATCTTCAGTCGGCTGAAAGACCAAGTACGACTATTACTACCACTACAATGACGTTTGATAAGATGAGATACCAGTTACCCGGCAACGGTGTGTTACTTTTTGAAACGACAAGTTGGGTTATGTCAGAAAATAAGAAGATGGAAGAATGAGGGAATACGACTCTCTCTCCCAACCTTTATGACATGTCGCCAGAGATAGGAAGTTTAGAAAACGGACAGGATAAAGGAACCAGTGGAATTTCAGAGTTCACTGGGCACTTGATGGACAAGCAGGCAGCAGGCCGCAGGCAGCGATCTCTAGGTGAGTGAACATGCTTTGGGAAGGTCCAGACGGTGTGACCCAGTGCTCATCAGATACTCCGGACATCACATCTCTCAAGAGATCAAGAACAAGAGGTTTAGAGGTAGAGAAGGCGGGAAGGGAGAAGAAGATCGAATCCAAGCAGTCAAAGAGGTTGTTCTTTGGAATTCTCCGAAAAAATCCGTGCCTAACGTTCCTGTTCAATTTCCCTCTGTCATTTCGCCGCCGGCACTTTCTCTTTCGTACCTGAGAAAACCAAAAATCATATATGCGAGACAATCCGTTTTCGGGAAAGTTGTAAAGTTTTCAAACACCTTTCCGATCCTTGAGAACGATTTTTGCAGCTGTGAAAGATGGTGGGAGGAAGAAAATGTCTCGCTTGAACATCCGGCGACCGGCGATCCCGGGAAAACTTACCTCCCCTGACAGGAACATTTCATCCTTTCCGCAAGTGGAAATACAGGACGACGATCAAGTTTTTCGGTTTGTTCTCTCAAGTCCGAAGTCATGGTACACCTCGCATTCCTTGAAGCAGGTGTTTTGAGACGTTCTAGAGCAGGAGATGGAACGTTCTGTCCCTGGTGCCATGATTTGCCCGTCTGTCGAACCCGATTCCTACGATTAGAGTGCTCTTCTCCCCTCGATAGGTCAAACTTGTAAGAAAGCTTGTTCTCGGACAAGAGGTCTTGGCAAGACATGCTTTGTCTCACCCAGACGGCCTCGAGTCTTAGACACCGGATTGAGTGAATTGTCGGACTTACAGAGAGTCCATCTCCGAAGAGTCTATCGCAGTGGAGAGATCAGTGTCACGAGGGAGAAAGAGGAAGCGCAGTACTTGATACTTTGGTGACTAGTGAGTGCTACATGCTACATGCTACATGTTAAGGACAGAAACAGTGTCTCCATCGGTGAGTGACTTCAGTCCCAAACGTCTTCTCACCCTTCTCCTCCGTCTCCGTAGGTCGTAGGCCGCAGGCCGCAGGATCGCAGAAAACCAGGCGAGTAAGTATCATTCCATACATTCCATGAGCGATAAAATTAATAAAGAATCGCCAAGTCCGATATCGATTGGGAGTACGAGTACTGATCCGCGTACTACTTTAGTTCTCGTCGCAAGCTCGCCAATCGCCAACACATCACACCGGGAAAACCGCCGTGTTTCGGAAGCCCAATCGGGAGACGGAGGTGCGTAGTGAAGAATGGCCGTCACAAGGATCAGGCACGTCCCTCCCACTGTCAATCATCTCCTACTCGTCCACAATTCCTCCTTGACTGCCACTGGTCACATCATACATGGCCACATGGTACATGGGTAGATGAAAGTAACGGAAAGTCTAGATCTGTTGGGAGAACATTGGGTAAATGACAAGGAAAGACGATAGAAGGCGACCTGTCATTCGGGAACAACTTGACAACCATATTCAAGTAAAACTTGACGACCGGTCAACATCTTTCCATCTTCATCCCATCACCCCTTTCCCCTCTCATAAGCAACACCGTACCTTGGATACTTACAAATTCTGACTACTTCCGATTGTGTCCGACTACTTGATTGACATGACTGATATATAACCACTCTATACCCACATCTGAACAAGCCTGGAGCTGACAATTTGACCTCATACATTCATTCATCTCCCCTCTTTCCCCTTCCCTTCGATAATCCCATATATTTCTATTCAAGATGCACTTCCATCCCGTGATCTTTTTGTTGGCTTCGGGAACTATGATGATCAGCGGAAGAGTAGTCCCTCATAAATCGTCGGAGGTGGACTCGGAGCTGAACCCTCGAGCCACTATACTAAACGGACCTACTTGTCAAGGAGGTAGTTTGAACGCACATGATTGTAATGTTGCTTTGTGAGTTTCTTCCAAATTCTCCTTCACTCTTTCTCTTGGCGTATTCACTTTCCCTCTTCAATCCTTCCATCTTTTACTGTATTGTATCGTTATAGTTCGTCAGCCTAAGCCTATGGAATGAGGACGGGTATTGCACACGTCATCTGAAGGCTTGTTACAACGATGCGCTTCAACGTTGTCCAGTCCGTTCGGTGGGATGAGATGCTGTGGCAGCTATCGTCAGATGAGACTCCTACATAAATGAAAGAGAAGTATTTGAAAAACGGAATGAACTGATGTCAGGCTCGGTTTAGGTGGAGGGATAGCAGGTCCAATAGAATTTCTGCGAGTGGACGCAACTACCAATTCATCAACTTCAGGGGGATGTACCAGTGAGTATTGGTAATCTTTCATCTCCGTCCTCATCTTCTCATCCTATCATCTTCTCATCCTATTTACTTGTTCATCGAAGACCGTCAATCATACTCATCGCCCACTTATTCCACGATAGAACACCTCCGAAAAGACTTCACTCTCACATCCCTTAAAGCACACTCTCACTCTATCCGATGACGCATTATCCGCAACGAGGGGGGGGCTGCGACCTGGGCTATGCCAATGCAGCTCATTTAATCTCAATATCCTTTCTCTTCGACGACACTCTGGTGGTGATAGACAGGAAAGAGCTAGATCGCTAGGTCAGTTGTAGAACCAAAAATCTGATCAACAGTGACGGTGACTACTACCAACGGAGGTACGGCTATTGATATTTCAAAGGGTAGACTTGAACAAGGTCAAAAGGCTGCTATTTCCACTGTGAGTTCGTTTCTCCTTTTTGGTTCCTCCTTGTGCTCCTCCGATTTCTTCCTTCACCTGGAAGTAGTCATATGACTCTTCATTGCTCGCTACTTGTCCTCTCACTTCCTGCTTAGACCTTCGTTTCTCACTCATCACTTGCTTGACCACAACGACGACGGCGAGATTCCATCATCTCCATGTACTCTCATTCATCAGTTCACAATCCACTGAGCGATCACTGCACACACTTCTCATCTCATCAGTCTACTGGTCTCCTTCTCGTCCATCATGAGCATACCCATCATCTCTCCATTCCGTTTGGAGCGATGTCAAACCAGAAGTGGATCGAGAACAACCAAATAAAGGCTGATACCAGTGCGGTCAACAAGCATGGACCGTGACTGTTCAAGGTGGTGCGGTCAATGGAGATCTCATCATCCAACAATCTGCTTCTGCTTAGTCTTTCTCAACCCACTGACTCACTCCTCCCTATTACTCCTCCTCAACAAACGTTCCCTTGGTCAAAATCAGTTGGTTTTATCCTGTCAATACCCATTATGTCCATTAAAATTGTGTTTACTCGACCCTGGCGGTCTGGTGATATTTGTCCACAGGGAAATATGCATGTTGTTTACCAAACCTATAAACGTTGCACGAGAACGAGAAGTAAAGGAGGGAAACATAGGTTAGTAGAGGAAAGACGTACCTGATTTCATGTTCACATCTTGATCTTGACGAGTTGAGCTTAAGGCCCGAGGGGTTAGTCTTTGTTCGCATACACAACGCGATTAAGGGAAATGCTACAGCTCTTGAGACGGAAAGAGACGTTGAATTTGGAGAAACGGAAAAATGACGGGATTACCGGAGGGAGATAGGCCATGAAGTGTTACATGAAGGACGATGAGGTGACAGAAAAGTCAAAGAGAGATACGAAAAGACCCAAGTGAAGGTCGTCGAGAGGTTCATGGGACATGAAGATTTGACAAATGTGACGGGGCGGCGGAGATGAGATGAACGTAGAGGGTGTTGAGGATGTTGACAAGATGTTTCGGAATTGTGAAAGACGGTGAAGAGCTTCATGTGTGGGCTGACGAAATCTGCCAGGCCGAGGATGACGATAAACGAGAGAGTGACATCCAGTCCCCCAATTCTTGATATAAAGGCAAGCTAAAAGGTCGCAGGTGGGAGATGTTGATAGGATCATGAAAGTTATTGGGATGCTAACCTATCAACATCGCTCAAAACAATGTGAAACCACTTACGTGTTCTGTCCGATCTGGACCGTTTACTTCCCCCATTAAGACTGGCAGTTTCTGGTGATGGAGGCCGTTTGTTGAGTTGGGCAAAAAGCGGCGTTCCCAATTGCTTATCGGAAGGTGGAGGCACATACACGTGGGACAACCGATCTATATCAGATGCGGTGCGCAGCTCGTAAGGTTGCCATTCATCCGTCTCGACGGGATCAGAGCCACCAGTCAAAGATGTGCTCCCGAAAGGTGGATCGAGAGTTGCGGAAGAGGTGGTAGAAGTAACATCGTCCAAAACAGGGTCGAAAGCTGGTTTCGTCAGCCAGACTTGCGGTCCTTGACGAGAAGCGCACTCACCTTCATCCTCATTACCTTCAAACTCCTCCTCGCCTTCATATACAGCGTCTTCCGAGGAATTTCTTCTTACTTCATCAGAACCATCTGCTTCACCCTCCTCATCATCCTGCTCCCCCAGATCCCCTTCATCGACTTCTTCCACTGCGCTCAACCGCTGCTCTCCGGATTCGATGGACGACTCTTCAAGGGGTGTTTGCGTCTGTTGTTCTAGTAAAGGAGGAGGAGTCCTGTCCACGGCCTCTGCCGCAGCAGTCGGCTTCGGGGTAAGGTCAAGACTTTCCGGTGGTGTGACAGGAGTTTGTAAACCAGTGGGGAGATTGCCGGGGGTCAATTCTCTAGCCTCCTCGTACTCGCCTCCATCTGATGGCGGCGGGGTGTACTCAATATTTTCTTGATATCTTTCTCCATCTCGTTCCCCGCCAGCCTCTTCCTCTTCCTCGTCTTCATATCCTTCATCGTCCTCGTAGTATTCTTGCCCATCTGCCTTACCAACCTGTACCTCGTCTTTTTCACGGTTCAGCTGTGGCTGAGCTTTTGCTTCTGCCTCTGCCTCTTCTGCCTCTGCCTCTTCTGCCTCTGCCTCTTCTGCCTCTGCCTCTTCTGCCTCTGCCTCTTCTGCCTCTGCCTCTTCTGCTTCTGCCTCTTCTGCCTCTACTTCTTCCTCTGCATACCCCTCATCGTCTTGTAACTCCCTTACCTCGTTTTCTTGTAATCCCCTTACCTCGTCTGCTTGTAACTCCCTTACCTCGTCTTCTTGTAATCCCCTTACCTCGTCTTCTTGTAAGTGCCCTTCGTTTTCTTGCACGTCTCTTCCGCTCTCTTGTCCATCTGCGCCCTCCCCTCTATCGCCTTCCTCCTCGTCCTTCCGTCTCTCGATCGGAGGTACAACCGGCTCAGCGGCCAAGTCTTCACTCACCTCCGGCGAACCGGCCTGTACCGCTTCCTCCACGTATGCAGGTATGACAATGGGCTGCCTCTCTTTGTTCGGACTTGCTGGAGGATATCGAGCTTCATCTGAAAAATCATCCGAGATACCGAAGGAGGATAGAGTGGGATCAGATTCACCTTCATCGCGAGGAGCGGGATCTTGTCGTTGGTCTCGGTCGTACTTTTTGGCGGCCACAGGGGTAGGTATCTCCTCAGAAAGATCATCGAGCGGATCTAAAGTAAGAATCGTCTGTTCCACCTCTTCCACATTCTGAGGGACAGGATCATCGGGCTGTCGCTCTCTGCGGTCATTTGCCGCCACAGGAGTAGGTGGCGCTTCTTCAGACAATCCATCGAAATTTTGTCCGGCAGGCTGGATCTGATCGACGGGGTCCTGGTAGTTCTCGACAGTGAAGGGGGTCATTTCGGACCAATCCAGATCCTGATTCTTATCGTGAAGGTCCTTGGAATCCGTTGTGAGGTCGAGGTCAGACGAGTCGTCCTCCTGAAGTACGGCTCTTTCGCCGAACTCTTCGTCAGGCTGGTCATTTTCAGCGTCATCTTCCGGGATAGGCTCATCACGAGGATCGCCACGAGGGGTATGGACATCTTCGACGTTGTCACCTGACAGAGGCAGTTCTTCCACCTCTGTCCGTGCCCACCGAGGCGACGAAGGGTACCGTGGAGAAGGAACCTGAAACTCCGTTGGGAGCTTGAAATCACTCGTACGTACTTGAGATGTCAGCATGGCCCCGGGCACCAGATCAGAAAACCAGCTCACCATCTGTGAGAGAGACAGCAGGAGTGTCCTCACTTAGGCGACGCCTGAACTCGGTGATGGTGCCCGTCCCTAAACGTGAGTCAGTGGGTCAATCCTTGACATGGTACGTGGTCGAAGCGACTCACCAACTATCGCCGAGTCTGGCGTAGGATAAGATACATATCTAGGGACGGGTGCATGATCCGCTCGGGAATCACCGTACCTCGCTCGAGCTGGATATCAGTAGGGGTCTTTCCCACAGAGTCACTGGTTCTCACCTTCAGTATCATTTCTTTCTCGTGGAACCCCAGGATCTGGGGTTATGACATCATCCATCCTTCTCTTGCGGACGGATTCTTCGGGAGCCTCTTCATCCGTATACTCTCCATCATACTCATCTGGTTCTTCTGCATCTAATGTCGGAGCCCGTTTAGGGGGAATCGAATCTGATGGTTGATCACTCTTACTAGCTGGCTGCTGGGTTGCCTTCTCCGAGACTTGCTGACCGTTGAGGGCTTGCTGAATAGCCGTGAGCCGTGAATAGAAACGCTTGGCGTCAAATGACACGAAGAACTGCACAGGCGTTGGAAGATCGCAATCCCGATGCAGTTGCAATAAGACCAGTAAGGTCACTTGATTCAGATGCTTGTCATCCTGTCCAGTCAGTCACCATGCTTGAGGGAAAATAATGGCTCACCTCATACATAACTAGGTCCATCTGTTTTTCTGCGATTACCATTACTCCAGGTTTCGTCAACCCTTCCTTCTCCATTTCTTCTCTAATAGCTTTCCAGACTTGGTCAAGGGTGGCAGTGCCGAGATCTTCCTGACGATTCTTGAGCCATACAGGTAGTGTTAAGCCTCCCGCCACTTCTTGATCGGCTAACGGCGAGAACAGAACTCGAGCGCCAAGATCTGGGAGGTGCAATATGATGGGAGGGAGGTTCTGGACATCAAGTGGGTACTCAGCATCCTCTTCTCCGGGCCCATCCTCATCCTCATAGCCTCCGACACTCTCAGCGTTTTCCTGAGTGGCACCACTCTGAGCAAGGACTGGGGAGTCAGGAGGCTGCCTTCGGATATCGGCGACAGCGGGAAGGTCGAGCGAGTCGAGAGGAAGTGAAGTCTTAGGTCGCGGTGCCATCACTTGATCCTCTAAAGTTAGAGTCTCTGTCGTAGGGTCAGGGTACGGTTGTGATTGAGAAGCTGGTAATGCAAGGGTGGGAAGGAGTTGGGGCACTGTAGGGGAGGGTTGTTCGACCACGTCAGAGGTCGACAAAGGATGACCTAAATCGTCCAACCGTTCATCTCGAGGCTGTAACAAGTTCTTTTCAAGTTTAGATGGAAGGGTGAGAGGGGGAGGTTGCGATGTTTCAATGACAGGGGCCTTCTCGGGAGACATCGTGGCGTCCGACTCATCGGCTACTTGTTTGACTTGTAGGTTTCCCTCGACAACGTTAGGGAGAGGAAACACCTGTGATGAATCTTCGATAGGTTCTTCTACCTCTGTCTCCATTTCGTATTCATCATAATCTTCGCCATCATCATCGGTCATGATCTCATCGCCGTCGATGACATCAGCCGGTTCAACGTCGTCAAAGTCCATACCGTCATCCACGATGTCGCCATGGTCACCGTCGACGTCCATGACAAGGTGGCGAGGTTTGGTCCGGAAGATGGGAGGAAAATAGCGGAACGAATTCAAAGCTGTTCTGGTCTTCCGACTGAGGCTGTTCTAGCTACGTTGCTCTGCCGGTTGTCCGTATTGAATAAGTACATGAGTTGGGAAAAAAGTTAATGAGAAGAAGAAAGAGGATTTCGCACCTGATGGCGACGGGAGACGACGGAACCTAATCCGAGAAGATGACATTTGGCAGTGTGGCAGTGTGGCACCCTATTGTCCCTTTCTTGGTCGAGATTCGAGAACGCTCCATCGATCGCGATTGCGCAATGGAGGAGGAGGCTAAGGTAGTGACGATGGTTGACTGGACAGGGGTCCAAGCACAACTCCCCACTCCCCACAGTCGACGCGTACCCCCCAACATTCCATCCTCTTATTCTTTTCCTCTTTCAAACACCCTCCTCCTCTCCTCTTCAATTACCCATTCAAAGTCAACCTCGTCATGCCCTTCCACCAGGTGAGTCTCACTATCATCCTTCACGTCAGCTTTCTTCATAGCATCTTCCCCCACTTCATTCCAGAAGATGGATGGGGCTGACCTCCCCTCAGCGTGTACAAGACAAAGAGAACAATCCTGTTTCTCATGACTCACGCCCCTTTCATGTGAGCATGACACCAAACGATCCGACTCTACTACTCTCCCCTATCCTCCCTTTACATGTCCTTCTATGATAAGGTGTCGCTGATCCTACCTCCAGACCATATCCTCTAGTACCCAGAGCACCCCCGGCTATCCGGAAGAGATTCTTCGAACCCCACATCAAACCCTCTCCGCCGATGTGGCCGAATTCAAGCCGAAAGGTTACGAACCTGACGATGGATCGAATAGACTGGCGAGTTTCTTATCCGTCTTCTGTTCACCTGCTGACAACTTAAACAGAACGTCGCAGAGCTCATCTTCCCTACCGCCAATCCCGACTCGATGGCCCATGGTCTCGCATCGCCTATCAAAATGAAAGAACGTATCCCCAAGGGGATCTCGGGCCAAACGCAGATTGCCACTGACACTTTGTGTCTGACCGATCTCCATTGGGTGAGTATGAATCGTGACTGTCATTGATAAGCAGCTGACATGTTATAGTGGACTACTCAAGTTCATTTGCTCCAAGCTGCTTACGAAGCGGGCGTGATTCTTCGTCGTGACGATATCACCACTACCGAACACAAGGTCAATGGTAAGACTAAAGGGTATGTTGTTAGATATCTCCCGATACGATTCACTGATTTGTAGAACCGTCTTCCTCTGTTGTCACTCAACCGCCAATGCTATCAAACTGTTCGAATGGTTTCGTCTGAAGTGAGTCACAAAGGGGAAGATCATGGCTCATCTCAGCGTTTTCCAAGGGAAGAGACTTAGTCCGACGTTCGTTCCTGGCAATGCGGCACAGATCCATAAGATTCCCGCAGGTCAGTTTGGCCATTGAGAAGCGTAGCCGGCTGATGATATAGGAAACACTCATAGACCTCTGATCTCAACCGTCTTGGCAACCCACCCACCGACCAATGCCCATGGAGGTATCAACTTCAATCGTCTCCGTCCTCACAGTCGCATCCAGATCCAACAAGCTATGGGCCTCGGTCTAGGTCGTCCCACCGCTCCGAGGGATGGCGGAAGGGGATTATACGATAGATTTACCAAGAGTTTGTCGTTGTATCCTGACATGGGGTGTAGCTGACGATATCAGGCGAATACAACCGCGGTTGGCCACATGATTCTGAAGGTGGTGAGAATGTTTGATCTCCACATGACATGGCTAAGGATAAGAATTCCATAACAGGGCGTATCTAACCAGCGACGGAACGATGCGTACTAGACACATTGGTGCTGGTGAGTGAAATCTCGGACGTTTGGTTGAATTGATGAATAGATTCCGGTTTGGCGTATTGACTTCTGTTGTTTTCCTTCTCACTTATGGCTTTTTCATGTAAATGATTGATTCTTTTCGTCTTTGACTCTTGATTGTTCGGATTATGTCATCATGTATCGTTTATTCGTGGTCCACTCGACCATGTCTTTTTCTGCTGGATGCTGCGCATAACATTCGAAACCAAAACGATGGCCCACCTTTGAAGTTCATCTCCTTCGAAATTCCCACTCCTAGTTATCGTCCTTTGACCACCAACCCCGATATACCCCATGACCCCAATCCATCCCACCCCTTGATAATTCCTTTCGTCCTTCTCCTGATGATGGAGCAGTGGAGTGAAGCCGAGGACGAAACATAGACATAAGGTGGCGGTCTGCTTCTTTCGTTCCCACTCATCTCAAACACATTTCACCTTTTTATAAGAGCTGTGAATCAACACAATCTTTCAATAACAAAATGAGATTCAGCAGCACTTTGATAGTTTCCATCATGTTGAGCATGTTGAGTGTGTTTGGTCAAGACGACGGGTCAGAGAGGTGAGTGTTATTTTCCATCTTCCTCTTATCCAGTTCCATCTGTTTCTCTTTGTCCTTCTTCTCCCCTTTCTCCTCCAAGTCACACCATCTTTCCACTACCTCTAAAGATGACTTGTTGTCGTGAGTGATCAAAAGTGATTACATACACAAGATGAAAAAACTGGAGAACTGATGAAAATCAGTAGCGTCTCCTCTTCCGCCACTTGGACATCTTCCACCCCTTCCAGCTCAGTCCCAGCGGCTATCGAGACGGGAACAGGAGGACTCAACGTCACAGCATCCAACACGACCATGAAAACCGAAGGGAATGGGACGGTTGACTCGTCGGTCGGAGGAGCCAACGGAACGGGAAATAGCACCGATGGTTCTGCTTCCGCAGCAGGCAGGAGGTGGGATGAATGGATCGGAATGGGCGTTTTGGGAGTGGTAGGTATGGGAGTTGGTGTCATTCTTTGATCTAAAATGATTTAGTTCATGGAGGAGATTCCGATCATGTGGTTGAAAGGGAATGGACACTGATGTGTGGTGATTGGATCGTTCGTGGTACGCCGAAGAGGATTGCTTTTGAGCTGTGTCAGATATTTGAAACGGTGCAGAGTCAGATCATATGGGAAGGATGGAGTGATGTCAAATGAGCAGGGAGGAAGGTGGCCGGTAATGATCGTGAGATGAGAAGAAGAATAGAAGTGAAGAAGCTGAAAAAACCATAATGAACCAAGTTGTAAATGAATGATTAGATATCGAATTGTGAATGCTACAGTATCATACATACTTGTATGAAGTGAAAAGATATGCCTCAGAAAAGATCAGTGAATTTCTTGGTACACGAGTACCTGGACGTCAGCTCTGGTGTATTCGCATCACGAGAGAAAAAGACGAGACAGACGACAGGATAGCGACACAGTATATGATGAGAAGGACAAGGCAAGACTTACCATTCCCAATCGAAATTATTGTTGATGTCGCACCAACATCTCCCTCGTGTATGTGCTTCTCCCTGAGGGCAATGCTGGATGTCAGCAAATGAAGTTATGCTGCTACATTGCACGATGGTGGCTTGCATTATGGTCTGTGAAATTGGACACGCTGAATGAGGGGACCGGGATGCTAAACTGAGGTCATAGAGGGGAAAGAGAGAAAACCCACCTGGAAGGGCTCATGTCTATACCCAATATCATCAAAGAAATGTATTTGTTCCTTTTTCGCAAACAACGCAGCGCCGATGGAATGTACCGGCGCATCTCCCCATCGTTCGTAGTAAAACCCACCGGCGCGTTCGAGATGATCGAAGAATTTCATATATGGTTCTGAACGCCAAAATTTGAGGGAGCCGATTTCGAAATTTGACCAGACTGACGATCAGTCCCACTCCACCTGTGCTTATGCACGTCATCCAGTAAGTTTCCATATCACTGCACTGAATCTCACTACATGCGTGATTGAACGTCTGCTTGAGAGGACCGGACTTTGCAATAGACAAACACGGTAGGAACTCACAATGACACCTGTTATACGTATCTCCTCCGTCGTCTGACAAGAAGTCCATCGCGTTGTCTTCCGAGACCAAATCTGGGTTTTCCTTGATGAATTCTTCCCCATCAGCTGCTGGATACATTTACAGAGTCCACATACCTTTCACAGTGTCCCACAATGTCGGTATTGTCTCGACGTATTCGAAAAGGGAAAGGGTGAAGCCATACACTTTGTCACCATCTTGCATGACCAAGAATGGATCATAAGCTATTGATCAGACATTGTCAATTATATGCAGGATTGACGCACTAATGTCACAGAAGAACTTGACTGATGGCCTGAATGGTCAGCATGGCAAGCGAAAGTGCGTGAAGCTCACTCTATACGCCAGTAATAGTCATATTTCTCCAACAGCGGATGTCGGAAGAAGAACTATAGCGATTAGTGACCGAACTTGATGAAAAAGAAGGTACCAACTCCAGAGTTGAACCGACACATATTCCGATATGGCACTGAATGTCCGTATATGACCTTCTTCCGGACCATCTCCGCTCTGGCTTTCCGAGCTTTGTCCTCGTCAATCCTATCGCTCAGCAAGGATAATCCAATTTGGAGTCAACTTACCAGTCTGGCTGGAACCAATGTGATGGATCAATCTTACCGTAAAAGCAATTCGAGGATGTTAATGCCTGGGTGTATCTGCTCTTTCAGACAGAAGTCATAGCAGAGTGACGTGTGCCTACCTTTTGAATTCGTCCGTAAAGTCCTCAGTCATCAGCAAGGAGTTTAGTGTTGAAATTTGTAGCTCACCTCTTCATTCAGAAAAACATAATCATATTTTGCCCAATGGTTGAAACGATCCTCCATTTGCTTCATCGATTCAAGAAATGGCCATAAATCAGAATTTCTAGCTGATCGAGTCAGTCACTCAACCCCAAGAATCTGAGAAATAAAATAGATTGAAGGATCCAACAACAACTCACCCAGTACGACAAAGACCGCATTGGCCTTCCTTCTACCTTCCGTATCGGTCACTCGTAGGTCTTCCATAGTAGGCAATTCTTCACCTTCGTACCCTGCCACTGGGGGGACTGTCGACTCTGGAGGTAATCTGCCCGGTATCCAACCTCCTGCCACACTACCCTTCCATGACGCTGGCAAGACGGTAGTGGGCAAAGTGTGTTCTCGGTATGTGGGATGTATGGAAAGAAGGAGATGTATTGTGAACTGGGCGTTAGCTGGCCGAAGAGATGACCCAAGCGCAGGGCTGGGTACTACGGAGGCGTAATCTGTATGGAATGGTAGGGTGGAGTGGACCAGTAGGGAAGGGAAAGTATACTCACCAAAGAGCCGACTGCAGCACCGATGTACTTCCATCGTGGAATGAGCATAGCTCTCGAGGGGTTGAAAAGTAATGAGAGGAAGGAATGAGATAAGTCGGAGGAAGAGGTGTCGGGCGCAATTGAAGGACCGACCAAATGAGGCAGGCCGGGGTATAATAATAAATCGAGTGAGATGATGGAGCTATATCGATATCGAGGTATGGCAAGTGGCCAGTGGACAGTTTCAGGCCCCGAACGACGACTAGAGAGCGATCATGGATGGAAGAGGGGTAGGTTTTGGTTATGACCTCGGCTGCGGGGGTTGCGCAGTTGGGAAGGCAGGGAGAAATTTCCTGTGGTCGTCGGTCTCGGCGGCGAGTTGCGGCCTAAAAGTGGTTTTGGCACTTGACCGGTATCGAGAGGGGGGTGAGGGAGAGAGATCAGAAGAGAATGCAAGTCAGGAGAAGCGACAGGCTATTGGATAGTTGCTCGTATGTTGTAAGACGCGGCGAACGATGAGTAACCGTGGTCAGTATCGATAACTCGCTGTCTACAATGTAGAGAGGCAAAAGGAGAAGAAGAATATGCATATCATAGAAAACTACTCCTTATATCCACAACTGAGTCCTCCGGAGGAATCAGGGGTAAGGGGTAAGTGTTAGAGGAACAATACGGTACGGGTACGGCTATCCGGCTACAACCTCCCCCCCCCTCGAAAAAGGATAACGACTTAGGGCACCACCCTAAGTGACCCCGGGCACCACCTTCGGTCAGGAACCTAATGAATCGAACTAATGAGTTAGAAACACAATGCTATTGTGGGTGGTTCCTCTACTAATCAATCGAAAAATTACTAATGATATCCTCCCAACCTCCCTAACCCCCTAACCTCCCTGAACCCCTAACCTCCTAACCCCCTAACCCCCTAAAGGTCAACCATTAGTATTCCGCCTCCACCTGCGGCAGAGGCAATGACTTACAGAGAGTAGGCACGCCCCACCTTGAATTAGGCACGCCAAAGGTGGTGCCCGGGGTCACTTCGGGTGGTGCCCTAAGTCGTTATCCGAAAAAGCGACGACCTCGGCGCTGTCGGATCCACTGGTCTCAGGTTCCGTGCGTGTCATGTCATGTCCTATCTTATCTTGTCCTATCCTATATTCATCGATGAGATCCCCAGGATCTATCGTGTCCTAAATCCATCATTCTGAATCCATCGTATCTCATAATCCATCATATCTCATAATCCATTGTATCTCATAATCTCATAATCTCATAATCCATCGCATCGATGAGATCCCCAGGATCTATCGTGTTCTAAATCCGTCGATAAGATCCCCAGGATCTATCGTGTCCTAAACTATCGTAAGTCGTTTGTAATTGTGAAGAGGGGGAATTATCGAAGAGGGTGGTTTATCGAAGAGGGTGGTTTATCGAATGGGAATTATCGAATGGGAATTATTATTGAATGGGAATTATCAAATGGGAATTATTATTGAATGGGAATTATCGGAGGTTCTCCTTTATTGACCGTAGCAGTAGTTGTGGGTAAGGGCACAACGGTATCCGTATTCGTTGATGTAGGTGTATGTGGTTCCAATAGGGGGAATTTCTGGTACATGAATCTCTCTGTCTTTCAAAGCTTCATCATCCATGACAGGAACGATTAGGGGGATGGTAAGAACAGGTTCTCCGCTTCCAGATTTAGGTTCTTTGATAGGTGGGAACCCTGGTTTCTTTGTTACTGGGGTGACATTGTTTTCTGGCGCTTCTTGTCCTATTTCTCTTCGAACATTTCAATGTCTTCGCAACTGCTGTAATCCTGGAGCACATCCAACTCTTCACAGTTGCTATTTGAGACCGAGTTGAATTTGGGATATTCCGGCGGATTGTAAGCGTGAGATGGGGGTGAAGCAACTGAATATTGTTTGGATGGGTGTTGTCTTTCAAGAGAGGTGAAGTAGAGGAACAAGGCATAAGGGGGAGATTTCCGTGTGTGATTTTTCTGATAGGTGGTATGGAATCCTTTAGGTTGTGGGAGTTTGTGGTTCCAGCTAGGTACACCATTGAATCGTTTGTAGGAAGGGTATTTGAACTTCTTAGCGGTTGTAGTGGAGATGTCAGAATAGTCGGATGGAATGGTGGTATTGCTTGAATGAGACATGGCGGAATGAGATGTTTTTGAGTTGGCGGAGTGAGATTTTTTCGAGTTGGGTGGAGAGTAAGGGGTGTAGCGATGATGTTTAGTGATGTTGATGTGACGATCGGCGGGCATTGTGATAGATAGTCGTAGTATGTAAGAGCGAAGTGGAAACGAGTTGAAGAATGGGTGGGAAACGTTGTCTCGGACTCCATCTTTAAGGCTACATCCAGGATGAAGGTGAGTCGTTCTCTGGCACATTTGAGGTATTGTTCTTTCTTGATACAGGGGTTCAAACGACCGGGGTACTTGGAAGATAATAAGAATGGGGGTCGATGATAATAAGATACATAGTCACAAAGGATTATGTCTTGTTGACATTGTTCTAGAAGAGTAGTGGTGGCGCTTTCTCCTTCCTTTGGGACCGGTTATTCTAGAAGCGACAATCTCGGACTGATTTGCCGGGGTCTCAGGACTGGGTCACCGGACCTGTCGGACCTGTCGGACCTATCGGACCTATCAGACCTTCTGATCTAGGGGCCGGAGTCTCGGACTGGTTTGCAGGGCCTGATTTGACGCGTCCGTTTGACCTAGGAATGAAAGTCTCGGACCTAGAAGCGGTAATATTGGACCGATTGGGCGGAGTCTCGGACTGGTTTGCGGGGCCTGTTTTGACCCGTCCGTTTGACCTAGGGGGTAAAGTCTCGGACCTAGGAGCGGCACTTCTAGTGACATCCGGCCTACCTGAGGGCAAATTTTGACCTTTAGGAGTCATTTTTGAAGTCTGGTCTTGTCCTTTAAGTGTGAATCGAAGTCTGATTGGGTTTTCTTGTTGTCTTGTGTCATTTCTGTTGTTGATCTTGGGTATAACTCGATCTCTGATTGCTGTGTCACCAACAACTTGCTCTGTTGGAGGCTCCATACTGATCATTTCTAATAGATGGTCTCCACCATGTGCAATGATTGTTTCGGGTGTTTCCCATGTGTTCATGTGTTCAGGACGGTCCTTCCATGAGACAAGGTACTGTGTCTGTCCTCGTGGGTGATTCTTTGATGGTCGAGATGTCTTCATATCCAATATTTGGTTGACGATCCGAGGCAGATGGGATATAGGGGGTTGATAAAGAGTGGGTATCCATTTACGAAGGTGTGAAGTGGATATTGTAGGATGAATTGTGATATTTGATGGGAGATCAAGTGTGACAGCATTTGCAGTTATGACTTCTGTAATTTCAAATGGTCCAATGTATAAGGGTCGTAATTTACGAGATTTACGATTCTTCAGGAAGTCGGTGTTGAGAGCTTTTGTACTGAGTAGAACTAAGTCGCCGGCTTTTACAAGTAATGCTTGATGCCGTTTGTTATAGGATTTGGTCTGGGATAATTGCGCATTGGCTATTGCTGTTGTGGCTTGATCCAGTGTGACTTCTAAGTATTCCGCAAATGCAACAGCATCATCATTGTAAGCTGAATCAAGTTGAGGTCGGGGAATGCGACGATTGTTGTGAATCCCAGCAGGATGATAACCTAAGTCTAGTTCGAATGGTGTGCGTTTTGTTGACTTGTTCACACTATCATTGATTGCAAATTCAAGCATTGCAAGGTGAGGTACCCAGTTGTCTTGCTTATAGTTGACGTAGTGGCGGAGACTTTCTTTAACTAATCTGATCATTCTTTCAGATTGTCCGTCTGATTCGGGGTGAAAAGCTGTTGACAACGCTAACTTGGTACCAAATGCTGCAAATAGGTGTTGCCAAAACGCTGAAGTAAATCTTGCGTCACGATCTGAGATGATTCTTGATGGTAGACCGTGAAGTCGGAAGATTTCACGTATGAAGAGGTTTGCGGTGTCCTGAGCTGATGCATTTGTGGTTGTTGGTAACAAATGAACTCGGCGGGATAGTTTCTCCACGACTACTAGACAGGCGTCTTTTCCTTCTGATGAGGGCAATTTGACAGCCCAGTCCATAGTAATGACGTCCCATCTTGCAGTTGGAATGGGGAGTGGGTGAAGGGAACCAGTGGGAATTTGATTTGTGACCTTGTTCTTCTGGCAAGAGACACATGATCGACAGTATTGACGAATATCACCAGACATTGTTGGCCAGTAATATGTTCGAGAAACACTTGCTAGCATTCGATCAAATCCTCGGTGTCCCGATGTTGGTGTGTCATGGAAGTCTTCCATGATGTTTGATCGTATATTTTCACCTTCTGGTATACATAAAATATATGCCCGTTGTGAAGGCCGATAGATATATAGAAGTCCAGACATGAGTTGGTATTGGATGGAAGTGTTGTTAGCATCTTTTCGGTTAAGATTGCTGCCATAATTTAATGGGTTGAGGTGGTCTCCAAGGGGAATGGGTGGTGTATGGTTTCGATCACCAAGGCGTGGAAGTCGTAATTCTTTCATTATCTCTCCAAAAACTGGATCATATAACAATAATTCTCTGATTTTGGCGTAGAATGGGTTGTTTAGATCAGAGGTCCATATTGCATAAACAGCACGGAGTGGTGCTCTGGACAGCGGATCCACATTGCTGTGAATTCTTCCAGCTCGGTGAACAATGGTAATGTTGGGTCGATATTCTTGAAGAGCAAGTGATTGTCGTAGGAGTCTTTGATTTGTTCCATTATAATCTAATATCCACTGTAGAGCGCTATGATCGGTGACTATTGAAATTTTACAGCCATCAACATAAGCATGGACTTTGTTGAGGGCCCATGTAATTGCGGTGCACTCAAGTTCAGTTGGTGTATAATTTGTTTCTGCTGGGGTGGTGGTACGAGAGAGATAACAAATGACATATTCGTCACCTTTATCATCTTTCTGAGCAAGTATAGCACCAAAACCAATTTGTGAAGCGTCGGTGTATAGAATGAAAGGTCTTTCATAATTTGGATGGCCTAGGATTGGGGCGGTGGTGAGGCGTGATTTAAGTTCGTTGATAGCGGAAATGTGTTGAGCGTCAAGGAATAATTTGCCTGTACCATTCTTCAATTTGTGTAGTGGAGCACATATTGAAGCAAAGTTGGGAATATATTTGCGGTAATATACTAACATTCCAACCAGGCGTTGAAGCTCTTTGTGGGTGGTTGGTAGGGGCATATCAACAATCGCCTCTACATTCTTCTTTAATGTTCCAATTCCGAGGTTGGATATATTATGACCAAGTGCATCTAGACTTTGTTTGAAAAGATGACATTTGGTTGTTGAAATGGTGAGGTTGGCCGCAATAAGGGTGGTGAGGATAAAGTTGAGGTGTTCTAGGTGTTGGTCGAACGTTTTGGAGTATACGATAATGTCATCAATATAGACAAGGGCAAATTTCCATTTTGCTGATCCTAGAACTTGGTCCATTAAACGTTGGAAGGTGGCAGGTGCGCCAGTGGGACCAAATGGCATTACTGTTGGTTCATGTAGTCCACGGTGTGTTCGAAATGCCAATTTATTTCCTGTTTCTTTACTGACTGGAACTTGATAGTATCCTTTATTTGCATCCATTGTTGAGAGGTATTGCATTCCTTCAAATTGAGAAAGAATGTCGTCAATTCTGGGTAGGGGGTATTGATCGGGTTTGGTGACGGCGTTCACTTTACGATAGTCAATACAGAATCTGTATTTTTCACCCTGTTTGACAATAATTGCAGGTGAAGCCCAAGGACTTGTGGAAGGGATGATATGACCGGCATCTAGGAGTTCATCAATAGCGTTATTGATAACCTGACGTGATCTGGGTGAAGCATGGTATGGGGTTGATGCCACAGGTTTGTTATCTCCTGTGTCAATGTCAAAGACAGCTTGGTTTGTACGTCCAATTTTGTGAGGTCCGTACATGAATGCATGCCGGTACTTAATGAGGAGTTCATCAACACGTTTACGAAGGGCAAATGGTAGGTCTGGGTTGATGTCCATATCTTTGAGTTCTTTCTTGAAGATGGCAATATCCTCGTTATCATTGATGGGCACTGCGGTGTGTGCAAGGACAACATCAACAGCGTTGACTGGCTGGGCAATACCGATTATCTCTTGTGGTTGCAGAGTGATGGGCTCATGGCTGAGATTCATCATCTCTCCAACAAAGTCTTTGGCATTTGCTGGGGCGAGAGTGTATGCGGTTTTGACTGGTAGAGAGCCAGAGCGGAATGGGGTTGGTGATATGAGAGTGTTTGTTGAAGGTATTTGACCATTATGGGTAAGGGGAACTAAGGCTCGACTGAATGGGCGTAAGACAAATGTCTCCCGGATTCGAACTTCATGTTGGTGTTGAACATCCGTTGGATCAATGTCTCTTTTTGAGGTTGATAATGGGATTGGTGTGTTGGGATTGTCTTTGAGAATGAGGTGATTATCATTCAGGTTGATTGTAGCTCCCAATGGTTTAAGCGTGTCGTTTCCTAGTAAGAACCCATTTGGTGCGGAAGGTGTGAGATGGAGGGTCACTCGGATGGTGACAGGAGGATCTCCAGCAAATGTCAGATTTGCACGAACATGTCCCCATATAGGGCTTGCTGCTCCTAATCCTTTCAGAGAGAAGCTTGATGTCGGTTCAACCTTTACATTTGGGAGATGTTTACGAATATAAGCGGGATTGGCAAGGGAGACTGCAGCACCAGTGTCACACATGACTTGGTGAATCTGTTTTCCACCATTCAATGTTGCTTGTGCATATGCAGGGGTGTGGAGGACATGATGATTGACATCATCGGCGTTGGCGGAGGGGAGTTCCTCAATGGTGTTTGTGTTGACATCACGAGGAGGGGGTGGGCGACTATCATCCCATGGTTTGCGTTGGTGGGTGTTTCCGTAGGATCTGTTATTCCTGATAGGTTGGTGATTCGGGTTACCATTATTATTGACAGGTTTATTGTTTACGTGACTGTTGTTTTGGAATGTGGTGTTACGTTGTCTGTTATCAGACCGGGGAGGATTGTTTTGTCCAGTTGTTTGTTGGTTACTCTTTCTTTGAGGGCAATCACTGCTCCAGTGATTCTCTCCGCATGTTCTGCAGGGTGTGGGGGGTGGACCTGATCTTCGAGGAGGAGGGGGTCTTTGTCGATTTGGGGTTTGATTGTTATTGTTTGTGTTTTGGGTGAGGCCAAGAGAGCGTAGTCCTGCTTCTTTGTCAACCAGTAGACGGTGTAGATCGGTGAGGTTGGTGTTGGGATCAACATAGAGTAATGTTGTCATGGATGTGGGGAGACCAGAGAGGATCTCGTGGACAATGGTTTGGGTTTTCATGTCATTGCCGTGTACTTCTCGCAAAAGTTTAACCTTCTGCCAGAAATAAGTGGTGATGGACTCATTCCTGAGGAGTCGTCTGTTTCGAGCTTGAGCTAGGAGTTTTGATGTATAGTTTGCAGATCTGAAAGTGGTTTTGAGAACTTCGGACCAGTCCTTCCAAGTAATGTATTTGCTTCGATCTTCAGGGGAAAGTGTGTTAAACCAATCAAGAGCAGAGGCTTGGAGTAGAAGTGGGATTTTGGATGTTACTTCTGTGTCCACCGCTCCACTTTGTTGGAGTATTGCAGAGATCTTATTGATCCAGTCATCGACTGTGTCGGTGTGGGGTGAATTGTTGAATTTGGGAAGCTCAGTCGCTTTTAATTTCATTGTGGATGACTGTGTAGGAGGAACTATGTTGGTGTTTGGAACAACGATAGGGTTGTTGTGTGTTCCGGTGGCTGGAGGTGTGGTCTGTTTATTGACGCTTTGGGTTATTGTGAGGGATTCGAGTTTCTTTCGAAGCTCCGCCATTTGTTGCTCAATGTTGTTGAGCTTTGTTACTAGTTCATTTGATTTGGTGATTTGTTCAGATGTATTATCACGGTGTGTTCCTTCAAAGACTTGGAAGTCATCTTGTAGCTGGCCGATTTGGTTCTCAACGCGGGCGATGATTTGATGATCATTGGATAGTGCGTTGCGCAGGGTGGATGTTGGATCTGTTATTTGGTTGGAGAGGATCTCTAAGCAGAGAGCTCGAATGTGTTCATCAGAGGTGGCGTGGGTTGCACCGTCTTGTGGAATAGATGAGAGGGAGGATGATCGCAGCCTGTGGCCTCGAACTTGGGATCGAGTGACAGGTCCAGTGTTTATTGGAGCAGTAGTAGCCTCTTGAGGAGCAACTGATGGGTTGGACATCGTTGTTTTGGTGATTGGTTGGGTGAGGTGTGGTCACGTAATTTATTTTGGCTAGGAGGTAGCTGCTAGTTGGTGTATTCGAATAGTGTATGTATCAACTGTACGCCTGTACCAAGTTGATTCGCGCGTTGATCCGAGGGACTTGCGTGAAGTGTGGGATCACAGGACGGACCAGGCGGGAGTGGTGTCTTGCTAGAACGTTCAGTTGATCCGGGTAACACGGATGTTGATGGTAATTAATGACCTAACCTAAGGCGTCCCCTAGGAAGTGTTGATGTCAGGGTGGGTGGGTGGGATGATTACTGCTTAAAGGTGTCCGGCACCGTTATGCATTAGTCGTATATGGGAATGTGATGTATGGACTTGGTGGCAAAGTCCGGGTGGCAAAAAGTGGGTGGCGAGGGTGGGTGGCAAATGGGGTACACGGCGGATCCGCTCTTTCGCGGGTGGGTATCACGGACCTGCAGATCGTCCAAAGCAAGAGTTCCGGTAGCTGGGGGAGTCCGGTAGCTAAGGAACTGGTAGTGAGGGATCCGGTGGCAAAAAGGATGATGGTAGTGATCAGGGGGGGAACAATGATCTAGAAGGTACTAGATCAGGGACAAAGGTATCTATCTCTACCTCTGTCTGAAGTCGGACGTTCGTTCGCGCTATCTCCACCAGTTGTAAGACGCGGCGAACGATGAGTAACCGTGGTCAGTATCGATAACTCGCTGTCTACAATGTAGAGAGGCAAAAGGAGAAGAAGAATATGCATATCATAGAAAACTACTCCTTATATCCACAACTGAGTCCTCCGGAGGAATCAGGGGTAAGGGGTAAGTGTTAGAGGAACAATACGGTACGGGTACGGCTATCCGGCTACATATGTATCACCTTATCTTCGTCGTCGTCACCCGTCGGTGAGGCCAAGAAGCGCAGCCGGGGGCATTATTCTCCCACGGTGTCCGTTTCTTCAATTCTTGCGGGGCCCCTTCTTCCGAATCAAGTCTTTGTACGCGTATCACCAACGCTCTGAGATTGACTCTACTCTGTCATCATACAAAGCCATGGGCGGTAGCTTACTTGAACCCTCCCGGTCGCAATACAGCCTGTATCTCCAGAGGTCAATTCAAGAGACTTGAGAACCTCGGTGTCAAATTACATACAGAAGCTGACACGCGTCACAACTCTCTTCCTGGAATCGCGCAAAATGCAATCTCTATCAAATCCCCCGAGGTGACATTGAACTAGGTTCCAGGATCGGGTGAGACCACTGCCACCATGCCACTTCGGCACGGCACGCACGGTGAGAGGAACCCTGTCTTTTTACTCCTACCCTCATCCTCTCTTCTCACTCTTACTGACCCTCTGTTACCGCTTAGCCTACTACTACTGGTAAAACTCCACCAGAGTACACGTAATCCACGCGACTGACTTTCTAACCTTGACCTGACCCAGCACCATGGCACATGGACCATATCACCTCCTCCGCGCGTGTTCAGGGGCTTCATCCCTCATACTCGCTCTTCCGAGCGTGCAAAAAGAAATCAACAACGCCTCGACTTGTTGATTCGTTGTCAAAAAAATCGAATGAAATGGTGCGGAGTACTTATGCCCGGTCATAGGGAGACAGAAGGTTGATATATCCCATCTCTGTTCCCTTTTAATAGTATCACCCTTCTCTCATTCGTTCCACCCAATCACCCATTCTACTTCCATCGTACTGCCAGACAGAACGAGAAACATACCCCTCCTTGCAACGGCTCTTTTCTTTTACCCTTCCCATCGTATCGACCTCCCTTGTCACTCAGACGTGGCAGGGCCTTGTCATTGACGCATCTCATTCACTCGTATCCTTCTTTTTCCATATTCTCAGACGTGTCAGTGAGTCACCACTTTTTGTTTCTGGAGGTTATGGAGCTGACTCGATGTAGAGATGCCGCGCATCCCCGTTCGTACCACTCCTTATCATACTCTACCACGATGTACAAGACATTACAAATCCAAACGCGACCTCATCCTACGCGCACTTGGCAAGGCATCTTTCATCAATGGCTCTCAGTTTGTCATCGCGTGGATCTCTCCAAAGGGAGAAGTCGACGTCTACGCGTCCGAGCTTCTACAAGCTTCTGTATCCTCCAAGGAAGGCGGTGTCCTGAATCGCAAAGAATTGGATCGTGAAGCTGGGCGCGTTAAAGGCGAAATGAGCAAACGATGGGAAGAGATCCGTCGGTTGGAGGAGAAAGGAGAAGTTCCCACATTCGAAGAAGACGCAGAAGAAGCCGAAGATGTTGAGGAGGAAAACGAAGATGATCCAGATCGTACTATGGTAGACGAAGAGGCGGCTCAAGCCAAGAAACAATCTCCTGCTCAAATGATGTCTTCTTTTCCCGCAGCCAGAGCGTCAACACCTCAACCATCGATGCACACTATAACACTCCAACCTCATGCCGTTGAAGATTATTACAACACTCGATTCAACGCACTGCAACAAGCCACTTGCAAGCTCGTTGTCAAAGCGTGGATCAAGGTGATCGAGCCAAAGAAGCAAATGAAATTTCCTTACAACAAAGGGGAAGAGTATAGACCCGCTTGGTGGCCCGAAGGTGTCAAGCACCGCGAACCTGATCATTTGTCCAAGCAAGGTAAGTTCATTCTCTGAGTGCCTATGTGCTCCATTCTGATGTACAGAACGCCTTGTTCTACTCAGTAGTATCATCCGATCACCTCTGATATCCGTCGCTCGCCTCGAATTATCTACTGCCGAAGCAGCCGCCTTCATCTCCCGACCTAGATTATCTATCCTTCGTGAGGTTTACCTTGTGGCGAAAGAAGAAGAAAAACGGCGCAAGGAGGGAGACTCTACATCGGAATTGGTCGTACATCTTCCTCATACCCCGGTCTCACCTTCAGCCATTAGCCCCGAACCAGAAAAACGCACTCACTCGACTATGGAATTTGAAGAGGACAAGGAGAACGTTTCCTCTTACAACGCTCATGCCGCCAAACGTGTCAAGCATTCTCGTCTGCCCGCACTGACGATTTCGACCACTCAGGCTAACTACGACTATGCTCATCCCTTCACATTCGCTCCTCAATCACATCTCTGGCCAGGACGTGATGGGGCCGTTTCCGCACCACCTCCTCATCTCTCACCTTATCCTCAATCAGAAGTCTTTGGCGATTATCGCCCTCACACCTCTATCATACAAACGGCAGAAGAAAGATATCACCCCAATCACCTCGCACCCATCCTAAATCCTCATCAGCACACCACGACGAGTCCTGTCGATGCCCATCAACAACCCTTCTCTCATCCGGCTGGGATGCAATACTACCCGCGTACGCAACCTGGTCAGGGGTATCTCCACCAACATCAGATTGATTACCTTCAGCAACAGGGACAGGGAGGTTACGATTATGGCAGTCCTTATATTGCTGACAACTGGGAGAACAGTTTCGGACAGGGCACGTGATGCGGTGTTGATGAGGATGCTTTTTGGGCTTTGAGTGGGATGTTCTCTTACTGAGTGCGAATGAGATGGCTATTTACCCAACCATGAAGACCAATTGTACCCAATGTAACCATCTCCGTAATTAGAGTAAACGTATCTAGTAGGGGATGCAGGATGCTTTCTTGACGCGATGGGTGATACAAATTATGCTGACCATGCGGCTAAATCGGGCCGTTCACCCGGGTGGCACTTCTACGTCATGTTGGAAGGTTAGGATAGAGTTTGACCGTTGATTGCCCGGGTGTACTTAGTGGGATTGAGATGCATACATACGCTCTTCACTGACTTCAATTCTGTCCGAAACGTGCTTCATCCACAGCTACTAGCCGCTGTCCGCAGGAATCATTTGAGAACAATACACCCCCCTAACCCGCCTTTGGGGTCAGATCTGCTGATCGCATCATCATCATATCAAACCTTCATTCAAGGCAATCCTTCTCGCCATCATCTCACTCCAATCTCTCTTCACCTCTATCTCTTCTTCTCTCATAATGTCCTCCATGTCTCTCCGTCTTCGTCCCTTCCTGAGGACGCAAGCTCGCTTCTTGTCCACCACTTCGATACGACCCATTGCGAGCTTCACTTTGCGCCCACCTACCTCCGTCTCCTCTCCAATCTCTGGGACTGAATCAACTTTCGAAGGTATCGCACCGACCAACAAGTTAAATATCAATTTGACGTCTCAAGCGAGGGGAATCAACACCACCTCTCCTCTAGGACTGGAAGCTTCTGCCAGGGCGGAAGATGGTGGAGTGGAAGAAGCACCTCATTCAGGTATCAATGTTGATAAATCGATCAGGATGGATACGTGCGTTTCATCTTCTTTTCTTTGATTGTGTTTTCCTTCCCTCACTCTCAATCCTACCACCTCCTGATCATCTCCAATTCGAGCATATCCGAAATAGAGATATAAAAAGGTGTCCGATGTGCTATGCTTCTCCGAAGTCTAGACTCATAGCCGAGAAGCTCAAAGCCAAAGCTGACACTGCCGCTCCTTTTCCCTTTCCTCCCTTCCTCTTCTTCCTCCCGTTCTATCTCCCTTCCTTCTTTTACCTCGTCAATTTTCCAAATCTGACCCTTCATATTGGTCTTGGCTTTCGGTTGTCGGACCGGCGGTATGTGGCGGCATCAACTCATCAATTTTTCGACACCTCTACCCCTCCTTTGAACCCCCAACCAACCGAACTTTTCACCACCATTGCTTCCGTCTCTGACCTCTCTTCATACTCTCTTCCCTCCTCTGCGATTCTCGTCTCATCAACGATCAACAAACCTCCCGGCTCGTCTTTCATCTCCCCCGTCGTCCTCTCTGGCCTCTGGGGCACCAAACAACCTCGCGACCTCTCAAACACCTTTCGGACATGTCAACCCCCATTCGTTCTCCTGCCTTTGAATTGATGCGAGTCCTGGTGACCTTGACCGACAATTGTGCCTGCCCCATTCCCCCGTGCTTCGTCGTGGCCCGGGCCCCCAACGACGTCATGAAAAACCTCACGCATGTTCTCGTTTCCGAAACTTTTTTCTTACCCCGTTTGTCATTGCCGACTGGCCGACTTCTTAAACCCGACTTCTACGAGCTTCTCTCATTGCAACAATCACTTCGTTCACCATTGTCAAAACTTCGAGCCACACTTTTTGACTCGATCCTCTCCTGCACCGTTCCTGTGCTGACGCTTGTCAACCTGTCGGCCGAAATTTGGGAATCATTGCGTTTTTCAACGCATATCCCATTGTTGTTCTGCGAACGTTCGCCTGCCAATCTTCCTTCTCACATCTACAACCCGGGGTAGATCATTCTACGACTCTCTCCTTTGTCTTCCACCGCTTTGCTTTGCCCGTTGCTCGCTTCCTTTCCGAACATATCCGACCGTCGATCTTGGTCAACGCTTCTCAAAATCCCTTTCATCCTCGGTGTTCGTTGTACGTTTGTAATTCACAACTTTCCTCGGCTTGACCTGAGTTTTGTTCTCTCGCCACTCTTGTCTACCTTAACATACCCGTCGTCTTGAATCACAATCACTTGGATCGTGTCGTCGAACGGTGACGAATTACTTGTATCACATTTAAAAACCGACAAAATCACTCCATTATGCACCCGAACCTCCGCTCAATGACATCGTCCCCTATGTTCTCTGTCATCAATCTCGGACCTCGACTCACACCTTCCTCAACCATGTCTTTTGCTCGCATTCCTCGGCGTCTATTCGCTCAACGCGCCCTACACACTTCCCCCACTTTGTTGCCACGCCATAATCGTCCTCATGTGCGCATGTTAAAACCCATTGTTCAATCTCGTAACATTGCTGTCACTGCTACCGCTCCGACTGCAATGTTCAGTCATCCTCCCCCCGAGCCGGGAGCAGACTTCAATGTGGTCTTTATTGGTGCAGGGGTGAGAGCTTGGTTTTTTCAAGTGAAATGAAAGCTAATAATTAGAATATCATGTTCGGTAGTGATGAGGGGCCTTGGAAGTGAGACCCAGAGTCGTCATTGTGAGGCAGTGGCTGACGTCGTAGTCACTCGTTCCGATTCGAACATAAACTCGGACCACGACTCAAGGTCACGGCTTTGATCGACCCGAACCTTTCACGTGCGCAGACTGTCATCGATGGCAAGAGGGCTTCTTTCGTCGAATCAGCTTACAGAGATACGGAGCTGTTCAAAACGATTGAAGATTACCATGCGGCTCTTAAAGCACGTAAAAGCAAAGATCCTCAGTGAGTCGATAATTTCTACTTATCCTCCTTGACATATGGTCTGGAATACCGCTGATACTCCCCAGTGCGATCGTTGTAGGATGTCCTCCCGCTTATCGTGGGGGCACTACCAAAGGAACAGATTTAGAATTGCAGCTACTCAAATACTTCCCGAAGACGGCTTACTTCGTCGAAAAACCAGTGGGAACTGGTACCATCGAAGCTGCTCGTACGGTCACTGAAGAGCTCATCAACAATGGAAACATAGTATCGGTCGGCTACATGTTGAGGTACCTTCGATGTGTGCAAATGATGAAGCGAATCATCCATGATAATGACTTGACGGTCATTGCGACCAATGCTAGATATGTGAGTCATGGTTGGTGTACGATGAAATATTGTTGACATCAAGTCTTGTGCTTATGAAGCCATCGCCAAGCCTGCCTGGTAAGTCAAGTCGTGTGTTGCAGCTGATATCATTATTAATCGACAGGTGGAATAAAGCTATTGACATGGGTCCCGTGATTGAACAAGGCACTCACTTTTGTGATCTTTCACGATACTTTGGCGGTGATGTCGATATCAACTCTGTCGTGTGAGCCAATGTCTTTTATTTCATCTTCAGTCATACCTCGTACCGAAGATGGATTCTTCACCATAAGATGGACAGAAGCTAACGTCCAGTGCCAAGTCTGTAGAATGGTACGAAACCCCTGGAAAGCTTAGCAAAATTCCCATCGATGAATCCAAGATTCCTGAGGAGCAAAGAATTCCTCGACTAACTTCAGCCGTTTGGTCAGTTCCATCTAGTTGATCTTCGTGCGACGCTGACGATATAGGAAATACGACAATGGTGCTGTCGGTGCTTTCACCCATGCAGTGGCTTTACAAGGCCAAGCCTACGCTTGTGAACTTGAAGTTTGGGCAGATGGTTTCCACATGCGTCTTGTTGATCCTTATCAAGCTCCTACTCTTTATGTCCGTCGACCAGGAGGTGAGTCATGATCCATCCAGCTTGAAAAGACACGGGGCTGAAAGTATAGACGATCACGAAGAACGTCATGCTTTCACCGATGACGATCCCTTCTTCTCTGAAGTTTCGTCCTTCATTGATGCTATCGAGGGAGGACCTGATCCTCATATTCTCAGCTCGTTTGAAGATGCTACCAAGACGTACGAATTGACATGGGCCATCCGTTTAGCCTCGGAGGCTTCTCGTGTGCCCAGGATCAAGGTGTAGCACGGATGTAGACGCGAGCCAGGTGGAAGGGGAGGGAGTGGGTGAATTTGTGTAGAACAAAAACATCTTGTGCTAGATCACGATGCATGAAATGTAATCATTCGAAGTATCTACCGATTCCATCTGCACCTTGGTTTTCTTTCACTCCTCAATGGTAGCTGGGCTGTCGGTCGTCGGGCTTGTCTCGTCAGTCAGCCCAGAGGGCGGACCCGAATGTCGAGCGTGGTGGGCAGCTATACCTTGAGGAAGTCGGTCCATTAAGGGTACAAGTGCGGATGTGAGATGAAATCAGGCTGTCCCAACCTGGAAGAAGGGTCCCCCTTGCTCATATGATCTCTCAGGTTTCGTCACACCATTTGATGCACGAATCAAATCATATGATCCTTTGTTACAGGTGCAGTAAGGGACCTGCATCATAACGTCCTCACTAAAAGGCTCAATACTCGAGATCTGCCTAGCAGTCTCGAGCTCCCTTATAAGGTGTACCCTGACATCCTTGGACTTGTAGGAGCAGAATGCATGCTATGGGCCAAAGAGCGAACTTCATATGCATGTGGTACAGGTCTTTGAAGATGCAGGTAGCATGGATGTCAAAGGTGGTCAGCCGAATAAAACGCGCACCCTCAAGCAGTCAACTCCATGTCTTTCCCACATACAGTGCAACAAGCGTTGGACGTAAACTCCAAGATCCTCAATATTCCATCTGAATCGAAGGCTCGGTCCGACGGCCAGGCGGGTCGCCAGAAGGGGTCCTCAACATCGCGGCGAAAGCTTGAGGACATCTTTGCTTTTGTTGAAATGGCTAAAGCCTGATTGGCTTTCCCACAGAGCACCACTTTTGTTTTTATATCTTCGCTTCTGGCTGAGGGAAGTAGGTGATCAGGCCACAAAGCATAACCACCGTCCATCCTCAAAACGCAGGCACATGTAGTAGCCCAGTCCTCATTGGACCATTCTTGCTCCATTCCCACGGTTCGTTCCGCTGCATAATTCTTCACCCTGATGACCGGTATCGCGGGTCGAAAATGCCAGTACACCACTTCCAAACCTGCCCAATATTTCGCAAGTCGGTAAAACCAGAGTGGTGGGTATTTGTCGACTGTAGGACCACTAGCGACCACTAAACCTCGTGGAGGGTCGCGGCGGAGACAGAGGGTTCGGACTGGGAGAAGGTGGATGAGACCCGCACGACATTTCAGTGAATAGATAACGGACTTTGAGATAGATAGATACGTTGCGTTAGGGAAAACGTGGGATGGGAGGGAAAGTATGAGGGCGGAGGTCGAGGGAGAAAGGGTTTCGTGGAGTTTGAGTTTATGGACTAGAGTGAGGGCGAAAGGGTGTGAATGAGGTGAAGAGGGCTCTTCGACTGGATGTGTAGAAGGTGTTCGTTCGGAAGATCCTGAGAACGGTTGAGTATCCTCTTTATCGTCAGCCATCGATTTGGTCCTTGAGAAGATCTGGGATTTGGAAGCTTTGTCCGAAGGCGTGGCAGCAGCAGGGTAAGGCCTCGCTTGGATGGTATTGAGGGATTCTTCTGTTGATTTGATGGGCAGAGAGGGTGAAGAAGCAGAGAGTCGAAAGTGAGCGAGGATGAACCTGGACAACATTTTATCAGAGAGAATGTCGACGGATCGGTAGAGAAGAGGTAAGAGAAGTTGGTGGTTGTCTTGATTGGTACTTGCCAGTACTGCTAGGGTGGCGAGACGATCTTGATCGTGAAGATGATGACCGATGGCGAGGATGACTTCTGGAGGGATGTAAATCATCTCTGAGGCCATTGGAGACTAGTGTTAATTGATGACTCTATTTACCGCCACCTTGTATGGGTGATTATGAGAGCCAGAGATCAAGTGGATGAAGTCAAAGTTGAAAGAGAGAAATGGGGAAGAGAAGTCAGTACCAGTCATTCAGTCCCTTGCTTTATGTCTCACGAGAGCTCGAGAGGGATACGGGTCATTTTGATCCCGCCTCGCTTACAGTACTAGTAACGGTATTGCCACAGGGCCACAAGTCGTCAAGCCATGCGGCTCAAGTCTTACAGCTGTCCAAGATCGACGACGTACCGACGTAATCACTGGCAGACGAAGCGTACGAGCGTCCTATAAGCATGTTCAAACGAAGATGGAATGGAGACCAGAGGTGGACCATTCGGACGATCGGGTGTGACTTCCGACACTTCACATTCCTCCGACTTTTCCGAACCAACTTCCTCGGTCGTTCCGCCTTGTTCCCTACTCGTTCTTTCCTTTGAGTGGCGCCGATAGAGCATGGGGGCCCTCCAGGGCCAGTCAGAGTACAATCTAGAAATGACGAGGTGAGAAGCGTTTTTTTTCAAACGAGGCAAAGATTACAAAAACCAATCCCCACTTGTGCTGATTTGTTTTCTGATTTCTGATTTCTTGACTTTGAGATCGTCTCACTGATCGGCGGCTCAGAAGTTTTTTTTTCTTCGTAAAAAGAACATTCAGTCGTACACTCGGTTCTCACTATTCATTCTTCGGCATCTGTCTTACCTTTCCGAGGCATTCCAGGTCTCAGGTGCACCAGGTAGCAGGCGATTGGCAGGCATAGAGTGATAGAGTGGGGGATCGTAACGAAAAGAAGCAGAGGCGCAGAGGGAGGTTTGATCGCATCATACAAGTAGATTCATATCACGAAAAACGAACGCTCCATAGAAACTTCTTGAGTAAGTCAAGTTCTCGCCCATCATCTTTGGAACCTCTGAATTACAAGTGGACTTTGTGTATGACTCTTCGCTTAGCTTTCTTCCTGACCATCAGCTCTCTTCACGATTTCTCTCAACGAGAGCTAATGTCATCTCTTACGACTTTTCAACTACTTCGAGAGTTTTGTCTCCTTCACGATGATCAACGCCAGAACGACTTCCATGCCTTTAGGACAGATAGCGACGCTCATGGGTGTCCGTCTAGCCGAACCGAGTAAGTTTCTTCCACCTACCTTAGACGGATCAAGCTGATCATTAGTTGCATATACTGGTTTGTCACTCTTCTCATGTCCAACACGTACATATCGATACAAGTCTCCGATGACACCATCTACAACCCTGGAAGAGACTCAACGATGGGAGAGGTGGTCAAGGGTTGCCGGGGATGTTGAAAAGGCGTGGGAAATATGATTGGAAGCAACAACTTACCATCAGTCATCTTCCCATTCATCAACCAAATGGTCGAAGAACTCGGTGTCACGGACAATCCTGATAAGATTGGCTTTTACTCTGGTCTCGTCGAGAGTGTGTTTGCCTTTACGCAATTCTGGACAGTCTATCACTGGGCCAAGTTGTCAGAGTGAGTCTTCAAGTCTTGTGAAGTCTTTCCAACTATCACAACTGACATTTCAGCAAGATAGGAAGGAAACCGGTTATACTCGTCGGGTTGATCGGGGTCGCCGTCACGGTGTCTATCTTGTGAGTGTCATGTGTTGTCCGCTTTGAGAATTCATCGAGTGTATGAACCGGAAGATATTCTTGCTGATGAGCAGCGGTCTATCGACTTCCTTCTGGATGATGATCCTCATTCGGTCTGTCAGCGGAGCATTGAATGGGAATGTCGCAGTGATTAAAGCCGCCATTGGGGATATAACGGACGAGTCGAATTCCACGGAGGCTTTTACACTTTATGGTCTCACATGGACAGTAGGGGCGATGCTGGGGTGAGTAGGCTTGTCAATCTCTTAGACGTTCAGCATTACCGCGCATCAGTTGCTGCGAATAGATCAAACTCCGCACTGACCATCAGAAGTGCTCTTGGAGGCACTCTGTCTCATCCATACGAACGATTCCCGGAGGTGTTCGGCACTGTCCAGATCTTCCAGTCCTATCCTTATCTCTTACGTGGGTCTACTTCCTTCTCCCTCCGTCAGATGTTTCATCTTGAAAAAGCTCTGATTGACGACCAGCATGTCTAGTCGCTGCAAGTTGCACTGTCCTAGGGATCGCCTTTGCCTCACTCGTATATCGTGAATCTCTTCCCTCGGTCCATTACTCAGCCCTTTCCCGCAAACCAATCTTCAACTTTCGACTCTTTGCTCGGCATGATCGCAACGCTTCAGTGACGTCTGTGAACTCGGAGGCGGAAACGCTGGTGGATCCGGAATCACCCATGACTCCCAGCAGAAATAGTCTGTTGCCCAAGTTCCAACAAGGGCTCGACCAGGGGAACGGGTTTCCGAGTCCTCGTAATCGATCATGGAAATTATCTGAGCTCATGGCTCATCGACCTGTCCGAGTGATGAGCGTCACAACCTTTCTCAACTCGTGAGTGATTCACCTGACGACATGCTTTCCTCCTATGCCGCCATTGTGAACCGCTAGACAAAGAAGCTAACGCATAGTTTTGTTCAGGCCGCTTGGCAAGCAGTATCGCTTCTCTTTTTCTTTGACAAAAACAAGTCAGTAATTGATCACTTGACTGTGCCAACATGCTGACGAAACAGTGGTTTAGGCATGTCTGTGAGTACTTTGTAGCTTAATTCTTGGATCGAAGCTGAATGATAGGCTTCGGCCATTGGTCTATCACTGGCTGTCAATGGTTTCTTCACCATCATCTGTCAATTACTCGTCCTAAATCGTCTTCGACGGGCGTTAGGCTTAGCCAAGGCGTATAGACTCCTATCTGCCTTGTGGATTCCTGTATTCCTTCTTCTCCCTCTTCTTCGCGACATACTCGAAGCTACTGAGACTTCTCTCCCAGTGATCGACCCCGCCAGCGAGGGTCAATATTCTGAGATCAGAGGCTGGACAACGAGCATCTGCGTCAACTTGCTACTGTCCTACGTGACAGTCTGTGGGATGTCTGGCAGTTTACTGATGGTATTTGTGAACTACAGTAGTCCGGATAGAACAGCATTGGGAGCGGTGAATGGGATTACGACTGCAGTTGGGGTGAGTGATATTCTCCCCGGCTCATATCGCACCAGGGACTTCAGTCTCGTCATCCAGAGTCGTTCTACCAGAAGAGTAGGTATCGATATGTGTGGATGATTTTTAGCCTATGAGGTATGCTGACGATCAGTGTATGGCACGAGTCATCGGTCCATCTCTCGTCAGCGCTCTGTACGCCATATCGATGGACGGTAAAATTCTCGGTGGTCGATTGTGGTGGATCTTCATGGTCATCTGTTCCGCCGTCAGCTTGATATCAGCCATCTTCGTACAAGAGCCCACACCTGGTCAGTCATTGTGCGAAGAAGAAGAGGGAACATCGTTAGGCGAGATGGGACATAATTATGAGGCGCCCTGTGAATGATGAAGGATGCCGAGGGCGCTGGGGGCGGTCATACGACGTCTATATGATGTTTGTGGACGTCTAGGGTTCGATCTGGATAGACAAGTGACGTAGAAACAAGGGCGGGGGGAGGTGATGATCGTAATTGGGACAGTGGGGAAAGGAAAGGCGAACGAGCCGAAAGGAACGGTATGTTATGGCGGAAGTGGAAAGAGAGCAATGGGGGACCGTGGGGATGAGATTTGGGGACATGTTCAGGGTACATTCCATTCCCCGAACTTGGAAGCTCGGGCATCTTGGCATGAGATTGAGTCACACGAGGTCGATAATTTTGTAGCATACAGCATGTATAGCATGGTCTGGAAATCATCGCTTGTCTTGTACAGTCTCATCTGCATGCAGTGATTGTGGTCGGGCTGTAATCGTGACTGAGACCCGGAGCTCCGGAGGGGAATTTTCGAGTTGCCGCAATAGAAAATTCATCCCCCTGACATTCCGCTAGTTCCGCTTTAAAAGCCCGCGCGGGGCAAGATTCCTTTCCCCATTGCCCCGTCCCTCTGGCCCAGGGCCCAAGGGTCAAGAGTACATGAACAATGCCGCCGCAAATCTACCTTTGGCTCCATCCGGCCATTCTCGGCCCTGGTCCTGGTGTCCAGGCTAAGCTTCCAAGTGGGACCTGACCTCCTCTCGACTCACTCAGCGGCAATCATCGGCCTTTAACACCCGACCCGAGAACGTTCGTATTGACCATTTGATGGTGTACTGTATGCATGTGAAAAAAACTTCTCATCATCAATTTCTTTCTTTGCTTCCTTACATTCCACTTTTCGTATTCACACGCACTTCTCATTCATTGTTCATCAGGGTTATTGTGAAAGTTGTTTGAGTCGGCTCTTTTCCGGTGGTCCGAACACCGTACACCGTACACCGGGTTGTTTGACACGTGTTAGAACAACAATAGTGTCTAAAAGGTCCATCAGTACAAGTATCCTTTCCGACAATTACTAGCGTCTTACAACCGAACGACACAAAGGAGCGTTTGATCGACAGGTGCGACAGGGAGTCAATGCTCAGTGTGAGAGGTCTATTCGGGTCGAGGCTCTGTTTGGAATTGAACGATTTTTCAAAAGGCAAAGGGGTTAAAACGGAGATTCATCCGATCGTCCGTTAGACCGGTTGTCCCACTATCCCACTTCTTATTACGACTACATCCCCCGTACTCCTCTTCTCCACCGACCCAGGCCACCGATCCACCACTACCGAATTCTGACGACTACATCGGGTGGAGATCAAATCGGTACATCCGAGACCGAAATACATTTGTGTCGCACCGCGTACCAACAAAGCGACAAATAACCGGTAACGACGACGACAAGGACGTTGTTACGTGTTACTCTTTTATCGACACGATCATCTTTCCAACAAATTGTTATAGTCGTGACAGTGTGACATCGATACAAATTCTCTCTTTAAGGAATTTTCTTACTGGGGAATTCCTTGACTGATCATCAAATTATTTCACTCTTATCACTTAATTTCCCTTACAAAATCTGGTCTTTCGATTCGCCGCCCTGAATCTTGAGATCATCCATCTCACTTGATTTTTCCCATCATCATATCATTTGTGGATCTTTCACTTTTTGATCCATAAAGTAATCTCTCTCAGACTATCATCTCCCACCTTCCAGGTCACAGGTTGACGGACGACGATCTGTACTGTTAGATAGCCTCGGGCCGTAGTGTCTTTTTCTTTATTTTTCTCACACTTTACACAAATTCCAAATCACGAGTGTGTACGATTGGTGTTACCCGCGGAAAGAGTATCGAAATTGAATCGAATCGAACATCGCACCCGATACGACACGCTTGTCATTACTTTTCGATCGACGAATTGACGACTACGACTACGTTTACTCTTTTCCCCCATCGTACAGCTCAACTGTACACTGTACACTGTACACTGTACATCCTCCACCAAGATCAAATAAACCGACCAAGCGGCGTCATATCTCCTCCGCATTCATCACCCTCCAAGGCCCCCACCCACCTTACCGTATACGCCACCCCCTCTCACTTGACCCCATTGTCATATCCCTTTCCTACTTTCAACACCCCTTTACAGCTCAGCCGGTTGCCTTCTTTCAATTTTCAAGTTCCCACCTCTATATCCGACATGTCAGCCAGACACAAGTGATTCTCTAAACCCCTGACCCTCACATCATATCAATTTATACATCACCATCATGTCACCATTCCCACCCACACCCAATTCTACCTCTGTGAGAAAGAAATTCTGCGTGCCAGAGGTATCCGTCTCTATCTCCCCGTCATCATCTCCATCCCCTGCCCCTTCAGCACGACCCGATCCTGTCCCATTGCTCACTCTGGCACCACCTGCATTGGCTCTCGGCGATCATTTGGAAGTGGGAAAACCCGGGGATGGGAACAATTTCGGGGAAATCTGGAATGGTACGTTTGATCCACCTCCAGTATCTCCACTATCCTCTCGCAGCTCTGAAAGATTTCAAATCACCCGAATCGATAAAGCTGATACACCAGTCATAGCACGAGCTTCAGACCTGGTCAAGGATGGCCATCGACTGGAAAACCTTGCTTGGAGGTATGTTCCCTGAATTGCCTCATGTCAGACTCAACGCTCACTTCAAAGGGTATGGAGCGCTCCCTCTCGACCTTCCCCCAGACCGAGACGTTTGTCGATGTCGACCCAAGGGACAGCTTCCACCACATCTCTTCAAAGCCATGATGACTACACATCACATAGCGAATACCCTTCTTCCCCTACGCGATCTGACCGTTCTTCCTTCGGTGCCGCTCTGAACCTCCTCGTCGACGGTCAAGACTTCAAAGACTGGGTCACCGATGCCAAACGTTCCCTCCCACCCATTCTGTCCGTTCCAGACACTCCAGTCGCCAATCTCGAGATCCGACTCGTTGAACCTACTCCAGTGCCCAGTCGTGTCGGTTCTCTAGGCGGGAGCATGACACCTGGTGGGCTTTTCTCATCCGCGGCTGGAGGTATGCCTCCGCCTTTAGATGAAGAAGACGCAGCGTTGGACGGTGATAATGAAGAAATAAATCAAGACGGACAGGAACGAGACGACGACCCTGAGGGAAGAATACGACGTGCACCGAAAAAGAAAGGAGGCAAATTTTTCCTTCACTCTTCACCTACCAAAGGCTCCGGGTCCGACTCCAACACCTCACCGGTCCCTACCAAGGACAATGATCTCCCCGTCATGCCCATGCCGCCGGTCAAACGTCATAGCTCCGGTTCGTCATCGGGTATCGTCAAGATGAGACCCAAAGAGAGAAACGGGGCACAAAAACGTCAAGTGTCACTGTCCACCATGCGGGGTAGGTTCCAGGCGGAGAAGCGGAAAGCAGTCGAGGCCATCCGACAAGCCGAGGAAGAGCGGGAAGCCAAGGATGAGGAAAGCGGATGGGAGGACGAGGATGAAGCTGCCGAGAGTGACGCTAATTGGAGTGACGAATCCCAACAGGCACCGTCACCTACAAAGCGGAATAAGAAGCATGTCACGATAGCATCTCGTTCACCCAACGGTGCCTCCGCAGCTGATTTGACCCGGATACTATCACGACAACCATCAAGAGAACCGAGAGGCACTGTCAGAGATCCTCCTCCGCCACCTGCACCAACGCCTCTGAAGAAGATGTCAAGGAGAGAACGAGAAGCTGCTGAAGCGGAACGGACGAGGATCGAGAATGAATTAGAAGCGCAGAGACAGCGAGAGATGTTTGCCAAGCAGCAAATCTTCGGTTCACGACCCAGCGAAGGTCTCCTCACCGACCTGTTCAAACGTGGAGGCAGCATGGTAGACTTGGTGAGCACATCTACTTGAGGTCTCCGAGTAGACAAACGCTGACTAGTGTAGCCTGGCGCCAAAGAACGTGCTGAGTCTTCATTACGTCCTTCTCCTACATTTGGTAATCTTCCTGGTTTGATGAGGGATAGTCATGCCGGTCCCAGCGTCCTTCGCAGCAAATCAGCCATAGCTTTTCCTGTTCAAACTGGTGTCAGTGTGACCGTTGCGCCGCACACGCCTTTGCACGCACCACAATTATCCAGTGTGGAACCCTGTACGAGCCATCGACGCGAGGGCACTGAACAGCGTAGGACGAGCAACAGCGATGAGGGTGAATTGGCTCTGAGAACTAAGGTGAAGCCCAAGCCCAAAGTGAGTTTCTACCTGCTCATCAGTCACATAGGCTGATTGACCCCTCAGCACACCCCGAAAAATGTCGCGATGGAATCGGACGATGACGGCAGCGAGGATGATTATCTCGCCACGTCACAGACACGTCGCAAGCTGGCCGAACTGCAAACGAAGAAAGAAGGCAGTTATTCCAGCGCACAGGCCGTACCGTTGCCCAACAACTCGATTACTGGCGCAGTGCAAATCGGCGTTATCCAGCCCTTGTCACCCACTTCAAGGAGACGAGCCATGATCACTCGCGAGATGTCGGAGTCGTTGCGACGAAGTGAGTAGATGCATCATTCAGGTTTCTCGGGCTGATTGACAGATCTCATACTCGAAAGACAAAAGTCTAGTGGAGTCGTGGGCCAACGGGTCGCATTTGTCCAACCTAGACCGCCTCCCTTGGTTCAACGTCGTGAAGCCGGGTTGACGACTCATAAGTCAGCTGTCAACCTCAGTCAATTTGAATACGGCCATCCTCTCGAGCGGAAGACTTCTTTACCACCTAATCTCGCCGAGCCACTGCAATTAGTTCCGGCGTTCAACACCCGTTCGCGAGGAGGGTCAACGGCCCAATCGCCAGAGGAGATTGATCGACCACCGCTTCCTCGACATCATCACCCTTTGCTACAGCCCACCCCACATCCTCAACCCCAACCCCAACTTCATTCTCGGTCGTATGTCCTACCCTCTCATACTCTCAGCGCCGACCCTAATAAGCGTTCGGTAAAGCCGACCATTCTAGGAGGCTTCCTACGCCCTCTCACCCGTGTGGGATCTGGAGAAGCAGCAGGTATACCACGAACACACAGTTCAGCCGAGCTCACGGCCTCTCCTAGTGACAGCGAACACAGATTGGAAGCACCGGCCATGGTGAGGAGTAATACGGATGGGGACAGACAGAGGTTGGTGATGGAAGGAAGAATGAGACGTCGTGAGCTGCAGAGAAGGGGTGAGACCATGGACACTGGATATAGGTATCATGGGTGGTGAGCAGTGGCGTGTGTTCCCATTTTTTCAGGTGAATATGTAAAGGATATGATAAGAAGAGGACAATCGAGAAAGGTCTAGGACATGGAGGACATGGATTGTGAAGGAGGTGGAAGAATGACGAGTCTTGACGAATTTTCCTCTCTTTGTTCTATTTCGGGAGCTTTGTCATTAAGCATCATGGCCCTCACACACACATCAATCGGATAGCTATGGAACAAGTCAGAAGTCATGGGCATCGCAACTGTTGTATAGGGTAATTCAATGCAATGATTGAAGAAGAGTGCTGCTGCGTGTTGCATGTTGCAATTACTGAGCTTACCTGACTGACATTGGTTTGGAAGTCGTTGGAAGTGACGTATGAATTGACTCGGCCTTCGGGCATGGTTCCTTTGGTTGATTCCGTCGGCGGATCCGGACCTGATTTTACTGACTTGAGAATTTCCTCACTCACGGATGCTTATAGCCTGATCGTATAATATCATTCAGCATCCTCTCATTGCATACTTCTTCGCCCAAAGACAAGCATAGATTCTAATTCACAGTAGGTGAGATCCGAACTTTCACCCATCTCTCTCGACTTGTTTTCAATCGTAACCCTCGGGCGAGGTCTTTGACCTGCCGGGCAACTCGGTCACTGACGTTTTCTCCTCGGCACACCTGCTACATGCCTCCTTTACTCGACCCCATTCCGTCCTTCTCTTTCCATCTTTTCACTTGGTCCCCTTACTTTGCACAGTTATAATCCAAACATCATCCCATTCGTTCTATATCCCTCGAACAATGGGAGAAACTTCCCCTTCATCCCAACCTGCACCATCCTTTAACATCCCCCCACCTCGCCACTTCAGCTGGAATCTCTCTCGATCTCCAGAAACGCCAGACTCGTCAACTTCCAAAGGACTTCATACCGGGTCTCAGGGTTTAACGAGCACACATAGAAAGTCTTTCGCTTCCAATGGACGTATGGCTTACGTTCCCGGTGTTGCCGTTACTCCCGGGGAAGGGGAAGGAGGACATCATCTGTCTTTCCGGATGGTGGGCGACGACGACCCAAGTCTCAGAAACGGGAATGAAGAAGGTGCCTCGAGAGCTGGGGAGAACGATAACGTTTTACGTCCTAGGAGAGATGATAGTGGCTTGAGAAATGAGAAGCATGATACTTCTCCAGGTAGAAGGAAAGATGATGTATCACCTTCCGATCCAGGTGGAAGGAAGGAAGATGGAGATGATATGAAAAGACACAAGGTCATGAGAGCTTGTGATGTTTGTAGAAGAAAGAAGATACGGTGTGATGGACCAATGACTAGTGATTCGGCCAGCAGTGAGTGACTTTCTTTTCCTTTCGTGTATTCCCGTTCAAGACCACTCATCACATTGCCCTCGAGGCTGAGAACAAGCTGCATTGTCTATCTTATCAAATTTCCAGGGACATTATAGATATGATGGATGAGCCTGACCGTGTTTCGGACATTAGCTGACGATAGAATGCGCACATTGCCAAGATTGCGGTTTTGAATGCACCTACCTTGAAGCTGCCAAACGTCGCGGACCGCTGAAAGGATATGTGGAGACATTAGAACAACGTTGTGGAAGACTAGAGAATATATTGAAACAGGTGTGTTATCTTCTTTGTCTCAAGAAGCGAGTATGTCCGTTCGCTCATGGATCAGCTTTACCCTCAAGTCGATTTCAATCAATACGTCGGTCCAGTACCTGACAGGGATCATTTTGACAATTCGGAATACATCGAAACTCTACGCATAATGCAGATACCTCCTTGGCCGGCTGTCAAACCTTTCACAATTCCCACTTCTCACCCTTCCATCCGTGAATCTTCAAGCGTCGATTCATCCGTTTCCTCCCCTGCCGCAGCCGCTCCTTCACCTTCTTTACGAGTTCTTGGACCTCTACCTTGGAAATCATACGAACAAGATCCTAATCGACCCCCTCAAGACGAGGAAGATGCCGAAAATCACCATGCCGCTCAAGCCGATATCGCCAAAGCCATGGCCAGACTCGAAGTCAGGGACAACACATGGCGATTTCACGGTAAAGCCTCTGCTGCACTTCTCACACGAGCCATCGGTGACCTCAAATACCGAGCTGGACGTCCCGATTTGATCGATAGGATACATACTAGTAAAAGAGCGGAATATTGGCGCGTACCAGAATGGGAAATTGTCATTGCCAATGAAACTGTTCAACAGGTCGATCTTTCCATCTGGCCAGAACCAGATCTCGCTACTTCACTCATAGATGCTTATTTCACCCATGTCAATTTCCATCTTCCATTGTTAAACCACCTCATCTTCCGACGTCAATACGCCGATAGATTGTACGATACCAATCATGAATTTGCCAAGGTCTGTCTGATGGTTTTCGCCAATGGTTCGAGATTTGTCGACGATGATCGAGTCTATTGGCCTGTCGATTCTGCAATGTCTGAAGAAGGAAGGGAACGTCTGCGTTCTGACAAAGATGGAACGTTGAAATATTCTGCGGGATGGAATTATCTTCGAGCTTTGATCAAGATGGGTCGAAGTTTGATGCAAACACCAACTTTATTCGAATTTCAATGTCAAGTCCTCGTCTGTGCCTTCCTTCAAGGTTCCGCCGTACCACATCTTATGTGGCTTTGTTCTGGAATGGGTTTACGATCCGCTCAGGAACTTGGTATACACGTACGATCCACATTGTTACACGCTCATCCAGTCGAACGTGCATTGTTCGGACGAGCTTTCTGGTGTTTATATCACATTGACAGAGTCAACTGTGCCGCCATCGGTAGAAGTGTCGCTTTGCAGGATACGGATTTCGATGCAGATTATCCGATCGCTGTGGATGACGAATATTGGGAGACTGGTGACCCAACAAGAGATTTCAAACAACCTGAATCTGCTGGTGTTCCAAAAGTAACAGCTTTCATTCATCTATTGAAACTTGATCATGTCATCGGTGCGGCTCTTCGTACTATCTACGCTATCAATCAATCCCCCGAACATCGTGCCGATTCGGCGGGAAAACGTGCTGTTGTAGTTGAACTCGATTCCGCTCTCAACACATGGGCAGATGCTGTACCTGATGGTTTACGATGGGATCCAACACGTTCAGATCAACAATTATTCGAACAATCAGCAATCATGTATAGTCATTATTATTATTGTCAAATCCTCATTCATAGACCTTATCTTCCTTTACCCAAACAAGGTGAACATATCGATCCACAAGTATCCGAATTAGGTTTACCTTCTCTGGCCATTTGTGCCAATGCGGCAAGATCGATATGTAACATTCTCGATGCTGTACTTCGTCGTGGTAGACAATTCGGTGCATTACCAGGAAGAGCTATAAACGTTTCTTTCATGTTACCAGCTTATGTAGCTGCTGTCACTCGACTTCTAGGTGTTTACCTCGGAAATCCTAGTTCACAAGAAAGAGAACGTGCAATCACAGATGTCAAACGATGTATCGCGGCTATGAAAGAGATGGAGATGACATGGCGTCAAGCTGGGAAAATGACGGATATGTTAGTAGAATTGGTCAAGGATCCTACACCTAATCAAAGTCAAAGCTCCGAACCTTCACATGGGTTGAAAAGACCTTTCGAAAATGTAGAATCTGTTACTTCTTCCAACAGTTCGACAGGATTACAAACTCCATTGGAATTGAACGGCGGCAAAGATCTCTGTCAAAGTTGGCCTGAACATTCTACAGTTCCTAAAGGACCTCCAACACCTCCGACTTTCTCATCGTTTTTTGGGGAAAAAGTTGTTCCTTCACCTTACGGGATCCCTACATTCGATGCGCAATCAAATTCGACAATCTTGAACGTTCCATCGACAGACGTTCAACCCATTCAGAACCAGAGCGATGGAAATCCAGCTTGGAATCTGGATTCATTGATGTTTGACCCAGCTATTCTGGGTTCAGGTGTCATGGGTGATTTCGGAACTGGAACAGGGGTGGCGAATTACGACGTACCCGCGGCTGCTTCTGTAGCCACGGGTAACGACGATTTGTGGACTCAATTGTTCAGCGGGTACTTGTGAGTTGACCACGTCTTTCTTCCTCGAATAGCTCACATGGTATTGTCGCTGAATTGAGTAGAGCTCAAACTTGGGGAAGCGACACCTTTACTCAATAGTATCATGACCTGATTAGTCATGTGTGATGTCGGATTTTTGAACGGTTTGCTCAGCAATTCATGTTGTATGGTCATCCCTCGTAAGATCCAAGTGATGCATAGATAGATAATTTACATATGAATCAAATCGAGTTGATCTGCCGTGTCAATGGGTCTACTTCCCGTCTGACCGGTAGGTTCAGATTGACCAGTTGCCAAAGCACCCCCATGCAATTTAGCAACCATAGCCTTTTTAGCTTGCAAAGCGGAAAGAGCGGCTTTTGAATGAGTATCCTTCTGAAGCATTTTGATAAAGATATAACTCACCTCCTACACCACTACCATCTTTTGCCATTCCTATGCGAACCCTAGCTTCGCCTGCTTCACCCAAGAGAACTCTCAATGCTTTACGTACCCTACTTTCGAAATTTGGCAAAAACTCGGCGACACTGAAAAATCAGCACATCCCATTTGTTTTTTCATTTGTCAAACGGATAGGGAAGAAGAAAAGAAAAGAAAACTGACGAGCCGTCAACCCCAACATCCACACCGGTATCTTGTTCTCCTTCCGGAGGTATGTCATTACCAGTGTGTTGAATCACAGCGGCGATTGCACAAGCTGCCAAAGAACAAGCACGATCCGACACGCACCGACAAGCCCATCGTACCAGCTCGACACACCCATCCGTGATGTTATCGGGGTCGACTCCCAAATTGGTCAGGATAATCGAGCGAACTTCAGAATCGCTTGATACTCCCTCCACGTTGGATACGAAAGAAGTGTCGTAGCCGTAGTGTGTGTTGAGTGTCGTTGTGGAGAATCCGTTGAAAAGCAGAGACGAGTCGATCAGATAAAGTAGCATATTGCGAGTGATCTCGCCTAGATCTATTTCGTCAACCAACATTTACAGATTAAACGTTATGCAGACTCACACATTCCAGAGACCATCTTTTCAAAAGCTTGTTTACGTCTGGGTCTCAGCACAGGCATTCTCTCACGTTTGACATGCGAGCAGCAGGAACCGTCAGGTGAAGGTTAGTTGCAGGGATTTCAACTGGCAAGGTGTGAAAGATTATCGAGCGAGCTTGTCAGGTGAAAGAGGATGCTCACGGATTGATAGACTCTCGATCGAGTTTGTTGTCGAAAATCGACACGGGTAGCGTATGTCTCTACATGTTCATGAGTATCCTTTGAATGTAAGTCTAAAGTGAAGGGGAGCAACTCACCCCGTTGTCCATAGCTCCCCATTCGGTGTTGATGACCATATATTGTCCTGCATGTTCTCCTAGTGCTTCCGCCGCTGCTATAGCCTCCTCTCCAAGTTTCTTCACAGTTCGCGTTCGATCAATGTAAGCGCCGTTGGTACCTGTACCGAAGATTGCTCCAATGAGTGCAGGTCCATGTTGATATGATCGAGACAAGAGTGTCCCCACAGTCTGTCCGTCAGCGGTCTTCGAGTCATCGCGCAGCAAAAGACCGAGGGAGGTCGGAGCGTAAGTCGCTATAACAGGTAAAAATAACTCACATCATTCACGAGAGCAGAACATCGTACATGAATATGTTTCCTGTCCAAAGCGTCCTGCAATAACCCCACCACATCATGTCCGATTGCGTTTTTGGCAGAAAAACCTTTGGTCCATGTGAGCAATTTACCAGCGTCTATCGCGGTTTGCTCAACGGGAAAACTAGTGTGTGAGCTGAGAGATCTGTTGTCAAAGTCTCCATGTCCCTATTTGTTTCTTATTTTCAATGGCTGGCCAGCCCATGCCTCACTTGGACCGATAAGGAAGGACTCGCTATTGAATGTAGATGGCGACTAGAAGGTTTCGAATGGGTAATCGCTCCACACTCACCTAAATGTGAATCCCAGGTATATAGGCTCTCCATCCGTCTCAATCTCAGACCCAATCTCCGTCAAGAAAGCATCCACTGAATTTGCAATATAATCTGAGTTCTGTCAGCCCAGCAACCAGTGACATGCGGAGAACATAACTGACCGAATAATACTCTGGCTTGTCCTGCCTTGAGATCCTCAGAGACCTTATACTTTTGTTGCTTGATTTCAAATTGATGATGACCGAAAAGCTTGACTTCACACACACGTCTAAGTCTTAGCTTCACCGCTTTAAGAAGGAGGGGAGAGGAGATAAGATAGAGTGGTACAAGAGACAGGTGAAGCAAGGGTGGAAATGTTGCCCAGAATAGTCTATCACATACAGATTCGTTCCACCCAAGTCTAATGCCAAAAAGGTTCTGTTGATATCAGCGAGACTCTTTCCTTTCTTCTCCGCACAGGATGTATGTGAATGCTGTGCTGTGTAGATATACAGAGCAGATAGGAAATGGGGACCGAGTGATGAGATGAATTGAAAAGATAGACCTAGGGCTCACCCTTGCTCCGTACCGTCCGGGACACCAGTGACGAAACTGGGTACCATGGCAACGTCATGACCATACTGTTCTAATCCCATTCGAAGCTCCTTCTTGAACTGTTCCAACACCCTCCGCAACCGGTCATCATCGAGGTGAAAGAAGGGATCAAAAGTGTGACAAATGTCTGGCAGGGGCATGACTGGGGAAGGTGTTCAATCTCAGTAAGCAATGAGGCAGATGGGACCAGTTGCAAGCCAGCCAATGAGATCGAGGTGTATGATAACGGTGAGGATGAGGTCTGAACGAGACAAGAAGGCAGATTATATGTATTTTATTCGAGGTGTCTGGCAGTGCAAGGAAAGATGGATAGTCAAAGGATAAGTACTTGTACAACATCGGCCTCGGTAAAAAGGAGATGCAAGTACAATGACACTGCCGTCTCTTGATACATGGATTGTCTTCCCTTCGTCTACAAGCGTACCGTACACTATCATTCACCCACCCTTCCCTTGCATTTCCACCACGTCCATGAGCTTGATAATCCTCGGGTCCAGGCAGCCTCCCCATTATCTTTGAATCACATCTCGGTCACACATAGCCGGAGTGCCATCAAAAGTTCCATGGTTCCATTAGGATCATTCCCAGTCTTCCCAAATCTTGTTCAGCCACTGAGCCGCTGCTCCTGAGCCATGTTTGCGTCAACCTCGACGACTTCATTCCACGTACTAAATAGTAAGCGTACAACATATCCGCATCTCACAAAGACAGGCTTACGTTCCGGAGATCAAGAGTCAACGTCTTGGACGAGTTCTCTTCTTGCTCTCGATAAACCCCCACTAAGCCATCCGCGTGTTCGTATCTGTGCCATTAGCTAGGTTACGACCACCCGCGATTGACGAGACTCACAGTGTGGTCTTTAACGAGATGATCAGAAACTGCACTTCCTTCTCCGCTTGCTCCCTAACGTATCGCGCCAGCTTGGACACGTTCGTCGGGTCCAACGCGGCGTCCACCTCGTCGAGCACGAAGAACGGAGCCGGGTGAAAGGAATGAATGGCAAATAACAAGGCCAACGCGGCCATCGTTTTCTCACCTCCTGATAACTGATCCATCTCAGCGAATCGTTTGCCAGGAGGCATGACGTTGTACTTGACGCCAGAGAGATAAGGTTCCTGCACCGTAAGGCCAAGGTCACATGCCATGAAATGTACGTACCTCGGCGTCTTCGAGACTGAGAAAGCCGACACCTCCGGTGGGAAATGTCTTACTTTTAGTGAGATCCTTGTAAATCTTGTCGATACACCCAGTCATGTGATTGTATGCCTTATTGAAGAGGTCACAGCGCTTCTTGCGTAATTGCTGATATTCTTCTCTGGCCCGTTTGCTCTCTTGTCGAGTCTCCTCGGCTTCTCTTTCCGCCTCATCCAGCCCGGTTTGAACGTCGGCAAGCCTGATAGTCAGCCAGCGTCGACTCGATAGGGCTTACCGATCGATGGCTTTCATGTTAGGAATCATCTTATCCAGATTGGCCTTCAGTGCCGCAATTTGCGCCTCAAAATTGTGGCCCAGCTCTTCAGCGTCGTTCTGTATACGTCAGCTCGCGTCTTGATCTGACCATGGAAGCGCACCTCCCTGTCCTCGTCCTCCAGCACGTCGAAGTCGGGTTCGATACCGTAGTCGTTGCTCCTTGCTGGACGTTGGGTCCCGTCGTCATCCACGTCCATGGACTCTCCATCCTTTTGCAGATTCTCCTCGATAGGAACTTTATCGAGCGAGCCGCGAATAAGCGGAAGATCGATCTCTTCAAGCCGACAACGACGATAAATGGCATGCCGATCTGAGGATGCCTTTTCAATCTCGTCGTTCCACCCTCCAATCTCCTTGAGCACTTTGTCGAGCATCCGCTGAGTCTTTCTGGTAGCATCGCGCATTTCCTCGACCAGATCGGTAGCTTTGTCATATGCAGCCTGAGCATTGGAGAGCTTGCCTCGCTGGTGTTCAATCTCAGCCTGCAGTTGATCGAGTTCTTTCTCGAGAGCTCTCTTCGAAGAACGCAATTTATCGACGTTATGATTCTCGCGGTCGATAGTGGCCCGCAATGAGGCAAGACGTTCACGAGTCGCAGATAATTGTGATGTCTCGAATTCGATTCTATGATGAGCTGCGTTTCACATTCAAACTCACTGATGATTGATGCGAGCCTGCTGGGTCGTGAAGGCCTCGAGCGCCTCACTCTCCTCCGTCGCTAACTTCAGTTGGACATCCTCATATTCTTGGATGTGGCTGATTTTAATCTTTTTGCAGAAAGCGTCAAATGTTTCGTCGTCTGCAGTGTTGACCGTTTTGGCGAGATCGGCAGTCTTTTGTTCCAGAGTCCTAACTGCTCGAGACCGTTTTTCCAGATCAGGGGAGAGCTTCTTGAAATCAGACTCCACGTGATTGAGCTCAGCTCGTAAACCATTCAGCCGAAGGCGAGTCGCGTCCTGAGCGTCAGCTTGGAATTTCTGCCGCTTGAAGAACACCCTTACAAGATCGTCCTTTGCGATGGTCGCCTCGGCATCAAGTCTGGCCAAGTTTTCTAGCACCCCTTCGTCCGCGTTATCCTTGGGCTTCGCACGGTTGAGATCCTGCAATTGCTGAAGATACTGCTCTTTCAGTCGTTGAAGACCTTGAACCTCCCGGTCATCGAACTTGCGAGAGCCACCGGATCCTTGACCTCCAGTGATCAGACCACTTCTGTGTATCACTGTACCCTCCAAAGTCACCGCTGAATGTCAGTGATTTCCACATCACATAGGAAAAACGGCTCACCCTTGACCTCTTGGCCTTTGTCATAACAAATCTGCTTGGCGATGTCCATGGAGTCGCAAATCATAGCGTTGCCACAGACGTGCTGCATCGCCCTCTCAACTGCGGGTTCATACTCTATGCAGTCGAAGGCCAAACGAGCACCACGAGCAAAATTTCGCAGTCGTTCCGCAACAGGCTTAACTTGGATCGTGTCAAGCGGAATGAAGGTAGCTTGACCAGCGCGTTGGTTGCGCATGTACTGACAATTAGCGAGGCACGTCTCAGCTCGCTTACCTCGATGCAATCAATGGCCACTTTCTCCTGCTCCACAACCACAGCATCGATGTGTCGCCCTAGGACAGTCATGACAGCTGTGTCGTACTTTCGAGCCGTAGGTTTACAGAGGTCGACGACGCGACCGTGCACTCCGGGGAAAACGCGCTTCAGACTCTGCAAGACTTCCTTCAGCTTGGCCTCCCGCTCTGATTCACGCTTGTCAACCCCTGCCTGTAACAACTTGTTGTATGTTTCCTGGAGTTTCTCGTTGATCTCGGTCACCTTCATGTTGACTCGCTCTCGTTCAGCTTGAGCATGTTCCAACTGAGCTTTTAGACGCTCCCTTTCATCGTTGAGTTCGGCTAACTTATCGGACATCTGGCATGTTATTAGGCGATCTGATACGAATGAGATGTACTCACTGATACCTCCCTACTGGACAAGCTGTTCACTTCTTCTGTCAGTTTGGTTTTGCGTCGTTCAGCTTGTTGAATCTTGTCCTCGGCCGAGGCGAGGGCATCACGTAGGTTCTTCTGCTCGCGATGAAGACTCTCAAGTTGCTGTCGTTCTGATACGGCACGAAGGTTGGCTGCAGACCGGCTACTCTGTCAATATGGTCAGACGTCCGATCTGGTCACTAACAGGGTCCTATACTCGGCAAGATCAGCTGCCGACAAGGTTTTCCCTTTCGCCTGACTAGCTTTCCTTTGCCGTTCTATGTCATCAGCCTTACGTATCGGGTCTGCTACAAAACTGACCGACAGCCTCAGCCATGCTCTTTTTGACATCTGCTGCACCTCTTTGCAGAGTCTCCAGGCTGTCAGATTGGCGCTGCTCGTCTCTTTCAACTCGTTCAAGGAGCGAAGCAGCATTGTCCCGCTTCTTTGCCGAGTGTGTGATTTGAGCCTCGACGGCCACCAGGTCAGGCTTCTGCGGGACTGTCAGGACGCTGTGACGAGAAACAAATGAGGCTTACTTTGTCGTCATAAGCCTTCTCGGCCCTCTTCACTCCGGCCTCACGCTTCTTTACGTTCAACAACGCTTGATTCTGGTCTTTCTTGGCGAGGCGGAATTTGCTGTCATTGTCATTCTTCACGGTCAGTTTGAGCTTGACAGCAGAAAAACGACCTACCACTGCAGCACGTAAATCTGTCAATTTTTCGTTGGCTTCTTCTACTTGCTTGGTGGACTCGTTAATCTCTTCGGTCAGGTGATAGAGACGCCAAAGGAGATGCCGCTGCACCAAGGCATCCTGCCTGTTCAGCTTGGAGCTGAGTCTTGAGAGGAACGCACGTACTTTTTCGTCTCTCAGCTTTTCCCATTGTTTGATCTCTTCCCTCTGTTCTTTGAAGTGTCGGACTTCGGTCAACATGGTTCGTTTCTTGGCATAGTTTGCTGTGCTAGCATCAGTCGCTTTTTCCTGAGCCGCTTTGGAGGCTTCGTAGGCAGGTGCCAAGTCCAGGGAACTGGGTCATAAGCTTGTCATTTCCTTACCCGAGACGTGACAGTGCCCACCCGCTGATCCTGTCGATGAGCTTGGCCAAGGCCTTGCTGTCTTGACTGGCGACGCCTTCCACGTCACCCTGAAAGACGAGGAAGTTCTTGGCCTTCACTAGGATGTTGAACTTTTCGAGCTGCTGATTATACAGATTCCAAGGAACGGCTTTCCCATTCAGGTAGTAAGTGGAGGCTCCAGTTGTTGTGATACTGGCCGTCAATTCATTTCGGAAAAGAGGAGTGTCCATCACACATACCTGCGTCTGAATCTCCATTCCTTATTTTTGTCGTCCTCGTAGACGGCCATGACGTATGCCGTCCGGGCATCATTGGAGTGCGCTTGAGAATCTCCATCGTCTTCTATACTCATGGTTTCGTCCTCAGCTTGAGCGGCCTTCCTCCCACGATAGACGAGATCCTTGAGTTGAGTGGACCTGAGTTGGGCCGATTTGACACCCAAAACGAAGGAGATGGCGTCCATGAGGTTGGACTTGCCAGCACCGTTGGGTCCGATGATGCACATGAAGGGTGCATCTCCGAAATCGATCACCTGTCAGATGTCAGTCGAGCTTACTGATGAATACAGAAATTACCTGCTGTCCTCTATACGACTTGAAGTTTGACAGCTCCAGCCTTTTGAGAGGCATCTTGACTGCAGGCTGGAGAAGTGATAACCAAGTGGTGAAAGTGTAGAGGGGGTAAGGGAAGATTCACGTCTTAGGCTGACGCGACTTGACAGGATCACGTGGTTAACTAACAGTCGCATGCCTACCTCGGGTAATTGGATTTCCCCTTCCTCACACGCCTATCAGGCTTTCGTCCCCACAATGCCCCGCCAGAGGCTTCCAAGACTTTGCTCCCTCTACTCGAATCACATCCCCATCATAATAATCTTCTTGGGTCACGCATGTCTCTCTGACAAAAGAACATGGTCATCAAGCATGAAATGACGGACGTTTCCTCCAGCATACCTTCTTTCGGTAGGCCAGTATCCTGGTCGGGTGAGAGAGACGATGGGACCAACGACCTTGAACACGAGGAGGATAACGACTACAGTCCCGGTAGTGGAGATCAAGCGGGTTGGAATGCACCTAGCGGTAGTGGACAGCTACACGAGGGAGCCCGGCGAGGCAAGGAGAAGCGGGGTCTCATCGCCAGAGTCAATCGTGCGTCTCTTCAACCCCATTCATCTTTCCATGTTCCCTTTTCAGCCGCAACTTGTAAACCCAAATCAAGTTTTCATAATGCCTCCTCATAAGGATCGAGCTGAACGTTGTATAGGTGCTTGTGTGAGTCTCTCAATGCAGCAGACACCGTCGTCCTCGGGCACGTGTTTCACTTGTCATTCTTCTGATCCAAGCAGAACAACTGTCGGCGAATGAAGATGCGATGCGTCGGTGCGGAAGATCCTCCCTGCAAGCGATGCCGGAATTCAGGCCTCGAATGTGTGATGGAAAAGCCTGGAAGAAATGCTGGGGATAGCAGCAGTGATGAGTGAGTGGAGCTCCAGTAGCAATCGATCAAAAAGCTCACCATGAACTCCATCAGTCGAATCCGATCTCTCGAGAACAAAGTATCTGGCATACAAGACACGTTGTCAGAACTCGTGGTCGCGATCCGAGCAAGTCTGTCGGCCCCACAACCCGCGGTACCGAGTGTAAGCAGTGAGAGGTCCCCGGCTCTCAACAATGGCTATGATGCCTCCAGTCGTGGAGGTGTACCCTCTCGTAAGTGTACAATCCATATCCATGTCCCCCGTGCTAAAATGCCAGAGATTGCCAATGCATACAAACCACCCCTCGCTACGACCCTCGGTTCTCTGGCGCCACATGGGGGTGGCTTCAATCTGGCGCACCACTCACCTTACCCTTCATCGGCCATAGACCGATCCGTTGGCCCTTTCAGCAGATCCGGATCTAATTTTCGAATGACCCCGATCAATCAGCCCTCTTCAAGCTCCATAAATACTATGAAGCAGGAGACACCATCTTGGGGTGCACCAGCTCGCCCTCAACTCAATCCAATTCCTTCGTCGTCCACACAACTCACCAGTCAATCCACGCTGGACACAGAACACCACCGAGGGCAGAGATTCTCTCCCGTATTGACACCACGAGACGAGAATGATAGACCTTATTCCACCCTGCCGCCCTCTAGGGCTGGGTCACTCGGACCAGATGACCTGCTTGACGCTGAGACAATCACCAATCCCCTGGGAGCCATGTCTAATATGGCTGGTCTGGTGGAGGCTGCCGTTGAGAGAGCCCGAGAGGAACAGGCAAAGTCCATGGGAAACCAGCACAACGGCAATGGCAAGCGGCCTTTCGCCGATTCACTGGACGGCACGACCACACACAAGGTACCCAAAAAGTCTCGGCTGCTGGAGCAAAGACCGACCGGTCATGAAATCGTCGAGGCGCAGAACCTCCCCCCTACCCCGTCCGGGTTGAAGGGTAAAACGAGAGCTAGAAAGACTCATGTGCATGCGTTCCCGGATGCGGTGGCCGAAGGCTATGTCAGTGAGGAAGAGGGTCGAGAGATGATGAAAGTGTGCGTAGCCAAAGACTTCGTATCGAAGCATAGTTCTGACGGCTGTAGCTTCTATGCTGGGTCTTCCAACTACATCCCATGTTATGATCCCGTCATGGATACCTGGGAATCGTGAGTGCCAACGCATACCCTCCTCATGACTGACGTCGGCAGGTTACGGCTTCGCTCGCCATTTTCCATCACGGCCATCATCTATGTGGGCGCCAGAGTACGAGACGGTGGAGGTGAGGCTATTACATTGCCTATCGCCGCAGCTGAAGTAGCAGGTCCGCCCAGCGAGACTCAGCGTCTTTGCCGGCTACACGCCGAGAAAATCGGCAAGTTCTTCCATGCGGAGCCTTTCTCATTTGCTCACACGCTGTAGGAGTCAGCACGTTGTTCAACCCTGTCACTCGCATAGAAGCCGTTCAAGGAATGAGTAAGTTCTCAAAGATCGTCCAATGTCAACTCACATACCAGTCCTCCTCTCCACGTTCAGCAATGAATCTGGCTGGTTACCGGGCGGCCACGCGGTCCGGATGGCTATAGACATGGGCATCAACAAGTCGTTTTTGCTCCTATTGAAAAGTGGTATGGGGAGAGGTAAAAGCAAGGAAGAGCTCGAACAAGTTGATCGACCACTGGTGGTTCAGTCGCGAGTCTGGTTTTGCGTGAGTCTCTAGTCTCTCGTGTTTTATAGCAGGGAAACATTGGCTGACAATGGCTCAGCTTTATCTCATGGAGCATCAGTGAGTGGCGCTCGACATTTTTGGATAGCATTGACTTTGCCAGGATGGCGTACGGCACCGGTCGCCCAGCAATCTTGGCGGAAGACGAAACCATCCAGCATGCTCGACGTCTTCTTGAACACCCCTTGTCCATCACCTCAGACGCGAGGCTTGTCTCCACCGTTCACTTATTATCTCTTCGAGGCATGTATCTCTCTCCGATGACCGGCAATTTACACTGACGCTCAGCTCCGTTACACGTCGAACTGACTGCCTCTCCTGATCAACCATTGACAGAGACTGCAATGCAGCGGCTCAAAGAGGCCAACGCACAATTCGATGCTTGGGAACGTGAATGGGATATCGTCTTCTGTCAGTCACTGCCTCTATCATTGACTGCGCTGACTCGGAGCCAAACGCTTCAGCAAGACCCGAGGGGACTTTTTCCGAGAATCGCTCATCATCCAAAGGCAATATGCCGAGTAAGCCGCCCGTTTCCCGGATCGAAGCAGGCTGATGTGGTAGACTATTTGTGAATTCTCAGCTTTTGCGAGGAATCCGCGATCCTCATGATGTTGTCAATATGCCGGAAGAAAAGCGGCTTTTGGCCATCAGAGCGATGAGAAATGCGCAAACCTGCCTGGATATATGCCTTCATGGACAGAATGTGGGTAACCTTCCTGTGGCATGGACAGGCAAGCTGACATGTAGTACCGAAATGGACTTCGATACGGTGAGTCTTTAGATGTGACAGTTCGTCCTTCGCTGACATACCTAGCCGTTCATTACGTCCGTGAGTAGAACCTGTCGAGTCACTGAACTACTTTAACTTACATCGCAGATGTATGCGCTGCCTTTGCAGCCTCTTTCCTTATTCGTATCGCTCGTCTCTTCCCTCACGAATTGGACCTCAAGAAGACTGCCAAGGACGTGGAGGAGCTGGCAACGGTGTTGGCAGAAAGTGAGGCTGGACTTTACCTATCGTCCGCATGCTGACGTTGACAAGTTCCTGCAGGTCGTTACGCTCGTTCTCTACGCTTGATACTTCGGCGCGCTCGTCGCAACAACGTCATACCTGCTCCCTCGGCGGCTACTTCGCCTCTCAAATCGATGGCCGCATTGCCCGCTCCTGCCATGGCACAACCTGAGCAGCACGGGTTGCCGTTCTCTTTATCTCCACTGATGTCGTCACAGCCCCACAGACCTCAGATGGGTCCAAGTCAGATTCAACCTGTTCAGGCGCCGGCAGCTTCTCCTGGCAATGCCTTCTTTGCGCAGAATCCCGTACTTAATGAATCGCCTCTGTCAGGCCAGGACATCTTCGAGTTTGACTCCCTGTTTGCTCAGGAAACGCTAGAGAGAGCAGGGTTGACTTTGGACGATAGCAATCAATTGCCTCTGTGAGTGCTGTCCCCCGATGTCACTTGTCTTGTACCCAGCTGACAGATCTAAAGCTTTCTTGACGGACAATCTCTCGGGGCCGAAGCGGGTATGATGGAGATGGTTCCCTATCTCGGATTAGAGCAATACTTTTTGCCCGCCAACGTTGACGACCTTCTGGGTCAGCAGATCGGAGGGCCGCGTTGGACAGGGGCTGACCAGACGGGGCAACCATCGGGTCAAGGCAATGTACCAGGTGACGTGTGGTGGTGATGTCGTTGGACGATTGGGGGATTTAAAAGTGCATAATAACATTCGTCGCATAATTCCAGGGTATCGGGGCAACCGAATATGATACGTAAATGATAGGTAGAGGGCTCGTAGTAGTTTGGTGTTGTACATGACATTTCATTGCTTTTCGTTTTACTTCTCCTTTCCAGTTGCACGGCATGGATAGCAGGTGACAAAATGTCCCATGGTCTCTTATCCGGACATCCACCTCCATCTATAGAGATATTGCAAGCTTGGCTCGACGACCATGGTGCCGTCATCAACTCCCATGTTGAAATCACTGAAAGTTTCGACGGCTGGGGCATTAGGGCTACTGAGACGATCGATGAAGGTGACCTAGGTGAGTATCTGCTATCTTGTTCTATCAAGATCTCGTAGATAGATGCTGATAACGTAGTCTGTATGATCCCAAAGACGGCTGTACTTTCCCACCGAACCAGCTCATTACCCCTTCTGGCACCCCCACCAACAAGTGTAGATGGTATTGAAGCGCATTGGCCTATCTTGCAGCTATCCCTCGCGATCCTACATGAACTCAGATTGGATGTCGATTCTCCCTTCTTTGGCTACCTTCAGAGCCTCCCAAGAGAGTTGATACTCCTACCCGTATTCTGGAGCGTTAAAAGAATAGCCGGGGAAGATGGACGATTAGGATTACTTTGGCTGAAAGGGACGGAAGCGGAGCGTGATATGGCAAGAAGATCTTCCATCGGTCTTGGTCTAGTGAGTGTACTTCCATCTCATCACTGTTCGTTACAACACTATGAATTATCCCGGTAAAGTGCAGAGTGACTTATAAAGCAGAATGAACTGAACACTTTCTATCAAACACACAGATTACATTTACCTTCAACAAGATTTCACCCATCACCTTCCCCATTCGAAGCTTTTTATCACACTTTCGCTCTCGTTTCAACTCGAGCATTTGTCATTGATCTATACCACACTGTTGGTCTTTGTCCATTTGCAGACCTTTTAAATCATTCATCTACCCCTCATACTCAATTAGCATCAGACAAAGACGTTTGTCATATCTGTGGTTCTCTTCCATCTTGCAAACATGATCTTCTTAACGCCAACGATGTCCCAAGACGGTTGGAACAAGTACCACCTCATACTAGGAAGATCATGGAAGAAACCATTGATTGTGTTGAACTCAAATTGGAAAGATCAGTTAGAGGTGGAGAAGAAATTTGGAATTGGTATGATGACAATATCGGTGATGCGAGAAGTTTAGTCGAATGGGGTTTTGTAGGTGAAGATTTTGCAGATGAAGGAATAACTTGGGAATTGTCACATGTCCTGGGAACAGATATAAGTCTCAAGAGAGCATACGCAGGGATGATTGCGTCGGGAGTTATTAAAGATATGATGGACAATATAGACGTCGAAGATCCTTTAGTGGGTTTACCGGACAGAATGGGACTTTTGAGTGTGTCGCATGAAGGTCAGATTTCAGGTTATTTGTTTGCGGCGGTGGTCATTGGACGAGTACTTCTGGATGAAGTGCCAGGGCATACGGAACTAGCAGAGGTGATGAGGGATAGCTTGGAAGAGATCGAGCGAAGGGCGAACGCGAACGAGTTCAGAGGGACAGATGCAGAAATGTCGGGTCAGACCAAATCAAACACGAATAAAGGTCCACTGTCACCTATCACTGGGCAAGTCGTCAAGGAGATCATCAACCTACTTGAGACACGTCTGACAAAGTTTCATCATTCGGAGCATCAAGTGGAAGATCTTTACACTATCCGTGACGTGAGTCTGCTTTTCAACGAATTCTCGGATCTATGTGTAGCTGACTATCCTCAGACTCTCTCTTCCGACGCCAAGCTGCAGCGGATGGCTATCATGGTTCGTATTCACGAACAATCTTTACTCGAATCAACTTTGCATAAATGGCGAGAACTTCTGGCATAATAAATTCATCAAGATTTGGAATATAATACACAAGCAGGCAAAGCCTCGATAGGTAAGTATACAGCAATGTCAACAAAGATATGTAGTTACAAGATCATGATCATGTGAAATCAATCCAATTCCGGCCTATCTCAATCATCAGCATACCGATAAGCCCACGCTGACATCCTCTCCCCGCTGATAGGACCTTGATAATACGAACTGCAGTCATGAGTCATCAAACATACAATGTCACAAGGACTCACCTTGTATCACGTTCTCTACTCATACCCACCACATCGGCCATGTTGACACTTGCGATGAGCATGACCTCTTTGAGGTGACAAGACCACTTACTACCCAAGCACTGATCGGGCTACCCCTTTCCCCTTATCACCGGTCCCGGCAATGAATTGTTCGACCCATGGTGTACGACACCAAACACAAGTGACAATGTCCCCTTTTGCCTTTGCAGTCGCCGCCCACATTTTGAAGCATTCTTGATGCAGTCCTAGACAAGTCAACAAGCATACAAAAGCTGAACCGGAACGAGACTTACCCTTGCCGCACCCAGCAGTAGCTTCGTCATATACCAGCTTCCCACTCTTGTCATCCTCTTCGGTCATCTCTTCATAGCAAACAGGACAATCTTCCCCTACAGACTGGATCTTTCGTACGACTGGCGCCGTCTCGATTATTTTATCGACCTTACTAGAGCCTTCTTCCATCCGAGAATGATCACCAGTGGCTTCAAGATACTTGTTGCGGACGGCAGCGGGGACCATCACAGACCCATTAGGAGTGGGAGGGGCGGCCGAGAAGATGACTTCTAGTTCAGAAGCCTAACGTGTCAGTTGGGCAGAAAGTCGATAAGCGACGCACCACAAGACCCCTCTGATACCAATGATAAGAATTCTCGGGTACCTTCAGGACTTTCAAGCTGGCATGTTAAGCTCGACCAAAGCTTCAACGAGGAACCACTCACAAGACAAAGAGTACGTGCTTGCACGGAGTATTACCCTTGGCGGAATCTGGACAATCACATTGTTGAAGGAAACCGATGATGACAGTCTGTCATGGTGTCAGCATAAAATGTCAGTGCAATTCTACCAAGATGTCAGACAAGTGTGATGGGTTGAGCGACACGTGCACTCACATAGACATTTCCTGTCGAACCAAGCTAGACTTGAGCATTGGATTGATAACAGATGGTGAGAAACGCACTACTTTAAAGGCCTCGCTATGATCATCAAGCTTCTGTCGATCCACCAGGAACTTGGGATCAACTTCATCGACTGCAATCTTACGAAACATACCATGCGCTGGGACATGACTCTTTTGTCTGCATCGATCAGCCGGGCTTATCTACAAATCGGTAAGCTCACATCTGTCCTTTGTCTGTTGAGAGCAACTTGTAAGATCAGCGATGACTCCATCACGAAAAAGTGAAGCAGACCTTTTTCTGAACCTACCCTCATCAGCCATAGCAACCACGATAGGCATTCACTCACACGGCAGCTCTTTTCTCCTTGGTCTGCGGGGCAGAGACGGGCGGCTTGTGGTCCTCAGATGCGAGCTGCGGCACGGACGAGGAGCAACACTTGTGCTTCTTCGACAATAGCCCGGTCGTAAGTGGTGGGGTATTTTGAGATGGACCGGGACAGCTCGGTGCCGTTGACACGGCCGGCTGAGGGGAAGGAGACGTGAGTGGAGCGGGCTTGGGCGCAACGGGAGTCGGGGTCGTTGTCGAGGTCGCCATCGTTGCATCTGTCTGTGTCGACCCGGCATGGGTATGGGCATGGGTGGCTTTGCGTCGCTTCGGGGCATTGGCACGCTCTAGAGCACGGTTTGAAATCAAGTCTTCCTGGGCACGACTGGGTCGTTTCTTGGATGAGCGTTTGGCCTGAGACGTCACGGCTGGTCGAACAGCTGTCACATTGGCAGAATCGGTCTCTGGATTGGCTTTGAGTGTTCTCCGAGTCGAACGCCTAGTGGGCACAGGACCAGCAAGAGGAGGCTGACTGGAGCCAGACGTATCAGGCATTTTGACAGAGCCGGGTTGACAGAAGCAGAAAAGGCAAAAAGTGAGGCAAAAAGTGAAGCAAAAAGTGACTAAGGGAATGTACTTTGAGGAACATCTAATCAAGGTGACCGGACCAGTTCGCTTAAGTTGGGGTCAAAATTAATGGGCAAGGCCAGATTCGAACTGACGCGCATAAATGCAGTGGATATCTCTCTACGAGAGAAGAAAATGAAATCTTGAGGCCACCCCGGTAACCACTTCGGTACTTGCCCGCGAGGATTGTGTCTCATTGACAAAGTAGATCAACAAGTTGAAGTTATGCTGTGTCCACGTCGCCAGGGACCTGATGTCTTCCTCGAGTTGATGCTTAACATACATAGTGAGCCCACGATATGATCAACGACGGTACCCTTGAGAACATATCTAACGGTTTGGGCATAGCTGCCATGGCTCTCATCGTAGTATATCATTTCGTCGCTGTCAACGCCCGACGAATGCAACAGGAATGAAAGATCTTAGCCCGTCGTGAGTGTTCTTCTGCTGAGAGGAATTCACCGTTGAACACTTTAGATTTCACGAGATAGACTACCAGCCTTCCGCAGGCCGCAGAGCTAAGCTCTATCCTCGATCTTCCTATATATCATTTGTTATATCCTCATATCGCTCAGCATGAATTTCTCCACTACCGTTTCAGCGGTGTTTGGAGATCCAACCGCAATCTCCGATTCCCCATTCGACACCGGACTCTTCAACACCACCTACCCCGAGATCGTGAACGGAACCACCGGTCAACCTGTATTCCTTGATGATGGTGAAGTGGAAGGTAATTACATCTTCAATACATTCCTTGGGCTCCTGATTGTCCTTGTCGCCTCCATGTTAAATGCCTTCGGGCTTAATCTTACCAAATTGGATCATATCCGTCAGCAAGCCGTACCCAAGCGGGAGAGGAAGAAGGAGTACATGAGAGTGTTATGGCTAGTCGGGATGGGTACATATATGTGAGTTTTCTTGCGTTTCAGTGAATAATCTGCCTGACTGACGACACAGTGCTTCACAAGTCTGTAAGTGGTGTTCTATGGCGGCGAGGGGATACTCACAGATCAGTCGGATCACCATTGGCTCTTCGATTCTTGCGACCTGATTGGGTCGCACCACTTGGATCATCTTCCCTTATATTCAATTTCATCTTTGCGTACTGGATGGTCGGCACTCGTGAGTTTTGCTGCTTTTCCATGTGGTGGGATACTGACTCTATAGCTGTCACACCTACAGATATCCGGGGAACAGCAGTAATCGTCTTTGGAGTCATCCTCATTCTCATATTCTCTAGCATCAACCACGGTTTGCAACAATCTCTGAGCATCTCTCGGTGAGTGGAGCATTATATTACAGTCCCCCATGTTGACGATCACACAGTCTCAATTCCTTGTGGGCACGCCCGGCCTGGATAGCCTATTTTATCCTCGTTTCACTTTTCACCATATCTACCTATCTAGTTTCATCACTTTTCGCTGCTGTTCTAGCCTCAAGAGCCTCGTATTCACCCTTACCCTCGCCCACGCTGGAGCTACCCACCTCGAGGCCTACCTCTCCACCTCGCCTGCTGGCCATATTCGGTGGTATCCTGAGCATTCGGAGGAAATTTGAGCACTCTGCTGTCTTGCGCCTGGAGAAGTTCTTCTCTCGAACAGGTGACGCTCGTATCGTTTGGCTTCAGGGGATTGGTTGGGCAGTCGCGGGTGGTAGTCTGGCCGGGCTGTGCCTCGTTTTTACCAAAGCAGTGGTCAAGATATATTGGCTCCCTGGTCATCCTGTGAGTTATCGTTCTATACCGGCCACCAACACACTGACTGTGCGCAGCTGGTCCACGTCTCATCGATGGCCTCACTATCTCTGGTAGTAGTGACCGCAGTGGCTCAGATTATTTGTCTCAACAGAGCTCTGCAGTGTGCCGATACTGTTGTCGTCGTGCCTCTGTTCTACGCGGGATATACGGTTCTGGGGTAGGTCCAAAATGGCAACGGCTTAAGAGCGTACACCTAAGGCTGATTTCAGGTTTGTCAACTCTCTCATCTTCTATAATGAGAGTGGACAATACGCCCGTTGGGTCCTCATTGCTGTTTTCATCTCCATCGCCATTCTCATATCAGGAGTTGTGAGTTATGCGATAATTTTTTGAAGGAACCTTCGCTGATTATTCAGGTCCTTCTCTCGCTCAAGTCATCCGTCAAAACCGCCACCGATCCGTATACCGTGACAACCGAACCGACCTCGTCCATGCGACTCAACCCACGAACTCGCGGATCCCGAAACGTTAGTGGTGATACCAACCCATTCAAAGGCGGGGATGACGAGACGGCAGATGAAGATGCTGATCGTCCCAAAGAGGACGTGCTGTGGGAAGTCGGTAGTCTCAGTGACACTTCAGACAACGAGGAAGACAAGCGAAAAGGTATAGGCGGAGGCAGCAGTGGCGGAGAGAGAAGGGGTTTACTATATGACGACGAAGGGGAAGAGGTGGATGAATCTGTGCAAAAGACCTCAGCTAAGGGCGATGGCAACGGGCAAGATGACGAAGTATACGGCGAGTACGAAGGTGTTCAGTCGGAGGAGCAGAAAAGGGATCAAGCCATGTCATGATCACTGCATATGCATGCTCCTATTATATCACTGTGTGACAGTTTGCAATCCCTCGACATCACTCTCATCCCCTACCAAGCCTTGGATGGCCGTCTCTCCACCCAAGCGAGAGACCACATCATCAACTGCAGCTTTGTCCATAATCAACCACTTGAATTTGATTATATGATAGACCTGCACGTCGTCGATAGACATTACCTCTACGCCGGGCAGATTACGGACCGCCCTTTCGAAGGTAGCCACTTGCTTTGTCTGTCCGTGGTGAACGAAAAGGATGCTGAGTTCCTTGCGCGGTCCGAATCGTTCAGTCACCCGTGCCTCCTCCATCTCCTCAGCGCCATCTTCCGACTTCGAGACGTCGCCCGTAGATGTTGGCGGAGAAGGTTCGACCGGGACCCACTCGACCGAATCAGAGAGCGCCAGCTCCGCTTCTCTCGTTCCAAGCCACCCTCCTTCATTCAAATCACCCACAACTCGCAGCAGCCCAGTTTTCAACTTGGATGACAGTGCCACACGCATTCCAAGGACCCGAATCTTACGATTCAGTAACTGAGCATGATCACGCGGCTGAAGGGCGAAGATAGGAGCACCTCCTCGTCCTATCAAGGTCAACGACAAAACCTATACGCCACACTGAACTACTTACGAGTTCCACTGGACGCATCACCCACTCTAGCTCTGCCGGATCCCTTCTGCGGTCGAAGTTTTCGACCTGAATAGGCGACAGTGGACCGGGTCTTTGTGGATTGATTGCCCTGAACGATTGTCAGCGCTGCCTGAAGGGGGCAAGTCAAGAACACTGACTTTTCTGAGTGTGGACAGAAACCACACGACACACCGGTGAAGAATGTCTCGACGAAGAGGAACCCCAAACACAGAGCGTGGAAGGCTGATCGTCTCACCCTTATCCAAGTCAGTGATTCAAGAGGAGGTTGACGCTATACTGAACTCACAGAAGTCGCAGATTGAGTTGGATGCAGAGAGGATAAATCGGATAATGGGACAATGAATGGGGTATGTGGGTCGGGAGGCGATTGGTGAATTACCACTGCTTTATCAGTCCTGTGACAGTTGGATAAACCTCCCGCTTACATCCCGGTCGCTGAGGCTGTTTGCTGACTCCCTTCCCCTTGCCGACATACGCCTGAAAAGTCAAATTCGGGGGCAGTGGATCCGACGAGGTACCGAGCTCAGCCTCATCACTAGAAGGCAAGATCATCTCGGTGGATGGGGGTAGAGACTTGGATGGAGTAAACGAGTCGACTGCTGTTGCAAATCGGCGTGATTTAGTTAAGCGACTGGGCCCAGGAGCTGAGGCGAAGAGAAAGGGTCGTAGAGGTCGGGATGACAGCAAAGCGGTCCGGGTTGATGTCTGTCCCGTCAATTCTGTCAGTTGCGTAGAGATCTCCACCCACCTGCAATGTTGCTGCCCAAGCGGCGAGAGCCCGACTCATGGTGTATGGTTGAAATTGAAAAGATGCGACAAACTGAGGGAGGTTCCGAGGGTAAAGACATAGTGACCGATCACTTCGGGTATAAGCGGTTTTTGTCTTCGGATTTAATTCTACCGAGAGCCACACGCATGCGCCAATCGGGATGAGATATCGCCGACAAGCCTTCAGTATCTGTCTCCAGTTGCCCACTAACATCTTGTCCAAACGAATCATGGCGACCGTTCAGACATTTGGAAAGAAGAAGACGGCAACCGCTGTGGCTCACGTCACTCCCGGTCGTGGGCTGGTCAGATTGAACGGATCACCCATATCTTTGGTCGAGCCGTGAGTCGTCATACCTCTCTTCCTCCCTCAATTCAAGCTAGTCCACCATAATTCAAGCCGGTCCACATCCCTCCTGCTTATCTGTCTGACAGCATCACACGGACCAATGTGCTGATCCATCGCAGCGCTCTCCTCCGATACAAAGTATACGAACCCATACTTGTCGTCGGTGTTGAAAAGTTCGCCAATATCGACATCCGTCTCCGTGTGAAAGGTGGTGGTCATGTTTCTCAAATCTACGCCATTCGTCAGGCCATAGCCAAAGGCGTCGTTGCGTGAGTTCCTGCCTTCATCTATCTATCAGCCGCTATGTCCAGAATCTGATTCTTCACACGTCCGAGCCTCTGTCCCTGAGAACATCTCTTCGCCAATCATCGGAATCTTCAGGGACGACCTCGTCCACACATATAATATAGTCTCGGTTCGCAAAGAGCTCCTCTCAACTCTGCGTCGTAAATCTCTGTATCGTAGCTCCGCGAATCTCCTTATGTCAAACGATGTGACTACGGCATGACTTGTTGCTGACCAAATCAGATTCTATGCCAAGAACGAAGATGCGGCCTCTGCCCTCGAGCTTAAGAAGACCTTGATCGCGTATGACCGAAGCTTGCTCGTTGCCGACCCGAGGCGGATGGAGCCCAAGAAGTTTGGCGGTCGTGGAGCTCGTGCAAGGAGACAAAAGGTAAGCTGGAGAGTCATGCCTCACTGCGCTCTCGCTGACGAGTGCAGTCCTACCGATAAAGGGAATGGCCTGGCTGTATCGCTGGTATCAGAGGGAGATGTGGCTCTATACGGCGTTCGTGGCTGGATGTATATCATGATGCTGAATCTGGTCTCTGTTTGCATGCTGCGTGTTTCATGATGCTTGTACTGTAAGCTTGCCAGTCTGGCCAGTTGGCAATGGACAATGGGCGGTTGAGATGACCGTGCCTGAAGGGGGAAGAAAAGGAGAAAACACCTGAAACACAGACACGCGACGGTTCACCACACTGTGCTGATGCTTCTATGACGAGCCACTAGCCACTACTACTAGTACTAGTAACTTCTTAGCCAATGATCTCCCTCTCTCTTCCCATCATCATTCAAACTTGCACGTTCACTTGTACGTCGCTCTCTTACTACGCACTTGATTCATAATCCACGGCCCTTCGACATTTTGGGCCTCCGTCGGGTGTCCACCACCGCGTTGACTTGAACTTCAAATTTGATCGCAACAGTCTCCCCGACCGAGGACAATGCCACCCCGCAAAGGGCAACAGGCGTCTCCCGTGCGGCCATTATCTGGTCGTACAGTGGCTCCATCACCAGCTAGAAGTACTAAAAGCGTTACCAGTAAGAGGGGTGTACATGAGGAGGATTGGGAAAACGAAAGTCTGCTAAGCACGTCAGTCTTCCACTTAATTCCAGCTGAATGTTGACCGAGATGCTGATGTCATTCCAGATCCTTCAAAGTACCCAACTCACGGTCTTCAAAGGTAGCGGCAGCCAGTAGCTTTCTGACTCTGAAGGACACCAGCGTCAAGTAAGTTCATCCTGCTTCCAATCAAGGTTTCCAAAGTACTGAACTACATAGTGTAGCTGCGGCTTTTCATGCCGCACAAACAGGTCAATCAATACCCACACCGACCTCAGAGCGAGGACCGACCTCTCGTGCCAAACCTCCTTCAAAGCCCGCCCCGCAACGAGCCCAAAGAGCCAAATCACCTGCGGAACAGATCGCGTCGGCCGCCCGAGCTCTTTCTCCCGTCAGATTCTTTCTACGCCCAACCGACAACGGCGACAGTGAGCTTTCTGGCGAATATAACAGTTTTTCTTCCCTCGCAACTGGAAACCATTCTGGCGAAACTAGCTATGACTATCGTCAGGAAGAGGAATATGTCAAGGCGGCTCAGGCAGCGAAAACAAGTCCATCCAAAGGACCCAGACATTCAGATTCCAAAAGGCGTGGGAGACTGGCGGAGGACATGCCCTATCGGCCTGATGATGATGGATCCGAATACGAATCGGAGTACTCCGGAGGTGAAGGAGAGGGACTGGTGAAAGCAGGTGCCTTGGACGGACGCGCAGAGACACGAGGGAAAAGGAAGGAGAAAGGTGAAGGGTATTTGGGAATGGGTCTCGGGTTCCAACCTCGTGTACGAAGGAAAAGCAGAAAGAGCGGTGGTGGAGTATACAGCGAAGAGGATGAGGATGAAGAGGAGGGAGTAGATGATCCCGATGACCGATCTGATCACCGTCATACTCCAATGATTGAGGTTCCTCCGACCAACAATCATCAACGATCACCAACCCCCGCCCAGCTATTACGAGCCTTGTCTCCTCGCATCGACCGGCTCTCACCCGGCCCATCTTTCCACCCACGTCGAAGACAACCGTCATCCATACGCACCATCATCACAAATGTACTACATGGCGTCGCTCTCATGCTGCGCTTCCTCGTCGAAGCAGGATCATCATTCTTGAAAAATTCAACCGTGAAACCCTATAGATTCGTCGCAGGATCAAGTAGAAGTATTTTAAGTCAAGTGTGGAGGGATTGGTGGAAATGGGTAGGAGCCATCTTCGCTCTCAGCATAGCTTTGAGAATCTTAAACCATCCTTGGCATTCGAAGGCGAATTTCACGGCTCCTGATACTCCTCCGACTTCCATTGATGAGCTCATACATCGACTGACTTCTCTCGAGCATGCTCTATCAACTCTGTCCACTACTTCTCACGATATGATCGGTAGACATGAGGAAGGTCAGCGCCATGTTAGCAAGTTGGACGAGAGGGTCATTGAGTTGAAAAGCTGGACTGCACGCGAAGTACAGCAAGTTGCAGGAGTTGGACAGGGAAATCAGAAAGAGGTTCAGGAACTTCAACAGGGATATAACCAGCTCAAAGCTGAGGTCGCTGGATTGGGCAAGCGAATGATTGCAAGCGAGGAAGGGCTCTCGAAAGCGCAAAACTCTTTGAAATCACTCGACTCCCTTGATCGTGAAGTACACTTGTTGAGAGCTCGAGTCGATAACGTGGAGATCGGCCTCAAAGAGGCACTAGATGATGGCCGTCTGCTTAACGTCATAGAACGCATTCTGCCAAAGACCATGCCCGTCAAGATGAACTCGAGAGGGAGTGTAGACATCGATCCCATCTTCTGGACCGAAATGAAAAAGGTGTTGATTGGAAAAAGCGATGTGGAGGGTGTCGTGAAGAACGTCTTGAAAGAATCTCCTCGTGCAGCGAGTGATCAAGCAGAGCTCGACAGCTGGGCAGAACGACTTTTCGAAAAGAAAGCTGCCTCTGGTGTCATTTTGTCTCGATCGGATTTCTTAAAGGTTCTCGATAGCGAAATGGCGGATCTCAGACATCAAATCGAAGCCTTACCCCGAAATGCAAAGACGGATACTAGGGCAAAGTCAACTGTGACCGTGAAGTCTGCCAAAGGCGACGATCTTACAAGCATTCTTCAACAACTTATCGATGCTGCTCTTCTAAAGTACTCCAAAGACGTCATTGCGAAACCCGACTATGCTCTTTTCACTGCTGGTGGCCGAATCGTCCCATCTATCACGTCCGACACTCTCGTCCTGCATTCACCATCAACCTTCGGGAGGATCCTCTTCGGACGCAAAGATGTCGAAGGAAGATCGCCGGCCACAGCAATCCATCCTGATAATGCCGTTGGAGAATGTTGGCCTTTCAAGGGCAGTCAGGGTCAGTTGGGAGTATTGTTGACACGTCGTGTGATCATCACGGATATCACAGTGGAACATGCGGCTAGTGAACTAGCGCTTGATATTTCAACAGCTCCTAAGCTGGTGCAAGTGGTGAGTCAATCTTGTAAGATAAAAGTTTATTATTGCTCATGTCAAATAGTGGGCTGTCGTCGAAGGGGAGCAAAATAAAGCGAAATTGATGGCGTATCACGAATCAAGAGGAACTGAATCCCCATCCGTTGATAATTTGCTTCTCACCGAATTCACATACGATCCCAATTCCCCATCTCCGATACAGACGGTTCCTGTATCACCAGACATCGTAGAGCTCGGGATCGACACTGGTATCGTCATCTTCAAGATTGAGAGTAATTGGGGTGCGGACTTTACTTGTTTGTATAGAGTGAGTTTGGGTGCCAATTTTGAAAGACTCTGCTAACAGAGCAGGTACGTGTGCATGGGGAAGCATCATGATGTGGCAGGTTAAGATATCTCAAATTAGCAAATTAGCATCTGGAAAGAAATGGCGATATGTGTATAATGGTTGCCAAATGCATTTAAAAAAAAAAAAAAATACTCTTTACCCCTCATCCTCCTTCTTTGGATCCTACACTTTTAGCTTTAGGTTGTTGAGTATTATGCTTGGCTTTCCACTCCTCAAAAGCGCTCACATATGTCTCATCCTCCCAACATCGCTTGACGTAATTTTCGAAGATACTCGCGCCTTTGGACTTCTCCTCATCGTAGATTTTACCAGTGCGTGGTATTTCTTTCCGAGTTGGTTGTTTCCCGACTCTTCCACCAGTGGTCTCACTCTCACCAGTAGCCGCCCCTGTGGATGAAGATGTTCCGTACTTTTTGCCACCTCTTCGTAAGGCATATCGAAGAGAACGTGTTCTTCCCATTTGTAAAAACTTGCGACAGATGTCCATGCCGATGAAGTCGTTGGCATTCCTGACTGTTGTCAGCAACAAACGAGACAACCAATCCTGTGAGGGTATGGTAAGTGAATAGGTAAGATGACGCACCTGTACATCTCAAACTTTTCCCATATGGCAGCGGCGCTAGTGGCCGCTACATCGGCATTGACGAATCGCCATAAAGGTTTGATTTTGGTGGAATATGGAGGAGTTGTGAAAACACCTTGCTCCGTCTTGAGTGCACGATAACTTTTCATGTTTTGGTTGCTGGAAGTCATGATGATTAGTTGTTGTCGTTGTCTCCCGTTGTCAGACAAGAGTTGATGATCGACGTGAGATTACGACGGAAATGACCATCGGATGCACGATACGATGACATGGGTATGATGACGACTGATCGACTTGTTGACGTATACTTGTATCAAGTAAAAATATAAAATATCATAACTCAAGACTAAAATAAAGAAGATACTGTATGCAAGAAGATTATCCATTTAGACTTAGAACATGGGTTCAACCCAGTAGGTCCTAATTATATTTCATCGCTCAGGCCATGATACCTAAGGCTGCGGCAACACCTCCAAAGATGACCATAGCACCGTTGGCTTGAGTGATATATCCAGCATTGGCAGCTTTCGAAGCGCTTGCGCTGGAACCAGAAGCGGAAGCGGAGGCGGTGCCGGATGCTGAAGCATTGCTAGTTCCTGAAGCCGAACCTGAAGCCGATGCACTGCATTATCAGTTTCGAACATATACTCCGGGACATGACTAGAATATTTGAGATACAGTACGATGTAAGGGGGGAAAGAGTATCTATGGATTGAGATAAGCAAAGAATTGATACTAACGATGCGCTTCCACCACCATTACTGTTCATACAACTGGTACTGGCACCTGATTGAACGACCACAGGGCTCGAGTATGCGATGGTACCGGCACCATCAGTGATTTTGAGTGTACTAAGCTCTATCAGCAAATACGTTCTAATGAGCAATATGACCTAAAAGTAAAGAAACGTACATGTTGGTGTTAGCAGCGAGATCAACAGTCCACGTTACAGGAGATGATTGAGCTTGTGGTAAATTCTCAAGCTAGAATTGAAATCAGCACACGACTCGAGATGGTTTGACTTTTTTTTTTTTCAAGACTCACCGCAGCGGCTGATGGATTCCCACCGGGAAGAATAGCGATATAGTATGGAGCGGAAGCGCCACCTGAAAAGGTGATTGACACGGGTTGACATTCTACCAAAGATGCCTGGTCATATCAGTTTGATAACGTTCGACTGAGAAAGGAAAAGCGTTTAGAGTACTCACGGGAGAATCAATCTGTAACCCTGTGACAAAGGAAGCCAACGCCAACGTCGTGGCTAGGACAAGCTTGTTGTTTGTGAACATTTTTATTATCGAGCTGAGAAGAGGTGTGTACAGCCTGTAACGATAGAAATAAGTGATAAAGTAGCGATACAAAGTTGAACGTCAGAATTCAAGTTTAGTAAGTTAGTGGATACGCAGTCCTTGGAATACTTTTAGTTGTCTCAGGAGGACGGGTTGAACGTGACTGCGGAGTTCTGCCTGTCTCAAGACAACTCACAGGTAGATAAACTTGACAGGCAGGTTGACAGAGGCCTTTCCAAGGATCCAAGGGATAAAGGCCAAGGGATGTGTTATGTGTTAGCTCCCCTCGCGCGTCCGACGCGTCACGGCCAGTTTGGACGCGCCATGCCGCCACGCCGCCACATATTACCGCACGATGCATGCGATGCACAGCCACAGCCTCAAATACCAAAACCGCCAGGCCTGTTTGTCTGCTCAGTATTATTCTTTTCTCCTCATGAATCGCTCTCCTCTCAACGCACTCGCGCACCCGTTATCGTTCACCAAATCATCAGGGGATCTTTTCAACATCTCTCAATCACAATGTGACAATTCTCAAAAGATACTCGGAATCATCTTCTTTTTGTTTCTGCCTCGTGGTTTTGAGATTCGGGGTAATTCATCACTCACCTACCAGCTCGGACCTCGAATCATCCCTCTCATCCCGGATATGATCGATTAAGCTTGGCCATTTTACTATTCTAGAATACTCATATCGCTGATAAGTCACATCTTGACTCTCACAGGCTATCCATCCCACTCCCAGTCTGATACCACCCTTTACTGATTCAATCAAGTAACTCGCCAGATACCACTACTAGTCTAGGTCCCTTGGTCCTCCGGTACCAATATGGGTCTCGAACTCCCTTTCCCTCGTCCGCACACGCCCTCCAATGTCAGCAACATCACACTTCCCTTCTCTACACTTTCTTCAAATTCCAGACTTGCCTCACATTCCAGACTTGCTTCTCGCAAGCGTTTAGACTCTGGCTCTCTCATACCCACCGTCAAGCGCAAAGAGCCGAGACCGGTCACTCCTCTTGATTTCTCCGCTACTTTTGCAATCCGTCAAACCATGTCATCGTCACGTCCATCACCTACTTCTTCTCAATTACCTACGAGAAAATCTGTCGACTTGTCACTTGACGTTGTAGATCCTGCGATACGCGGAATTCCTCAAGGATGGGACGATGATCCTTCCATTCCTCTACCTACGAATATTTCCACATACATGTCACCGATACCGGTCACTCATCCACATCCTATACGAGATATGAATGGAATGTCATTTCGTCCTTCACCATTTCGTGACACTCGACAAAAGATTGCTTCTTTCGGTAACAGCGTGAGAGATAGAGCCAATGTAAAGGATACAAGGGCAGGCGGAATGCAAAGAAAAGCTTCGATACGAACCGGACCGACCGCAAGATCCATATCCATGTCCACTGCCCCGACTTTATCAGTTGATGTGACAAGTGAAGTCTTCTCAGAAGGTTCTTCTATCTCACAAATCTCTGTCAACTCTTCTCGAGCTATCAGAGAACTTGATGTGGTCCCTCCGGCATCTCTCAATACAGACTCATTGCTAGATTCCTCACATCTCTTTACTCCCACATCTTCTCAATTCGATCGATTGGATTCACCTTCTGTCACAAGCACAAAGTCATCTGGCTCTCGAAACCGCGTACTTGGAATGAATAAAGACCTCGCTCGTGCCGGTCTCACACAAAGCAGAGTCTTTCTTCCTCCCAACACTGCGGAAATCTTACCTTTTGCTTTAAACCGACCTTTCGCATCGTGGGAGCTTCCTTCGGTATCTCAGACCCCTTCGCAAGTCTCAACAGGGTCACGAACAACTTCGAAGCAAGTGATATCCAAGGATCGATCGGCACGGTGGGTGGATTTACCACGTCCTAGAGGTGCTCTCGGGTCCAAACGTGAATGGCTAGACGTCAACGGCTTACCGATTGGTGGACCTTACAAAGTAGGTTGGGAAACTGAGGTGCTCGATCTGTGAGAATGTCTCAACATATGCGTGGAAGAAAAGCTCAATTACGCAGTGAAAGCAGACTACACGAGACTATGTACGATGAAGCAGGAGGTAGACACACTTTTGCAGAATTTGCCGAAGGTAAAGAACCTGGAGCCGTCCTCGATGTGAGTCTTGGATATCTATCCTTTGTTCTTCGTCCATCCGAGCTGATCTTCTCAGATTGGAACGGGTATTGGGCTTTGGCCTATCTCACAGGCTCTCATATGGTCAAATACTACCTTTGTCGGTCTCGATATGGTACCGTGTCAAATCGATCTATCATTATTGGCGCAAGCGGAGCGATCGGCTCGAAGCACGACCTCAGGGATAGTTGAGGGAGAGGGAATGTGGTCAAGCATTGAGAAACGTATAACCTGGGACAGAGCGAACTTGTGAGTTATCAAGAGAGGCAGTAAAGTGCATGCTGACATATCCAGCCTTCAGTGTTTGCCATACGACACAGGGGTATTTGACATGGTCCATATCCGTTTTATCGGATTAGGAGTGCCGGAAGACAAATGGGCCGACTTATTAGAGGAAGCCACAAGAGTGTTGAAGCCAGGTGGCAAGCTCGAAATTGTTGAAATGTCCTACACTCTTTCTTCCGCCGTCCCTTCCTCTCTTAGAAATTCGTTTTCATCTCTACTTCTAGCGGAGATGATTCAGCCAGTGACCATCCTTCCTTTGCAATTCATCCTCACCGCAACACCTGCGCTTGATTCGACGACTACAAAACCCGTCTTTGAAAAGTCTTGGCAACAGACTTCCACAGCTTTGGCAGATGCTGTCATGATCTGGGTGAGGAGTGCTCTCGAGTACAAGGGAACGGGATTAGTAAAGGGTTCGAAAGGGGAAATATCCTTCGCGAGAAAGGTCAAGATTGAACTCTCCATTCTCGAAGGAAAGCGATGGCATTTCGGTAAATCTGACATGGTGATTTCTGAACCGTTACGATCAGACGGAGAAGCCACTGTCTGGGCATGGGTGATCACTCGACGGTGACGAATGAAAATTATGCATAGAACTGTATCCCTAGCGTCATATCCTTTTGGATTTTGGATCACTCGTCGGGTTTCAACACCTCTGAAGGAGCCAACTACGCCAATCGGCGAGGACTCTTTGTCGCTTTTCATCGTCTGCCGCATCTATACCTTCCTGGTTATACGTTAGTGAGGATTACGAGGGGATTGTGAGAGGGCCAAACCTTTATCATGACTGTTGCTTGTCAGCTATGATTTCAAGTAAGGTGCAATACAAACGACATACCATGTTCATAACCTTCATATAATTGACATTCCTTATCCGCGTTGGGCAACCTGTCAAACAACTTCAGCGTACCTAAATGGGACGTCACTCGATCCGAAGTACCATGAACCAAACGAATTGCTCCAGGTCAGCTTCATTCACAGGTGGGTTTCAATACTCACGAACGTCAATCTCGCCCGCACGCTTTTCAAGCTCGATCATACCTTCGAGCAGAGCCAATCCCGTCCCGACTCGTAGCCATCGATGATAGCACAGGACTGAATTTCGTCAGTGGTCTGACATCGCTCATCTTATCACTACACACCGTCGGCGTAGAAATCTTCTTCGACCCTTGGATCGTCGGAAACGTTACCTGACGTCAGCGAAGACTTTGAAGAGAAGATGATATGGAAGATCTCACCTCTCACTGCTTTTGCTAATGGAAGTGTAGGCGCAAAGAACTTGAGAACTCTGGCGAAGCCTTCCACAAGGATGGAAGGTCTAGAGTTTTTCGACACTGCAATCATGATTCAGCCTTATTACTATTTGAGGAAAAGTGACTGACCTTCCACCATGGGACATAAGACGAAGGCACCAGCGATCTGTATGCGGTGTTTCTCGTCTCCCTTGTGTTTCTCCAGCTTGCGATATCCTTTGCCATCGGGAGGAGGAACGTCATGTTCGTTTGCCGCTGCTGCGACGGCGGTAGCAGAAGGTGTAGGCGGGTATTTGAGTAGGTAATACAAGCTATTCATAAGAAGAAGGGACAAAGGGGAATGGAGGAAAGCTCACACTGCCCAACCACCCATAGATCTGTTTTGATGAGCATGACAGTATAGCTGACCTGACCTGACGCAACTCACGCTCCACTGAGGAAAACTTTGCTTTGCTTTCTCCCTCCGTCCAAATCACGCATTACAGTGTCCGTGAGAACGACGTGAAGGGCCGCACTCAGCAAAAGCAGGGAAGGAAGGAATGAGTGAACGCTGTTGTGACATTTAACATTCCATCTAACAAACTGAATTGTCATTAACCCACCCAGTCGAGCGACCATACTATAAAGATAAGTAGTCTTCTTTTTTATAAAAGTTTCAGCTTACAGAGGGTAAATCAGGTACAATTACCTGTGATAATCAGCATTATGATCTTCAGCAACTCGATAAGGATAATGATATTTTGAAAGGACTCACTCTGAAGCCAGCCTTTAGAAAATGAGGAATGTGAGGAGCATATCTCAGACCGTAGTCAGATAAACCTGAATATCAATAGCTGCACGAATCATGAGATTTCTCACCATGTACCAAGACGAGATCTTTCCCCTTGCCCTTGCCTCCTCCTTCCCACCCGCCGGATGGAGCATTCACCATTTCCCAAATGCTATAGCAGATCCATCTTCCTCCTCGTTGTAATCCAGATTCAATTTCTTGAGGTTGCAAAGTTACGTCTTCGGCATACAGGATCTCTGTTGTATCGTAGGCCTCTTGTAAAGATTCAAACGAGCTCTCAGGGGGTAAGAAAACACGACGCCAAGTGTGTGCAACATTGGGATCGTCTACGAGCTTTTTATGCGGAGGATGAATAGGTAAATTGTAACGGCCAAATGCTGGGATTAGAGGGTAAATCATTACGGGAAAAAAAAGGTTATCACTCACTGGGATCAGAGACAGTATACAATCCAAGACGAACTAGAGCAGGACGAATAATCTCCCTAAACACGATCAGCGATAGGAAGGGAAATAGAGATCGACAGCGTACCATAAAGCATTGTCCGAAGCCATCGTGATTGATCGCGAGACAGAATGTGATGACTATCAACTAGTGCTATTGTACAGTGGACTCTATGAGTAGAGTGATGATGGAGTGAAGATCATTGATGAAGAGTGAAAACTTTGGTATTACCTTAAGGTTATGGGGTGGATTACTTACCTCGAGTCCAAGTCTGGTCCCTGGCAATTGGGCAAGCTTGGGTGCATGGGTGCAATTCCTTACAAGCGATCACATGACTCCATCTCTCTCCTAACTACACCACAAGTACCACCCTAACATACTCTCCTGGATAGCTACTCCAAATCTCGGTCTTTTATAGAGGACCTCCAAATTGGAAACGACAGTACGAGTACTCTAAGTACTACATAATTATAGGCCGACGACGACGGGGCGTAAAGGGGGTTTGACTTGTGAACCCCTCCCCACGCGACCACCCATTTCAACATCATCTCCCACTTTAACACCACCTACGAGTATATCTCTCTACTCCCTCTTACTCTTCATAAGCTACCCGCTGAGTTATCGAGTCGTCATCTACTACCTCGCATTACCTCATAACCCCATTCATACGCATCATCAATGTGGGTCTCCCTTTGTGACGGTCCTCCCCCTTCTCAGCTCATCATGACCACTGCAGCTCAGCTCATTCCATCTGCAACTCCGTTTGCTGACCTCTTAATTTCGATTTCCGTCTTCCTCTCCCCGTGTTGAAACGTTTCTCCGAGATCTCTGATCTCTGTATAACCGGCCGGATCATCACTCTCAGTCAGCCATTTTGCTGTCGGCTCCTGAATTAGACCATATTCGTAGATCGTAAAGGACAAAGGACAGTAGCTGTTCAAGACGTCACTACGGAGTGGTCAGCAGACCAACTGTTTTCACCCCTCGTCAGACCTTTCAAGTATTCATTCTCCTCACATTCGTTTCATCTACATTTGATGAATAATGTTAATATCCTGTCTGATCCGCCCGGGCTAAGCTTTTATCGTCGCGATACAAACGTTTCGGTGGCCTATTTAGCTCGTCTGACCCAGCATTGTCCCATCGATTACAAGTAGCTGATACAGTAGAGCTGGCCCCCTTTAGAAAAACTCTTCAAGTCATCGGACGGATCCTCAATCCTCGGTCGTCATCGTTGTCTCTACTGCGTGAGTTCGAAACCTCAATCGCTTAGTGCGCCGAAGGCGTGTCTTCTTCTCATCTCCGCTGTCTCACTCGTCAAACGCCATGTCGCTCCTTTGCCAACGATACATTCCTCTCGCCCACCCCACGTCCAATGTGACCCCGCTCAGTCAAATCGTCATCGTCTATGACGCGATCATCCTTTCAGCTCGTCAGATCATTGGGGTCTGTCCGAAGCCCATATAAACTGGGCGTGCCAGAATGCCTTTTTCCTCTCAAACTTCTTCAGAATGACTAAATCCGCTCGTAGCCAACCTGATATCCCTATGGTCGCTGATGCTGACACTCTCTCTAGGTTTGCTAAGGGACTCCCTCCTCGTAGGCATCGACCAGCTTTGCCTGTTACTCCTCATCCGCTCGAGGAAGGCCTCCGTCGACCACGAACTCGCTCTCAACTCCAGCGCCATTGGACACTGGGCTTTGGATTGACGCCGAACGAACCCACTGAAGGAGATAAACCATCACCACCTCGACCGGACTTACCCCATCGATCTCAGACCATTGCCGACATCATGCCAGAAGCTCCCGTGACCCGGGCAAAAGTGAGTCTCCAGCGGTGAGCATGACTGACAACAGCTCCCGCAACCTCGCAATCTACTCTTCATCGAACCAGACGTGCCAGTATCTACCACTACCTCTGCTCAGACCACGCCTACGAAAGAATACGAGCATGACCCCATCAAGCATCTCGCTGCCGGGTTGAACGGTGGCCAAGCAGACGATACCGCTGGCAAAGCTCTGGCAGCCGCTGTAACCAATGCCCCTCGTGGTCAATTAGGTTTGAAAGAGACCAAGCTACCTGGGGTTCATTCCGAGCCTGCTGAGTATTACGGCGGCGCCGAGGTCTCCACTCGTGCCCGAACTTTCAGCAGCGTAAGTCTTCAATCTCGGAGGAAAAGCTGAATGCAGGCCGCTTTCGGGAAACAGCGACCTCCTGTCATGGACGGTGCCTCCAGAGTTCGACGTCTATCCCATGGTGAGTGTTTGAAGATGAGACTGGACGGAAGACTTATCGGTAGACGAAGTCACCAAAACGGCACCTAGGCGTTTCTTGATCGACGTCGAGGACACTATGAGACTTATTCTCGAGCAGGAAGACACCGATGGCAAGTAAGTCTGCATCGTGTCTGCCTGATGGCTGCTGACAAAAGCTTTCAAATATCAGTTACCGATTCTGGTCCCAAACTGCTGGCTTTGGGCACTGCCAGTTCCAACGCTCACAAGTCTCACGACATTCGAGTACGTCCCTTGCTTTTTTGGGATGATCATGTCTGATTGCAGGGCACGTATATGCTGTCTAATCTGCTGCAAGAACTTGCTCTCGCTCGAGATTTTGGCCGCAAGCGCATTGTACTGGATGAGGCACGGCTGTCGGAGAATCCAGTTGACCGATTGTCTCGAATGATCAAAAATTCATTTTGGAACGCCTTGACTCGTCGGATCGATGCTGAAGGACTTGAAATTGCCTGTGCAGATCCCAAAAACCGTCAACGGGATACTGGCGCTCGTATATATATCCCTCACGGAGAGCACGAGATGTTCGATCACTACCAGCAGATGTGAGTTTTGCGATTTGACCCCAGCTGATCGACAGCGCTGTCGAGAAGCCCAATTTGAGGCTGGGAGTGACCATGTTACCCAAGCAGTGTGACGACTCTCGCTTCGTACAAAGCCTCAACGAACATCCAGGAATTTTGGCCTTGGCGATGGCTCGGCACGTGGACCCTGTCACTCAAAAAGTCACTTTAGAAGCATTGCCATTTGTCGTTCCGGGAGCACGATTCAATGAGAAATATGGTTGGGATTCTGTGAGTCAGAGTTCATCAGATTATAGCTGACAGCAGTATTTCATGGCTCTCGGTTTACTCGTCGATGGCAGATTGGACCTTGCACGAAGTATTGTTGAGCACTGCATATTCGAGATCAAACATTATAACAAGGTCTTGAACGGTAATCGATCATACGTGAGTCTAGCTCGTCTCGAAGCCACTGACCATCAGTACCTGTGTCGTTCTCAACCGCCTTTCCTCACTGATCTTGCCCTGCAAATCTTCAACCAATGTGATCGTAGTCAGTTGGAAACGAACAAGGAGTGGCTCAAGCGGGCCATCCAGGCCGCCATTAAGGAATATCACCTCTATTGGATGTCCGAACCATCACTGGACATCAAGACCGGGCTCTCCCGATACAGACCAAATGGCCTGGGCATACCTCCCGAGACAGAAGCCTCCCACTTCACCCACGTGCTCCAACCATTTGCTGCCAAGCGAGGCATATCCGTCAACGAATTCATCGACGCCTATAATGATGGCACGCTCGAAGACCCTGAGCTGGATGAGTATTTCTTACATGATCGCGGCGTCCGAGAGTCTGGTCATGACACCAGCTACCGACTTGAACGTAAATGCGCCGACCTGGCCACTGTAGATCTCAACTCTCTTTTGTACAAAGTGAGTTCAGGAGCTGGAGCCGGCTAACATCAGTACGAGTCAGATATCGCGCAGGCTATCCACTATGTCTTCGATGACAGTCTAGAACTCGAAGAAGAGTTTGACTTATCGCCTTGGCCCATAACTCCGGACGCGTTCACGAAACCCAGAGAAAAATCGACGAGAATGCCAATGACGAGTGCGATATGGTACGAACGTGCCAACAAACGAAAGGCCCTCATGGACGACTTATGCTGGAACGATGGGCTCGGGATGTATTTCGATTACGACACGAAGACGGGCCGGCAGACCAAGTACGAATCAGCCACTACCTTATGGCCTCTGTGGGCCGGCTGTGCGTCGGAAGAGCAGGCGCTGAAGCTCGTGTGAGTGTCGGTTGCTTGGCGGACATGTCTACGCGAGACTGACCTGCAGTCGTTTCGCATTGCCCAAGCTGGAAGTCGCCGGCGGTCTGGTCTCCGGTACGGAAGAGTCTCGCGGTGTCATCTCACTCGATCGTCCTAATCGACAATGGGATTACCCCTATGGTACGTTACAGCAAGTGGGATGAGCTGATCTCAGCCTGGCCACCTCATCAGATCATGGCTTGGGTCGGACTGGAGCGCTATGGCTTTGTGGACGATGCCGCTCGCCTAGCATACCGATGGATATATATGTGAGTATATCTATCTTCGGGTCTGTCGTCACTGACCACAAGGATGACGCTTTCTTTTGTCGATTTCAATGGCATTGTGCCCGAGAAGTTCGATGCGGTGGAGCTCACCCATATGGTGGATGCCGAATAGTGAGTGGGCTCTGGAAGTTGTGCACTCTCGTATTGACCGGCAGCGGTAATCAAGGTGTCGACTTCCGTTATGTTCCACGGGAAGGTTTTGGATGGATGAACGGTGAGCACCCCGTCGGTCAATAAGTACTAGCTGACGCATCGCAGCGGCCTTTCAGGTGGGCCTGCAGTGTCTCACGACTGGTATGAGACGTGCCGTTGCCAGCTGCGTCGCTGTAAGTTCAATCCCTCCGTAGATCGCAGCCCTGCTGATGAGAAGCCTTGGGAATTCTTCCACCTGGCCCCTCCAGATTTCCCTTCAGCCCGACGACGACGTGCCGAGCGTGAGGCTCGTGAAGCTGACGCCGCTGCATCTGGCCAGGGTGGGATGCCGAAGCTGTCTTCTCACGCTGAGCTGCCAACGTTGGAGCAGACGATGGCGCAACTCAAGGTTCTGGCAACTCAGCCTTAGCGGTCACCGTCCTACTTTGAGGGGTTGCTTCCTCCTGCATGCTCATCATCACAATGGACTATTCAATACATTGGTACAACCATTTTCCACTTTCCGTGTACATTCCCGCACATTATCATGATCATTCTCAATTGAAGAGAATTATACTCGACGATGTATCCAAGTTTTCATGCCTTTAGCGATCCCACACCCGCCCGCTGCATTCCCAGTCAGCGCAGATACTGTGGTTAGTACATTCTCGAGTTGCTGCAGTTGATGAGACATAAAAGTGCCACACTGAGACGAATGCCGGAGCCACATTCGGCGTTAGCCGTTAGACGCGCTTGGGTCTTTCGTCGCGCGTGGCCAAGAGATCCCTGCACAACACACATCTCTCACACCACCAACACTCACTACATCTCTCTCTTCCTTCACTCACTCTCTCTTGTTCATCTACCGGTCTCTGCACCAACACTCATTCTCCTAGAAAGGAGTGAAACTGCCACAACTCACGTCTCCGGGAGTGAGTTTCTTCGCGGCTCAGACTTGTGTCAGGCTGATGCGTTTTGATCATTTCACTTTTCCCCTCTCGTCACACATTCCATCAACATTCCACCCTCTACTCCCCGTCAACTCGACTTCTTTCCCCTTCTGACTGTTTCTCTTTCCTATTCAGCGTATAGAATTGGACAATAGATTATCATAGCAGACTATCATGCGTGAAGTCATCTCAGTGAGCCTTCCTTGCTCCCCACCTCCTGATCAGTAAAGTCCGAGCGCTGATACCTTATCAGATCCACGTCGGTCAAGCTGGTTAGTCGGATCATGCGTTGTTTACATAACATCATGCTAAAAAGACAGGTGTTCAGATTGGAAACGCTTGCTGGGAGCTGTACACCATTGAACATGGTCTCAGCGTGAGTGAAACCCTTTGCGCATAGACCTTTTATGAATGGTCGAGCTGACGCTGATTTCCCTCCTTTCGAAACAACATCTTTGGCCACCCCATTCTACTTTCCACGTATAGCCTGATGGTCGATTGACGGAAGGGTCCACCAGCGATGACGGTTTTGCGACTTTCTTCTCTGAGACAGGCGCAGGTAAACACGTTCCTCGTTCCCTTTATGTGAGTTCCCGTTCGTTCTATCCGATGTAGGCACTCATAAACCAGGTCGACTTGGAACCCAATGTCATCGATGAAGTCAGGACCGGTACTTACCGTAGTCTTTTCCACCCCGAGACCATGATCACTGGCAAAGAAGATGCCGCCAATAATTGTAGGTTCCCTGGTTTCAGAGGTTTTCGATGTGGTTAACCGTCAGACGCGCGAGGCCATTACACTATCGGCAAAGAATTGGTGGACACGGTACTCGAACAGGTCCGACGTTTGGCCGACAACTGTTCTGGACTCCAAGGATTCTTCGTGTTCCACTCCTTCGGTGGTGGTACCGGTTCTGGATTCGGCGCGCTTCTCATGGAACGTCTATCAACTGACTACGGTAAAAAGTCCAAGCTCGAATTTTCGGTCTACCCAGCCCCCAAGCTGTCAACTTCGGTAGTGGAGCCTTACAACTCGGTACTTACAACCCACACCACTCTCGAGCACTCGGACTGTTCGTTCATGGTCGACAACGAGGCGTACGTTGTCTCCCCGTCTGTTGAGCAGAGTGCTGACTCTTTAGTATCTATGACATCTGCCGCCGAAACCTCAACATCTCGTCACCGTCGTTCACAAACCTCAATCGCCTGATCGCCCAAGTCGTATCCTCGATCACAGCCTCTCTTCGTTTCGACGGATCTCTGAATGTCGATTTGAACGAGTTCCAAACCAACTTGGTTCCGTGAGTCATTGGAGAGACAGCGCGGACATTGTTGACAGTCAAAGATTCCCAAGGATCCACTTCCCATTGGCAACTTACGCTCCAATCATCTCGGCTGAAAAAGGTGAGTAGGTGGAATTAGGCAGTCTGCTGACCCCAGCCTTCCATGAGTCAAACACTGTCTCAGAGATGACGCTTTCTTGCTTCGAGTCCAACAACCAGTTGGTCAAGTGTGATCCTCGACAGGGAAAATACATGTGCGTCCTGGTCTGCGAATTGACCACATTTGTCTGACTTGCAGGGCTTGTTGTCTGTTGTACAGAGGCGACATTGCTCCCAAAGACACAAACGCCGCCGTTGCCAACGTCAAAACCAAGCGTACAATTCAATTTGTTGATTGGTGTCCTACCGGATTCAAGGTCAGTTCCCCCATGCGCTAGATCGTCGCTCGACTGACGCTGGCAGCTGGGTATCTGCAATGAGCCACCCGCCCTCGTGCCGGGAGGTGACCTCGCCAAGGTGTCACGATCTCTTTGTATGCTCTCGAACACCACCGCGTGAGTCAAGGGTATGTGAATCGAGTAGCGAGCTGATCATGCAGGATCGCAACTGCCTGGGCACGACTCGATAACAAATTCGATCTCTTGTATTCGAAGCGGGCCTTTGTTCATTGGGTATGTTCCATCTTGCATGTCTGAATGTGGCAGCTAATGAGACAGTATGTGGGTGAAGGTATGGAAGAGGGAGAGTTTTCGGAAGCGAGAGAGGATCTGGCTGCTCTGGAAAAGGATTACGAGGAGGTTGGAATGGACTCTGTGGATCCCGACGAGGAGGATGGGGAATACTGAGCCAAGAAGGGGGAATGGGTGGCTTTTTATGCGTCTTCTTCACGTTTAGCTTTTGCCGTCTGAGATTCTTCATAATTTGAATTCCCGTGTCAATGATGAAGTTAGATACGCCGTTTTGACCGGTTCCAGGTAGCGCGGATCCTATGCTTGCTTTGGATGAGTTGTACAGGTTTGTTATGAGTATGAGCAGCTGCATGCTGCATCAAGTCGACCAAAGATGGGTGAGTTACAGTAGTACTGGTAATGGCGACTGAGAAGGTGAGAAGCAAGAGGCAGCTTAGGTAGGGAAGAGTAAGGTAGCAATAATGCCAGCTAGCGGAGTCAAGCTAGCTGAGACTAAGTCGGCATTGTAGCATGTAGCATGGTTGATAGTAAGGAAGGTGGGAGGGGAGGTGGCTCACGTGTCCTTCCCTCGCTCGCCCCCTCTCTCCCTCCTTCTCCTTCCTACCCCTTGTCTCCCTCCCACTCTTCCCTCCTTGTTCCATCCTTCTCTCTCCCTCGCACCACCCCTATCTTGCACCATCACACCACCACGTTCTCCCACCGCCCTTCTGAATTGTCCAGCAAGTCGACGCATTTCACCCGAACCATTGACAGTCGGTATCGAGATAAAGTCGCCCGCCCTTCTCTCCTACCTTTTGTCCTCATCTCGACATACCTCACCATTCACCACCTTGCTTCTCTCAAGTTCTCGGACGAGTGTTACAAGCCGCGCGGGCATTCCTACCATCGCTGTGTCATTCCAAGAATCAGCCTGTCAACGACGCTCCGTGACGATCGGACATTGACTGTCGTCATAGCAAGCTATCCATCTCTGCTCGATAAATACCAGCCATGAGCCTGCAGATGCCTGAAACGAAATCATCTCCTCCACCCCGTTCACCCTTCCTCACTCCTTCTTTCAATCTACCCGACTCTCATCTTCTTCTACCTCCTAATTCAAGCGATGGCCCTTCTGCTCTGCACCGGCAGCCCTCTCATGACTCTCAACGCCCAGGTCTTGTCCCTTCTCCCAGGATACCAATGGGCGGATTACCCTCGACATCAACGTCAACCTCCGCTTCAGCCTCCTCTTCTACCTCTGCATCAAGATCCGGTAGTCTCATCAATACACCGAGGATACTCTCTCGTCGAGCTTCTGCGAAAGAGAAATCCCATGGAATTCTGTCAAGGAAGAATTCGTCCCACGCGGAGGGACGGGGAGATATGGTGCCTCCGAAGACCGGCAACATGCAGGATGAGGGGAGAATGATCATGCCTGAGAGCGGTAGTGCTGAAGTGTACGTCTAGTCATACGAGTAAAGTTGACATTAGTATCGAGACACCTCTCCTCCGACTTGAAAGAGATCCCGGCAGCGGTCGCAAGATGATCAACCAATATTTGGTGCGTCATACAAACAACTTTTGAGAACTGACAGCAGGTCCTTCATGAAATTGGCCATGGAACACATGGACGAGTACGCCTGGGGCAAGATTTATCTTCCGAGCTGTTCGGAGGAGAGGATGCGGAAGCAACTCCTAATCCAGGGCCTTTCTATGTCAGCATAACCTCAATCTCCAATGATCTGTGTCACTGATTACGTCCTCAGGCAATAAAAATCGTCGACAGAACACCCAAAAGGAAGAGACTTACTGGACTCAATCGTCAAAGAGGACTGCCCGGGAGGACGGATGGTGGGAATTTCATGAATGAGAGCGAGTGAGTGTTGTAATTTTGATGAACACCCAGATCTCTGACGTGCTCAGGATCCGCAAGGAGATTGCCATCTTTAAAAAAGTCAATCATCCTAACGTGGTCCGAATGAAAGAGATCATCGACGACCCCGAGTCTAGCAAGCTTTTCATGATCTTGGAGTATTGTGAAGGCGGCGAGGTTCATTGGACGGAGGACGACGGTAGTCCTGCGTTGACACTACTGGAGACGCGACGTATATTTCGTGATACCCTGCTAGGGCTAGAATATTGTAAGTTACTGAGACACATTTGAAAACCGAAGCTCATTCACCAGTACATCACCAGGGCATCATTCATCGTGATATCAAACCGAGCAATCTATTGTGGGCGGCAGACGGCACAGTCAAGATATCTGATTTCGGTTGTTCGCATTACTCAGAAGCCTTGCGTACGGCTGCTACCCAAGCCGGACCAGAGGGTGAATCGTGGGTCGATGATGTCGAATTGGCCAAGACTGCCGGATCGCCAGCTTTTTTCGCACCAGAAATGTGCTACTCGGGGTCCGATCAGGACGATGCAGCGCAACATGCCCGCTCGCCCCAGGGAACACCAGTTCATGAGCTCACAAACTTCACCACACAACTGCCGACCGCCAATGAACAACACCCCAAAACAAGCCGATCAGACCCAGCCGTTCTCTCGCCCTCCAGTCGTCGTACCTTTCCCTTCAAACCTACTCAAAGTAACGAGTCAGGGCTTTCCCGTCGACCTCAATCCATGAGATCACACTCGTCATCAACCATTGTACACCGCGATCGAATGCCCATCACTAATGCTATAGACGTTTGGGCTCTCGGTGTGACTTTGTACTGTTTGGCATTCGGCAAGACTCCCTTCGATGCTCCTAACGAATACCTATTGATGCAAGTGATTCCCACCGCCGACTTTCACGTTCCGCCCTATATGAGTAAAGACCGTTTACCGACTGGCAAAGGCAATGAAGATGCCAATGAGGAGGCTCTGGAATGTCTGGATCTGCTGAGGCGATTGCTAGAAAAAGATCCTGCCAGGCGAATATCGTTGGATCAAGCAAAGGTGAGTTGCCGCTAATCATGCTGTCTTGTTTGGTAGTTGCTGACTCTTGCAGAGACACCCATTCACTCTTCGAGGTCTTTCAGATCCCTCGGGTTGGCTGGCTAGTACAGATCCTCATGTCCAATCTTTCGTGACCGTGTCCAACGATGAGGTCGCAGCCGTCGTTATCAAAGCGAATCGTTTTCGAGATCGACTTCGTAAAGGCCTCAAAACCATCTCCAGTAGGCTGAGCATCTTTGGTTCAAACTCTCGAGGCCGAAGCCACAGTATCGGGGACGGTGATACAAATTCCAGTTACAGTCAACCTGTGTCCAACTTGCCCTCTGCGATTCCAAGTCAAATAAACCTGCAAAATGCGAATGATATAGGAAGACCCGATCAAGCTCTCACTCCTCGCGAGTTATCGCCCATGCCAAGTCCACGTCCAATGGGTAGCCTTTCTCGTCGACTGTCTCTTCTCGGTTCTCGTCATTACGATGCTTTCCCCTCACCTCGTCGACGGACTTTGCAATTGGCTTCACCTCCTCCTACTGCTCATTTATCTCCGACTTATGCCGTCGAGCCGATCGGACGGTCACTGTCAAGCCAGTCGACTCAATCGTCAAGCCGAGGTTTTATCGTTCACAGACCAATACGTAACGCCTCACAATCCAATATCCGACCGGACACGGTGACACCCCACACTGCGTCCGGAGAACGTTCCGCGGATTCACCCAAGCCGATGGGGTCCTCAGGATCTCTCGACAAATTACAGGGTACCGGTGAATTGACTCCTGGAGATCCCTTGCGTAGAAGACAAAGCGATATAGACGTTGCAGCCAGACATCGATCGTCCAGCAATGCCTCTAGTAATGGTTTAGGTTTGGGTAAATTGGCTCGCTTGTTATCTCGTGGTAGTAGTCAACGTCGTCGTCCTACACATACAAAAGAGAGTAGTGAACCATCGTTGCAGTCGACACAAGGAACAGGTCTTCCTGCGATCGAAATGCCGCCTATCATGACACTCGGTGAACATGGAAGACAATCAAGTTTCGAGACTTTTGAATCAAGTTCATATTCATCAGGTCCGGGTTTATCAGCTAGTCCTGAACGTTCAAATATGATCTCCGCAGGTCCACAACGTCGCAGGTCTACCGTGAGCGAGGTTTTAACTCAATCCGATGATGATGATTTTGATTGGGCTGGCTCTATTCCCGATGACGATGATGATGACGAACTGGAACCAGCATCCCGATCTCAATCGGAAGAAGTAACGTTTGGTAGACGTTTCGTCGGTGGGGTTTCAAGACCTAACGATCATGTTTCACCACTTGTATCATCGTCACCCACTTTACCGACTATTCAAGATTCTTCACCTGGATCACTCTTGTTACAACCTCTCAGTCCAGTCACTTCCATACAGAATCATCGTAACATAACCTCACCCATTTTCCGTAGTTCCAGTCCTCCAACTAATCTCGTCACTCGACAATTCTCATCACCCTCTACACCTCGTTCTACCTCTGCACATGAGCGTGCACGTAGTCCTTTGGGTTTGACACATCACAGACGGGACGAATCTCCTACGGCAGGTTATTCAGTTTTCGACTCGGACGATGATGATGGGAATGGGGATGGGGATGTGGACGTTGGGTTGGCATTTTCCATATCCGCCAAACGTGGGAGGAAGGGTTCGGTACTGGATAGACATACAGCAGGAGCAGCTCCAACTTAGATTGTAGATTCTCTCCCGGATGTTTGCGATGTGACAGATAGATGTACACGATTGCATGTTCATTTACCTACTTACCGTATGGACAAATTTCTACGACACCTATCAAAGCGGAGACACCTACTGAAAAAGATCTGACACTACGAGTATAAGATGGTACGGACAAACTATGGGGTATGTAAAGACTACAACACTAAACCCAAGTATTTGACTGTATTCCATCTACAAGAAGGAAGATGCAAACTGAGGAATCAATCTTTTACAGCGTTAGCAATCTTCAACTTGTAATCTTGCAAAGAAGACAACTCACGACGCAGCGCCGACGCCAAGGCCGAAGATTAGTGCACCCCATGCCACTCGTTTGGCCGTCTGCGTCATTCCGTCTGCTACCACCCTCTTGTTCTTCCTTACCAATCTATCCTTGACCAAAGAACCACCCGAGATGGATACTCCATCATCTTCACCCTTGCCCCGTTTCACACCGCGGCTGTTTTCAGCAATAACATACCCTTGATCTTCCAATTCCTCCCCGACGGAAGCCCGAAGTTGCAATTCGCGTTTGAGATCCATGACCAACTGCTTGGCGGATTGAATCTCGGCGTCCATATCCACGTTTGCGTTAGCTGGCGCAGTGACGGTGGTGGTGGCTTCCAGAGTCAAATGACGAGTCGTGTCCTCTTCAGCAGCGCTTTGGTCATTCGAAGAAGCTGTAGGTCTGTTGACGCGAGGACTCTGTCTACGGACTCGTTTTGGAGCTGGCGTAGTTTCCGACGACATGGAAGGGACGATAGGGGTCGGCGTCACCGCTGCAGGCGGAGTTTTTCCCCTTGCGATATGCTCGGCAGCCGCCTGAGACCGTCGTGACTTGTGATATACTACCGTCGGATCAGGCACAGCTCGCGCCAATGCCTGTAGATGTCAACAGAGCCTTTTGAGTGATGTAAGAACTCACCGTGACCAAGTTTGAGATACCGTATGCCGGAGCTAAATGGATTGCTAGATGACCGCTCACCCTACATCGGACATCAAGATTCGAGCCAAATATTGGTTTAGATTTAAACTCACCATTGCCCCGCTAGACGGACATCGCTACTACCACGTCCACCATTGGTATTACGGGTATCATAAGTACTTTCGACCTTGAGAGGATTTAGCCGATCACTGATGAGAATCATAAGATGATAACTTACCCAACTCATCTCTCTCTTCTCATCTTCCTCGGATGCACCTGGAAAAGCTACTTTGAACATGGTGGTCAGTGAAATAGCGTTCGTGTCATAACGACGAAGAATAAAAGCATGTCGATTAGCCTTGACATATGAGCGCGCAGTCTTATATGGACAAAATAGAAACATAATACGGACGGCTGCGATAGGGACTTTGATACGTCCTACAACGATCTCTTTGCCTTCACGGACAATGGTTTGAAATTTGACAACGGTCACGTCCTCGGGAACTAATGTCAGAACAAAAGAGAACAACAGAAGGTGAAGGTGTGGACTCACGATTGACAAGAAACTGATTGCGCTTATCCTCGGGTAAACGAGGCCGATTGAGTGAATGAGGCGTAGGAGTAAGGTCATACTGAACTTGACCTGAAAGTGTGTTTTGATCGGACCCAGGATAAGGAGGAGGCGGTGCTGTATGACTGAACGCCTCGATATCGTTGTCCATGTTGGTCCTGGTATTACGAGGCATAATCGAAAGATGATAGGTCCTCAAAGGTAGTAAGGGAGGTATGAAGAGATGAACGGCGTACGGTCAAAAGGCTGGGTGGTGTCGGTGGGGGGGTCACAACAGAGTCGCGCGTTGGGGGGGTGAAAGTTATCGCCGCGGAGTTGTGAGTAAAGGTTAGATGTGGCATTCCATTGACGTCAAGAAATTTCAAAGATTTCCTTTCTGACCGGCTCTGACTATCACCTTACATTACTTGTAAACCTCTACAAAAGCCGCACCAGCGCCACCAGCTGCACCTTTCACCTTGATATAACAATCATGCCAAAATCAAAGCGAGCAAAGGTCACTACTTTGTCAAAAACTCCTCTTCGCTCCACCAAAGCCTCAAAAGCTTCCCTGGTCAACGAGCTCAGATCTCAGGTCGACAACTTTCCACATGTCTGGCTCTTCAGCGTTGGCGATATGAGAAACGAAGGACTAAAAGACGTTCGAGGTCAATGGAGAGGTACAGGTCGGTTTTTTTTTGGAAAAGGAAAGGTCATGGCAAAGGCTCTGGGGGACTCACCAGAGGATGAGTACCAGCCCGATTTACATCTCCTAGCTCGTGTCAGTGACTTTTTTTTTACCTGTTTGACGATTGTCACTGACGGTCAACAGTGTATTCGTGGACCTGTAGGTCTATTCCTGACGAATTTTCCCGTCGATGAGACTCGTGAATGGTTCGAAACGTGGTCCAAGAAGGAATATGCCAGGATGGGTGCAAAGGCTACTCAAACCATCACTCTTCCAGCAGGTGAGAAAAACCTTGTGATTTCCCCACTCTGGAATGATTGCTAACAGGGGGATAGGACCCATATTGTCCCCTCATACGGATCCTCCCACTGGCGATCCTTTCCCACATTCTATGGAGCCTCAACTACGCGCTCTAGGTTTGAGCACGACCTTAGTGCGGGGCGTTCCGTCTTTAAATCATGCGCACATCCTCTGTCAACAGGGGGAAAAATTATCCAGTGAACAGTGTCGACTTTTGAAGCTGTTAGGAATACAGATGGCCGTGAGTGTTTTCCATCGGACAGCAACAGTGCGGTTATTGACGGTTAGGAATTCCGGATTCTTCTGGGTTCTCGATGGTCCAAGGACGAAGGCTTTGTGTCCGGTCAGGATCTTCATAAGGGTACGGAAAGTGATGAAATGGATGAGGACGATTAAATCATATGTCACCATACATGTAATATGTAACATACATTCTCTGCACTAGTATCAATGAATCTCTTACAAAGCTACAAAATCTCTAAAGTACAAGACCATATGTGCTACATCATCATGCTCCAAATCCCTTCCCACACCTCTGTCAGGGCTAAGCACCCTCACCTCGTTCTCCAAGATAGGCAACCAAACCTCCAAGAGCCGCAACATTGCCGTGTCCTGAATTTATCGATCGAGTGAGATGATAACGTAATCCGTTTGATTGTTTGTACACTTGTCAGTCAGCAACGTCCCTCTATCACGACAGACGAAGAGTACGAAAACATGACACTCACCTTTGCCACAACCTTCGATCGGACATGGAAAACGTTTTTCGCCTTCGGCATCGCTGACTGAAGCTTCTTCACGAGCGACCATCCTGTCTGCCTTGCGATGAGCTTTTCTGGCCGCCTTTGCCAAAGCTGAATCGGGGATCGGGGTACTGGATCTGGAAGCCGGAGCGGAAAAGGGCGGAGCGTAAGATAGAAGACTGGGTGGAAGACACTGTGGCAGACCAGTATTAACTTGCGGTCGGAAAGCAGTTGACCATGTAGCTGGTGAGATGTTTGGAGAGGGGTTCAGAGTGGGATGATGTCGATTAGCCAGAAGCGACGCCAAATCAGGTTGTGTGGTGGAATCTTCCATCTCGATATCCATCACTCCGGGAGGTGTCGGCACTTCCCCGTGATGAGCTCGTAACACCGAGTGGGTGGCACCGACAGCAGGTACATCTTGAGGAGAAACAGTTTTGATAGCCGATGCTATAGGTGGATGCACCATACCCATGCTCGCCATTCGGAGATCGGGGACCATATTACCATGCTCTTCTTCGTAGCTTATGAGTCAGCTCGATCCACTGTAGGGGACGTACTGCTTCAACAACTCGTGCAATCCATCCAGACGCCTACCACAACATGTAAAATTGGCATATTCCGTCTCTAGCTTCCGTTCTCGTTCCCGACCAAAGTTTACATCTTGACCACCTAAACTCCCAACAAATCCATTGGATGGACCCCAATTGGGGTTCCCCGGAGGCCAACGCGGTGGTGAGACGCTCATTCCCAAGGATGACGCGGTGTTTGACGATGACCCGCCCAAAATGGCGTTAGTCAATGTGAGAGATGCGCCGAACGAAGAAGGGTGGAATCCGGCGTGAGGATTTGTAGTCGGGGACGAACTGATCATAGGAGTGAAGCTATGTTATCAGCTGTAATCTCATGTGATAAGGGTAGTTCTAAACGTACACAGGACTATTCAATCGATTGTATTCTACAGACACTCGACGACCGCTCCATTGATATGGGCGATATTCAGGCGACATCTCCGATTCAACTTCCTGTGATCTGGTCTGGACAGGCCCGTTCGAGAGATGTAACGGTCGAGCCGAGACGGGTATGGGGGGTGTATGATGCCCCAAGTCACCGTTCATATTCATCGAGTAAGATGGTGGCTGACCGATTTGGTGTGGTGGAGAGCGGAAATGTGAGAGGGTGACAATGCGCGCAACGGAGATGGCTTGCAGAATGCGTAAGACCGACAGGTAGATGATACGTTGCTCGGGTAACTTGATCCAATGGTCGAGATAGAGATGATGAGCTGGATGACAAAGATGTGCATCCTCCGGTCACTCAGATCAC